GGGACTTAAGGGAAACTGAAGCACTGTGAGGGGATGTTAGGTAGAGAGGAGAGGAACAGGACAGCCTTTTTTACAAGGCTATTCACTGCAGTATTATTCCTAATAATTCCTCTTTAGATCTTGGAGTCCCAGGAAAAGCTAGACTTACAATAGATTGTCATACACTTATTTCAAGCATTTTATTTTCTACTACTAGCCTATTGAGGAGAGATTTCAGCTTGCTCTTACTTGCTGAATGTAAAATACAGAAACCGAAAGAACTGGCTGTGAGTTTGAAAGGAGAGGAAGAGAGCGTGCGATGGTGTGATCAAAATACACCATATGAGTAGCCTGCTAATGTACCTTTCTGGACCTTGTAAACTGTCGAATAGACCCATAACTGATCTAAATGGTTGCATAATCAGGCCTAGGCTGTATGCAGTTATTTTGGCATGAAGCATTCAAAACAGGATGTTTGAGCCTACAACACTGCAGTTAACAGCCCTAGCCATTAATTGAGTGTAAGGGTTGGTGTGAGGTGTGACCCAGGTGCGCTGCAGGATAAACAGTAGGCAAGGATGGTGAAACAAGGATCTTTACTGGTGGTCCAAAAACCAGGATACAAAGCACTGATATCACGGCCCTTAGACACCAACCTGTCCACCGTTCTCTTCAACGTTCCTCCCACACCTTCAGGAGCCCCTTTTCCATGGCTTGACTAAAAAAAGTTCCATGTACCAGCTTTGAATCCATGTTTGTGTAATTCTGATGTGAAAAGCAGGAAGTTGCCTCTCTGCTTATACTGTGTGCAAGGCCCATCACTAAAAAAGTTCAATACAGACACTTGTGGATGTGTGGCCTGAAGGTAGTCTAGCACTAGATTAAGGTGTTTCCATATAGCAGGAGGGCCTTTGTGCCTAGAGGGGGAGATTGTTGTGAAGCATATAGGCTCCTCTTGGCCAACATACAGTACCCCAGTATGTAGAGGGCCCAAAGTGAACAGCTTAGATCTCCTATTAGTATTTGCAAACATAGTTCTCTGAAAAGTGCACATGGATCAAGGCCTCCTCAATTACCATGTTTTCTTTATCTCACAGCAGTAGGTTTCATGTTGAACAGGTGTTTCTTAAACTTGTGAATGTAGTTGTGGAGCAACTCAGTAAGGTTCTCCTGGGTGCTCTCAACAGTTTTCTTGACAGTGATCCTTACTGTGGAACCCTTTTTCTCGTGGTCTTTTTTTTCAATAGCCATCTCGGTCAAGCTCTGCAGATTTGAGGTCTCGATTACCTTCAGGAGATTCAGCTTCTCAGGCACAAATCTCAGATTCTCATGGAGCTTACATAAGCATGTGTCTCAGTCAGACATGGAAGGGTGAACAACCCAAAAAGGTCTCAGGTGACAAAACAGAGCATAAGAGAGATTCTCAGGGTTCTCTGATAAAAACTTCTATGCAGGTTTTTCATGGTGTCCTCCAGAAACCTTTTCTGCATCTTCACCTTCTGCACTGTGATAGTTTGTTTCCTCCCAGTTGTGATCCGGCTCACATCATCTCTCAAAAATAATGACTTCACCTTTCTCTTGAATGCATCGGTGTGCCGGTTAGTGTGCTTCCTTTCAAAGGTGCTTAGGCATTGGCTCTCCAGATGTCTCCAGCATTTGTTTGAGAAGCCTAGGGTATGATCTTCAAATCTCTGTAATTTATACACTGCTCAAAAAAATAAAGGGAACACTAAAATAACACATCCTAGATCTGAATGAATGAAATAATCTTATTAAATACTTTTTTCTTTACATAGTTGAATGTGCTGACAACAAAATCACACACAAATTATCAATGGAAATCAAATGTATCAACCCATGGAGGTCTGGATTTGGAGTCACCCTCAAAATTAAAGTGGAAAACCACACTACAGGCTGATCCAACTTTGATGTAATGTCCTTAAAACAAGTCAAAATGAGGCTCAGTAGTGTGTGTGGCCTCCACGTGCCTGTATGACCTCCCTACAACGCCTGGGCATGCTCCTGATGAGGTGGCGGATGGTCTCCTGAGGGATCTCCTCCCAGACCTGGACTAAAGCATCCGCCAACTCCTGGACAGTCTGTGGTGCAATGTGGCGTTGGTGGATGGAGCGAGACATGATGTCCCAGATGTGCTCAATTGGATTCAGGTCTGGGGAATGGGCGGGCCAGTCCATAGCATCAATGCCTTCCTCTTGCAGGAACTGCTGACACACTCCAGCCACATGAGGTCTAGCATTGTCTTGCATTAGGAGGAACCCAGGGCCAACCGCACCAGCATATGGTCTCACAAGGGGTCTAAGGATCTCATCTCGGTACCTAATGGCAGTCAGGCTACCTCTGGCAAGCACATGGAGGGCTGTGCGGCCCCCCAAAGAAATGCCACCCCACACCATGACTGACCCACCGCCAAACCGGTCATGCTGGAGGATGTTGCAGGCAGCAGAACGTTCTCCACGGCGTCTCTAGACTCTGTCACGTCTGTCACGTGCTCAGTGTGAACCTGCTTTCATCTGTGAAGAGCACAGGGCGCCAGTGGCGAATTTGCCAATCTTGGTGTTCTCTGGCAAATGCCAAACGTCCTGCACGGTGTTGGGCTGTAAGCACAACCCCCACCTGTGGACGTCGGGCCCTCATACCACCCTCATGGAGTCTGTTTCTGACCGTTTGAGCAGACACATGCACATTTGTGGCCTGCTGGAGGTCATTTTGCAGGGCTCTCTGCTACCGCACAGCAAGCGGTACCGGAGTGCCAAGTCTAGGTCCAAAAGGCTTCTTAACAGCTTCTACCCCCAAGCCGTAAGACTTCTGAATAGCTAATCATGGCTACCTGGACTATTTGCATTTGCATTATTTTTTTCATTTCACTTCACCAATTTTGACTATTTTGTGTATGTCCATTACATGAAATCCAAATAAAAATCCATTTAAATTACAGGTTGTAATGCAACAAAATAGGAAAAACGCCAAGGGGGATGAATACTTTTGCAAGGCACTGTATGTTTGCATTAATGGCAACATTTATTAATTATGTGCACATTTTAATATTAATTTCCCAAATAAAAATTAAGTGAAATGCCTGGGGGACATGACACGATTCTTAGTGTCAGTAAAAAAAATAAGATTTTTTAATAATAAAGTTTAAATTAATGCTATATTCATTTCAATTCATTAAATTGGACATTTCAATTTATATACAAAACTTTTAAAATTTCATTTTGGTGACCCAATACTTTAAATATAATATAAAAAGACTGAAATATTACCCGAGCCCAAGAATGACCCATGAACAGCTATACAATGTCACTGTATTTATATTGGGAACATATCAGTGACTTAGCACTTTTTAATGGCATAACTTCTTCTCAACCATGTCACTATCATTTATCTTAATATCTAGTGAGTTATTGAGTATGTTACACTCTGTACTTTTTTTATAAATATAACCTTTCTATGTATTCTATGTACAATAAATAAATATACTACATACTACACTTAAAAAAAGATTTACTACTACGAGACACTACATTATGTCTGTGTGTGTGTGAAATGGTTGAACAAATAATAATTAAGATGTTAATTAAGATGTTAAATTAAATTAACATTTTGACTGAGCATTCCAATGTGACGCAAATGATAGATACTGTCTGCATTCTGGACTCTTCTTTTCTGACAAACGTCCTCTTAGCACCCTCATGGAAGACGATAGAACATGCTATACCTTATTCTATACTTCATATATGGGCTCCCGGGTGGTGCAGCGGTCTAAGGCACTGCATCTCAGTGCTTGAGGCGTCACTACAGACCCCCTGGTTCGATTCCAGGCTGTATCACAACTGGCCGTGATTGGGAGTCCCATAGGGCGGCGCACAATTGTCCAGGTTTGGCCGGTGTAGGCCGTCATTGTAAATAAGAATTTGTTCTTAACTGACTTGCCTAGTTAAATAAAAATTATAGTCTCCATCTGCACCGCCCCTTAGCAGGAAACTGGAATTTTCCCCATTCATTTGATTAGTAATCTTTCCTCACCATTTTCTATAGAGTGAGCACTTTTTGAGCAAGACTCATTCATTAGGGATTAGGCGTCAGACTATTGAAAACAACACACCCTACCCTCCTACAAGAAGATGAAGACTAATATTTCATTGGGCTAACTGTCCTGGTGGTCTTCATAGCAGTGGGTAAGTCCTATCAGAATCATCTGTCCCTATGGCAATATTCAAAGATGGGTACAGTAAAAGGTTGTGATTTGATTAGTTAGGGTTTATCGCAAATTCTGTACTAGGTGCTTTTATTTTCTGAAGCTATAAATTGTTTATATGGGATGATGGTACACTCCCCTACGTATGACCCACTTGGTAAATATGATGGTAGACATCCATGGGATGCATTTTACCTATTCTGTACACAACAAATAAGTTTCAAGAACCTGAGAGTGCTTTCAATTGTTTTAGTCTGATTTCCAGAAATAATTATACATATATCCCATTGATGCCGTTCTGACATGACAAATTGAGTCTCCTGTGGTGGCATTACATTCACTAATTACATTATGTTAATTCCACTGTAATAACTGAACCACATGTAATTAATAATATAATATGCCATTTAGCAGACGCTTTTATCCAAAGCGACTTACAGTCATGCGTGCATACATTTTTGTGTATGGGTGGTCCCGGGGATCGAACCCACTTCCTTGGCGTTACAAGCGCCGTGCTCTACCAGCTGAGCTACAGAGGACCACAGGTTTGTAGATGAGAGAAGCCAGTGAACACTCCTCTTGTTTCAGGGCTGCACTGTGTGTACAATATAAATTTACACAGAATACAATACAGTAGACCATTCATCTTAATGTATATACCTAATACCTATACTTATTGTGAATGTCTAAACATGTAAGTTTCAGCTTTTTATCATGAACTGCTGAGTGAGTTATAGGTATGATGTCATTCTGTCTTCTTGCATTCTTCCACCTGATACCACTCGTGATAAGGGACAAGCACATGTTCAGTCAGGTGCTCCTCCCTATCTATTGTATCATTGTTTGTATTGTATTGTGTTGCACTGCACATGATTCATCAACTTTTCTTGCCGCTCCTCCATGTTCCACAGTCCAGTCCCTGACCTGTGAGCAGCGCAGTGTGGGAATCTTATTTCCCGCAAGCATGGTGTGTGACAACTCCACTCTCAACTGCTACATCGGAGAAGCAAGTAAGGAAGCCTGTACACCAAAAACGTGTGAATATGCAATGAATTAGCTTATATAACATCAATGTCATAATGAACCAATCACTGAAAAATCGTATCCAAAATCTAATTCCATCTAGAATTCAATGCCACAGGGTTTCTGAAACGCCACACCCGTGGCTGTCTGGACACAGACCTGTGTGGCAAGACCATCACTGCAACCATCTTGGGTGCTGGTGTCACCAGCAGCTTCTCATGCTGCCAGACAGACCTGTGTAACAGCGCCAGCTCCGTCCAGGTCTATGTGACTGTAGCCCTTAGCGTCACCCTGCTTGCCTGGGGGAATGAAACTGGAAACTCTTTTTTTCAAACAGTGTGGATAAAAGCCTCTGCTAAATGACACAAATGTCAATGTAAAATGACTTCTGTTCACAGTACTGTCTAAACATGTTACACTTCTGTTCACACTGTTTAAACCCTTTTCACTTCTGTTCACATTGTTTTAACAGGTTTGAGACTACTTTGTCTCCATCCTCTATTAACTAGGTTTGGCACCCTGAGCTCAGAAAAAAATGCCTACATTGTAACTCCTGATCTACTTTAATAACATTTATCAACTGAATAGTACTTGCAACTATGATCTGCAACAACTTGAAGTGCCTTTACACTACTCTACAGAACACACATACCAATGCTGTAATATTATTCTGAATAATAAATACATCAAATCATGTCACAAAACGGAAATAAAAGGTGCTGTTTTTCGTTGGTGACACAATAGTGTCCTCTACACGTCTTTATTCTGAAATTTCATTGAGAATGCACTGTTTGGTCAAATAAAGCAGCCTAAAAATGCTGAAACAATAATGGATGTTTATGTGATAATAAGTTGTACAAATACTGCTTTAGTTAGGAGGCTGCCAATCTGTCAAACATAAGAAATGGTAACATAAGAAATGAAAGACAAACTTATGAAACATCTAGGGTTAGGGTTGGGCTATGGCTAGGGTAAGGGTTGGGCCGGTGTGTGGACATCAACTCAAGCTAATGTCAGTTTGCATCATTTGGGTGTCTATTCACATTAGCCTACATTAGTGTTTCTTGTACTGTAGGAGAGTGGGTGTGTATTGCGTAAGTCCCATAACTTTAGTGTAACAGGTTATGTCTGCACCCTGACCCCATTATCATCTTTGGCAGCCAAACTGAACTGGCAGACAGGCTGGTGGAATCTTTCTCCACCCCGGTTGTCTGCAACTCACTTTCAAACCAATAGCGCCATCAAGTGCATCAGAGAGACGAAAGCACATTGGTGAATCTACGACTAGGCCCGATGCTGTCAAATGTCCAGAAAAGAGTACTTCATTCAGGTGACTGGTGGGTTAGTGGATTCAGTGGGGTTCTGCTCTGCCACACCAAACACCCACATACAAATACTTCAATATAAGCACTTCAATATACACTACCAGTCAAAAGTTTGGACACGCCTACTCATTCAAGGGTTTTTCTTTATTTTTACAATTTCTTACATTGTAGAATAATAGTGAAGACATCAAAACTATGAAATAACACATTTGGAATCATGTAGTAACCAAAAAAGTGTTAAACCAATCAAAATATATTTTATATTTGGAGATTCTTCGATTGCCGCAAAGAAACCACTACTAAAGACCACCAAAGAGACTTGCTTTGGCCAAGAAACACGAGCAATGGACATTAGACCGGTGGAAATGTGTCCTTTGGTCTGAAGTCCAAATTGGAGATTTTGGGTTCCAACCGCCGTGGCTTTGTGAGACGCCGTGTGGGTGAACGGATGATCTCCACATTTGTATTTTCCACCGTAAAGAATGGAGGAGGAGGTGTTATGGTGTGGGGGTGCTTTAATGGTGACACTGTCTATGATTTATTTAGAATTCAAGGCACACTTAACCGGCATGGCTACCACAGCATTCTGCAGCAATACACAATCCCATTTGTTTTTCAACAGGACAATGACCCAACACACCCCCAGGCTGCGTAAGGGCTATTTTACCAAGAAGCAGAGTGATGGAGCACTGCATCAGATGACCTGGCCTCCACAATCCCCCGACCTCAACCCAATTGAGATGGTTTGGGATGAGTCGGACTGCAGAGTGAAGGAAAAGCAGCCAACATGTGCTCAGCATATGTGGGAACTCCTTCAAGACTGTTGGAAAAGCATTCCAGGTGAAGCTGGTTGAGAGAATGCCAAGAGTGTGCAAAGCTGTCATCAAGGCAAAGGGTGGCTATTTGAAGAATCTCAAATATAGCATATATTTTTATTTGTTTAACACTTTTTTGGTTACTACATTAATCCATATGTGTTATTTCATAGTTTTGATGTCTTCACTATTATTCTGCAATTTAGAAAATAGTAAAAAATTAAGAAAAACCCTGGAATGAGTAGGTGTGTCCAAACTTTTGACTGGTACTGTATATAAGCACATCTCATTGATCTCATAGGCAAGATTTAAACACAGTTTGCACCTACAGTATTTCCCCAGAGGAATGTAATATTATGTACACATTATGTAATACTTTTTTAAATTATAGCTATGTAGCTTGTGTTTAATCCCCCTCTGGTGCTGAGCGTATAAACATTCATAAACACACATGATATCACAATATTCCAGGAAACTGAATTAGTCAAATATATACTTTTCTATTTAGATCATTGTCTAAGTACATAATGACACATTTCAGAAATTGAATACACCAGAACACCTGATTAAGTGTCACACACTGTCACAGGTCTGTTACATAAGCTTATTACTGAAGCATGAGTGCCTGACTCAATGAGCTGACAACCTACATTTAAATATCTGCTGTCTTCATGTACAGTAGGCTACTATATTACAATTTGGTACATATGCAATTCCTTCCACGTTGTGTAGGCCAGGCTAGCTACAGTAGGCTTATTTTTGATTTCCACACCTTCCCATTTTGATTAAACCCAATTTATATAGATGACCACATAGGCTAATTGTCAGCATAACTATCACCACACCTTCCCCTCTTATCCCCCCTCTTGTCCCCATCTCTCTCACGTACACAATCGGTGTCTTTCTTTCTTATCACCACTATTCACTCCGGGCGCTTGGTCAGGGTACAACGAAGTTATAAACGTCACTTGTACGTGAACTTTCCAGGAAATGGAGGAATGAGTGTGTAGTGAGCGACACAGAGGGAGGGGAAACTGAAAAGGCGTTTACTGCAAGTTCCACACAGGACGTGAGCGAGGTAAGGAAAGGAAACATTTGTTACAATTTAGACTACATTGTTACTCACCAAACTCGCGTGAAAGGTTGTTATTAAGTCATAACGGTTTACAGTAAGACCTTATTTTCTGATGCTTGTTTGTATTAGTTTATATAAACTACATAATTTATCTGACTGACTACAGCAGATAGGGCGGCCAAGCCCTTGGTCGACATCGGTTTCTGTTTATCATTGAAATTAGCCTAATATCTGAAAGTTAGTGCAAGACTGCACATTGACAGTTGTTACCCCTCCAAAAACTAAACTGTCCTGTCACCTTTAGGTCTTCCAGTTCCAGCGACAACACTTGAAACAAAAAGATGAGTGACGAAAATCAACCTGAAGTTGAACTTTTTGTGAAGGTAAGCAATATCATTAAATCCATTCTGTGACATGCATAATCATATCTTGGACAAGTTACTTTGTAAACAATGCGTCATTACTTTACGCTACCTAAATGTAATTATGTGGTACAATGTAATCTATTTGACTAAAACATCATTATACCCACGCATTTCTGCAACAAGATAACTTATCAGTGAGAAAAGTAAACTGTTGCCACTGGTCCCTCTCACCATTTGTTTGAAGACTGAATGCCTAGAGAAGGCATGCCTAATGGCTTTCATAGTATTAATAAGATAGTAGTAATACATTACGCTATTTTATTAACATAGTAGCTATGCCTATTGCTGTACCCAATTTGGCTCATCAGTTGAATGGCCAGAACATTTTAGAATCTTATTAAATGCACATTAAAATAATACATATGTCATATAGGCTCCTTAATCTATACTGAACAAAAATATAAACGCAACATGTAAAGTGTTGGTCCCATGTTTCTTGAGCTAACATCAAAAATCCCTGACATTTTCCATACTCACAAAAAGCTAATTTCTCTCAAATGTTGTGCACAAATTTGTTTACATCCCTGTTAGTAAGCATTTCTCCTTTGCCAAGATAATCCATCCACCTGATAGTTCTGGCATATCAAGAAGCTGATTAAACAGCATGATCATTACACACGTGCATGTTGTGCTGGGGACAATAAAAGGCCACTCTAAAATGTGCAGTTTTGTCACACAACACAATGTCACCGATGTCTCAAGTTTTGAGGGAGCAAGCAATTGGCATGCTGACTGCAGAACTGTCTACCAGAGCTGTTGCCAGAGAATTGAATGTTAATTTCTCTACCATAAGCCGCCTCCAACGTCGTTTTAAATAATTTGGCAGTATGTCCAACCGGCCTCACAACCGCAGACCACGAGTAACCACGCCAGCCCAGGACCTTCACATCCAGCTTCTTCACCTGCGGGATCATCTGAGACCAGCCACCCGGACAGTTGATGAAACTGGGGGTTTCCACAACCGAATTTCTGCACAAACTGTCAGAAACGACAACAGTGGGCAAATGCTCACCTTTAATGGCCACTGGCACACAGATGAATCCGGCTTCAACTGTACCGGGCAGATGGGCGAGCGGTTTGCTGATGTCAAAGTTGTGAACAGAGTTCCCCCATGATGGCGGTGGGGTTATGGTATGGGCAGGCATAAGCTACAGACAATGAACACAATTGCATTTTATCAATGGCAAGATCCTGAGGCCCATTGTTGTGCCATTCGTCCACCGCCATCATTTCATGTTTAAGCATGATAATGCACAGCCCTATGTCGCAAGGATCTGTACACAATTCCTGGAAGCTGAAAATGTCCCAGGTCTTCCATGGCCTGCATACTCACCAGACATGCCACCCATTGAGCATGTTTGGGATGCTCTGGATCGATGTGTACGATATCGTGTTCCAGTTCCCACCAATATCCAGCAACTTCGCACAGCCATTTAAGAGGAGTGGGACAACATTCCACAATCAGCAGCCTGATCAACTCTATGCGAAGGAGATGTGTCGCACTGCATGAGGCGAGTGGTGGACACACCAGATTCTTGCGTTTTATATTTTTGTTCAGTTATATATTTAATAAACTGGCCAGAGCAGCCCAGGGGTGTGGTCATTCAGAGGAAAACATGGTCCAATATAAAGAGTGTACCTTTTTTTCCTACTCTCATGGTCCTTTACTACCTTATAATGATTTATCTGTGGGAATATCTAGGCTTAGAACCGTTTCTTTCTTCAGGTATGAAAGATGTCCTTGTGGTAGCAGATTAAAATGCGGACTTCCTGTCCATTTCCCCACATTCAAATTTCAAGAGACCCATAGCCCTGCTCTGTCACACATTGCATTGTATAGTTGACTAAAACTGTAAGGGTTGGTGTGAGGTGTGACCCAGGTGCGCTGCAGGATAAACAGTAGGCGAGGATGGTGAAACAAGGATCTTTACTGGTGGTCCAAAAACCAGGATACAAAACAACAGACTATACACGAAAACAAATGAGGAGCACATAGGTCTCCAAAAAACAGGCTGACAACAAACAATACGAAATACTAACTCTGACTGGAAAAACACAATGACACAGGGAGAACACTTCTCGAGTACCTGTAACTCCGTCACATGATCCGACACTGATATGTACTGCTTGACATTAAGGAAATAGCAGAGAAAACTGAGCAAGGGAACACAGGGAAGTGAGGGCATAAATACGCAGGTGAATCAGATAGCCACAGGTGACACCAATAGATAATTAGTCCCGACTTTGAGTGAGGAGGTGCCTAAGGTTGCCGGAGGATGACACCTAGTGGGTCGCTCCGGAACTGCGACCTTCTTCTGTAACATAAAACAGTTCATTTCCTCCTATGAAAACATTTCAACTACACACATTATTGTCAATTCCATTCTCACTTACCTTACAGGCTATGTGCAATTTTAAATGATTTCCTTATGTAGGCTAGGTTATAGTGTTGCCCATATTTATGTTTTGAATTCATCCATAACCATGGGATCCGTCTTTGACTTCCCCTATCTCTCTTGGGTAGTATATGATCTTCTTGTTTGGATGAATGACCATAATATGTGGCCTTCTATCCTATTCTAGGCAGGCAGTGATGGCCAGAGCATTGGCAACTGTCCATTCTCCCAGCGCCTCTTCATGGTGCTGTGGCTTAAAGGAGTCACGTTCAACGTCACCACCGTGGACATGAAGAGGTCTGTCTAATGCCTATCAATCTGTATTTATATTACATATACATTTATATTACATTTGCACATGTTTAAGATACTTCTCACTCCCTCTCATGCTGTCATTGTTTCCCTTTTTCCCTCTGTCATTTTTCTCTCTCTTGATAGGAAACCAGACATCCTTAAGGACCTGGCCCCTGGTGCTCAGCCCCCCTTCCTGCTGTATGGGACGGAGGTGAAAACCGACACCAACAAGATAGAAGAGTTCCTGGAGGAGAACCTGTCCCCTCCAAAGTAATCACTCCTTCCATCATTATATCCTTATTCCATCCTCTGATCATACCATCAGACAGTTATGCTGCTACTTGCATCAAGCAAAGTTTCATATCCTTCCAGGTCTATGTTCATAGGCGGGGCGTGAATTTCAAGGTTGAGGAAGCTCATTTTCACCATAAAAATGCACCTTTATAATAAAGCATTCCATGCACCTATCATCACATTTCCAGACTTATGTAAGATAGCCTACTATTCTGAGTAGATTGGATAGTCATAATTTAGGCTAATAATATAAATCAATCACTGTTCGCTAAAAATACCCTTCAATGCATGGCTGAGCGTGTTGTGGCGTAGAGTAGGCCTAGGCTATAGGCTATATCAGATACGTTTCTTCTCCTTTCTTTGCACTGGAAAAAAATGTGGCCTTTTATAAACACATTTCATTTCAATTCTACTAAACTTTATATGACTGGAGAAATTAACATAATATTTTTGAATAAGACAAACATTACATAAAGGCCTATAGGCTACTGCTGACACTGACAAACAGATCAATAAAAATGACCTTGTCTACAACCATCTAATCTAGGCCTATGAAAAGGGGAGACAGACATTATACAATATGAAGTCCATCTAACCTGGAGGAGGAAATTATTGTCCAAAAACAAACTTTTAAGTTGCACTGACCCAATGATAAAGAGTGAATGTGCGTACTCACCGGGGATAAGGACGATGCTCTCTTCTGGTGCCAATAAGATAGGCTACTGTTTGCTCAAATTGAGAATTTTGATAACTAAAAGATAGATTAGAGTATTTTCATTGTCTTCTCTTTTCTATGTTATCCCGCAATTGTATTTTGAAATATTGCGATATGCCTGAGCCTATTTTAGCTGTTTTTCACTGACAGTCACAACTCAACAATCATCTATTTGGTATTTAAATGCGCGCGCTGCCCAAATTGCGGGCCTTCCGACTGTAGGCTATGCGCTTGTGATTTAAAACAATCCACAGCTTATTTTTTTAGAATCTAATGATGATCTGGGGCCAAATCATGCTTTCAGGTGTACTAGCATATTTTGAATGATTTTATTTATTTCTGTATAGACAGAAGTAATTATATAATTTTGGCAATTTAATTCAATTTACTGTAGGAGAAGCTTAGCTTCCTTTGTAGAATCATTTGTATCTGTTGTTTGCCTCTGTAGAGTATGTTGATAGGTTATGTACTGTACTTGCATGTAGGCTATTGATACTTTATGTATTTAACATTACTTCTTATGTTCCTCTCTGAAGACAATATGCTTTCTCCCATGATATCTTGCTGACTGAAAGAACCTCAGGTCTGCTAGATGCCAAATTTGTAATGCGTCCTCCACCCCCTTCACAGATACCCCCGCATGGCTTCCAGGAACCCTGAGTCTAACACAGCCGGCCTGGACGTGTTCTCTAAGTTCTCGGCCTACATCAAGAATTCAAACCCCCAGCTCAATGACAGTGAGTGACAATGACAAATCAGGATGAACTGAGCCCGACCAGTCATGTACAAAAACACTATTGCATGTTAACAAGCACCTACAAGAACTCCCACAATCTGTCTCTGTATTCCAGAGCAGCAGGGAGTGTCTTTGTTAATGGTATTATGCTCTGAGCTTTGCGTCTCTTCCCAAACTGGTTGCCTGTTGTCTTGTATTTTTAGCAGCGCTTTCAGAAGTACAGTGAAAAGTACACACTAAGATATGCATTTGTCACACGCAATGAGTCAAAAAGGACATTTTAAATTACTCTTTAACTCAACAATTTACAATTGTGCCTCAAGTCCTCAATTATGTTTTTGTTCAAATAATTCAAGTAATTCTATTTCTATGGGTGTTACGTCATATTTCCTTTGTATTGTGCATTGTTTCATGGTGCAGCACATTCAATTCCTTCTTTCAGAGGTTTGTTTCAGTATAATTACAGGGAGCTCTATGAAGGCTTTACTTGCATGATACTAGTGAGGAGCTTTAGCTATGCTCATACTACAGTTTGTTTATGTACGTGTCAGGCTTAATCAATGTGTTGTACTTTGTGTGTTCTCCGTGTCGTCAGACCTAGAGAAAGGCCTGCTCAAGGCCCTGAAGAAGCTAGATGACTACCTCGGCTCCCCACTTCCTGAGGAGATTGACGAGAATAGTGCTGATGATGTCACTTCTTCCTCCCGCCCCTTCCTGGATGGGCAGGACCTCACTCTGGCCGACTGCAACTTGCTGCCGAAGCTGAACATTGTCAAGGTAATCCTTTGTTTTAAGCCCTGCTTGTGGCCTAGTGTGAAGTCCATAATCAAATCAGTATTAATTGGGGTTGGTGGACCACTTGTGAGCTAAATGCTCCCACATGTACAGTATTAACTTCAGTGCAAACTGCAAAGTAAGAACACAAGAGCATATTTATAAAAGTGTTTAGGCAGATCCAATGGGATCTTTTGATAATTCTTTTTTGGACTGTAAACATTTATTGGCTATAACTGTTACCTTTCTTGTCTTTACTTTTTTGTATCATACTTTTATTTTGGTTATTCACCAAAGACACCCACCAAAGACATTTGCATACATTTGCATGTTCAGGAATTTGACTCTGTGAAATGGTGCTGCCACAATAAACAGAATATACAGACAGGCACAATAAACAAACTATATGGATACAATACACTATATATACAAAGGTATGTGGACACCCCTTCAAATTAGTGGATTCGGCTATTTCAGTCACACCCGTTGCTGACAGGTGTATAAAATCGAGCACACAGCCATGCAATCTCCATAGACAAACATTGGCAGGAGAATGGCCTTACTGAAGAGCTCAGTGACTTTCAACATGGCACCGTCATAGGATGCCACCTTTCCAATAAATCAGTTCGTCAAATTTCTGCCATGCTAAAGCTGCCCCGGTCAACTGTAAGTGCTGTTATTCTGAAGTGGAAACGTCTAGGTGCAACAACGGCTCAGCCGCGAAGTGGTAGGCCACACAAGCTCACAGAACGGGACTGCCAAGTGCTGAAGCGCATAGCACATAAAAATCGTCTGTCCTCGGTTGCAACACTCACTACCGAGTTCCAAACTGCCTCTGGAAGCAACGTCAGTACAAGAACTGTTCGTTGGGAGCTTCATGAAAAGGGTTTCCATGGCTGAGCAGCCGCACACAAGCCTACCATCACCATGCGCAATGCCAAGCGTCGGCTGGAGTGGTGTAAAGCTCGCCACCATTGGGCTCTGGAGAAGTGGAAGTGCATTCTCTGGAAGGATGAATCACGCTTCACCATCTGGCAGTCCGACGGACGAATCTGGGTTTGGCGGATGCCAGGAGAATGCTACCTGCCCCAATGCATAGTGCCAACTGTAAAGTTTGGTGGAGGAGAAATAATGGTCTGGGGCTGTTTTTCATGGTTTGGGCGAGGCCCTTTAGTTCCAGTGAAGGGCAATCTTAACGCTACAGCATACAATGACATTCTAGACGATTCTGTGCTTCCAACTTTGTGGCAACAGTTTGGGAAAGGCCCTTTCCTGTTTCAGCATGACAATGTGTATATAGACGCAGAATTTACAGACTACACTATGAACACTATAATCTACATTAGAACTATGCATGTAGAGATATACAGTATGAATAAAAATAATGTTACAGGATGATGTGCAATGGGGGAAATTACATCTATCTCTCCGTTCATTCTCTTTTTTTCTCTCTCCCTGTCCAATCCTCAGGTGGTGTGTCTGAAGTATCGTACTTTCTCCATCCCTAAGTCTCTCTCCAACCTGTGGCGGTACCTGGACGCTGCGTACGCCCGTGAGGAGTTCTCCTCTACCTGCCCCAACGACACAGAGATACACATCGCCTACTCAGCCGTGGCTAAAGCACTTAAGTAGGAGGAGAAGGGGATTCCATCAGTCACACACACCAGTGAATACACACCTACACACATACCTGTACAGACATCCTACACACCCACCTACGCACATACACACACACACTAATGCGCTCAGACACACATATTATTCAACAGCCTTGCTTTAGAACAGGAAATCAATATTACTGTAAGATCAAGTTGGAAATATTTAATTGGCCATTTAAGAGTTTGTGAAACTCTCTGAGACTTATAGTGTATGGTTCCCTTTTTGTCACATGCCATATCCACTCTTAATACCGTATATTCAGGCAGTTACACACAGTTAAGGTTCTATACACAGGCAGTAGGTTACATATGGTAGCATCCAACTAAAGGTGTTCAGTCACTATGATTAATTCTGCACTCCATACATTGCCACATTACCAGCTATTAGTTTCTATCTCTTGGCCAAGCCTTAAAGAAACTGCTGTTCTGTTGTGATTACACACAGACACACATACTTAGACCAGTTTAACTGCTACCTGCAGCTGAAAGAGAGAGGTCTGTTATAGGCATGTCTATAATTATACATTATTACAGATATATTATTACAAAGTTGATATATTGTTCAGGGCAAACCGCCTTTAACATGGTCAGTTTGAATCAGTTGTTTATATGTGCTAAATGGTCAGAAGTTAGGTTCAGGGAATAGGAAAGCAGGTCTTGGGCCAGTAGTAGTACATTGGGGCACACTATACGGAGTTGTTTCTCAGCACTGTACAGTTACCGACACAGGAAATTATTTCAACAGACCGCGGCTTCCCCTTTCTCCGCCTTGTAGCGCTGTGAAGGGTTCATCAAGTTTATATCCCCCCATTGTAAGTCTCTTTTGCTATTAGTAATTGACCTCCATTCCCCCATTCAAAGTGAAGGATATTTTTTATACTATAAAAAAAACTGCGAGAGGCTCATAATGCAGGACAGTTGAGTTATTCCAGACGAAGTAATGTGGCTATTGTTGCTGCTTTGTGGGAACTTTAGGTTATTAAAGAAGTACTTTACTCTGTATGGCCTTGAGGCACCAAGACGGTTCAGTCACGTTTCACTGTAAATCTGAGGGAAAACTACAGAATGTAATGCAGACATGCACACAGCTCTTCACATGACTAAACCATAAACGTCACATTCATGAAAAATAGAGATGCACATTGCATAGATAACTGAAATCTTCAAGGAGAGAATGCTACAGGATTGTGTATTTGTACTCTTTCATATGGTTATTGACAATGGAAGACTCAATCAAACTTGAAAAAAGAGAAGAGTTTGAACCTTTAGTGAGCCAAATGAAAGGTTTTACTTCAGGTTTATGGCGCTGGGTGTTGTTTAAGTTATTTAAATCAACAACACCTTTGAACCTACTACCGTCCTGTGCTTTGTAGTGCTGAGCGATTAGTGCTTTTTTAGGTCGGTTCGGTTTCGGTTCGCTTAATAAAAAATTATCATGGTTTTGATTATTTTTTTAAATATTAAATGCATTATGAAATAATTACGTTACAATGTTTTAGAGCTTTTTTAGCCTAAAATAGTCAATATTGAATTTCCAAAACATTGAAAATATTCCATTGTCTCTGATCAGATCCACATTGGATAGACATCAACAGAAAAATCTGAAATTACTATGAAATAATAAAATATTTCAGTTGTGTATATTACTTAGTTTTTATTTGATTACTTTATTATTTTTTCATTCTTTAAAGTAATAATCTCATCTCTGCTCAGGCAGTAGCAATCAGCAAGCCAGGTCATCTAACATTATGTCCGCTCCATACTGTATTATGTCCGCCCCATACTGTATGCTGCAGAGCTTTCTGACGAAATCATTTTACTAGTTCTTCAAAGTAGATAAGGCATACTTTCACGAACTGTCTCTGTCCCTCTCGTCGTGGTCGTACCAAAATAAGCACATTGCATGCGGTTTATTTTGGACAGATTTTGGCGAGAGTAAAACTTCTCGCTTCGCCTCTTCATCTCTGATCCGTCTGAGCCGGGGAAAAACTGGCGCAATGTATTGTGGTCATTGTAATGAATTACGACGTTTCTGCGCTGAACTAGGTTGAAAATTTGCTTAATTAAAACTACAACTCCCTTCAGCCCAGCGTCCCACATAGTTCTTGACATGATTTCTTTCCTGAATGATTTGATTTGTCTTTAGAGAAACGACGCGCTGGGCTCACAAAAAACGAACTAAATGGAATTCAAGTAATTGAACCGACTTTGGTCAATTAGTTGTTTAATAAGCGGGAAAAAAACGAAATGTTGGCTAATTGCTCAGCACTAGTGCTTTGTAGTGTGTAGTGACTTTGAAGAAGTCATCCATTTTACATTGACTTGAAATTCAGTCACCTGGGAAAGAACTGGAAATATTTGTTTGGGCTCTATTCAATCCATATCGCGGAAGTTCAGCGGTACAGCGTGATTGAAATGTAATGTAAAGGCAATGTACCTTTGAATTTCTATTGCGCAGTCTGTAACACAGCGATATAGATTGAATAGAGCCCTCAGACTGACTGATAGATGGTTCAGTCTCATGGTAATGATTTAAGTGGATCAGCTTACAACAGCTTTGTGCAAACAGAACCTAGATATTTTGTATGTCTTCCAGGGTAAGGTTTTGTAAGACTATCACTAAGTGCAATTCACGATATTGAATAGTACAAACATGAAGATGTCATTTGCAACATATTTAGCATCTGAGTTGGCATTGTTATGTCAACTATTTTATACAGTCGCATCCTCAACCCGTGGGATGAGTCTGTAGTTTAAAACCCATACATGTCCTCCACAGCTGATAGATAAGAAAATTATTAATTAAACCCATTATTATTTTTACATGACTGAATTATTTGTTATTGATGTTATTTGGTTTCTATGGACCAACTTTTACCGGACAATTGTCTATAGTCCTGCTGTCATTACTATTTGTCAAAAGGGACCAAGTCTTCATTTCAATGTTGCCTGTTGTATTCTGTTATTTTCCTTTATTGAAGCTTGCAACAGTTATTTTTTACTTCCTTTTACTGTAAGATTAGTGATGACTTCAGGGACTTTTTACATTCCTCTTTAATTATTCTTTAATGTATTATCCTCCTCCTTTACTTCTTCTCCATTTCATACATATCTATTTTCCATCTTTATCCCCTCCTCCTCAAACCCATCCTAATTCTTTGAAGACCCATCTTCATTTTTGTTGTTTATTTTCTTCCTACTTTTGATGCATTCTTTCCTCCACATATGTCAGCTCTTTACTTCACCTTCAATTTTATTCGAAGGCTGTTGCACTTAACGTAGATTATGTTGTGGACATTGAGTCAATTACATTTCATTAGATCTCTATTGATGATGACAATCAAACTTAGTATGAGACTGAAATGTATTTTATTTCTTTTGTAGGTTTTAATCATCCTGAAAAGACAGTCATTTCTTAATTCCAATAAGGTCAAAATAAAAACACAATTGGTTACTGTTTCTTTACTTGTTTGTTTATGAATTGCTGCCAATCCTTTTTCAACAAAGTTATGCTTAATATAGCACCATAGAAAAGTAGAAATGTTAGAAAGCCATGTTAAACATAATTTAAACAAAAGTTCTGATACATTAATGCAGTGGATTTGATCTACATGTGGATTATGTTTCGCACACTAGTTTCATTTTCATTAAAACTGTGTGATATGTCTCAACAGACACATTACTCATTTCTACCCTCAGGCGACTCTGTGACTGTGCACTCATTTTTAGGATACATCTGTTGGTGTTTCCGTGCCGTGTGTGTGTGTGGGCGTGCGTGTGCATATATTGAATGTGAGTTCTAAGCCTACATGTAAACAAGGCACTGTCAGTGTGTCACACTGTGTATCTCTATACTGAATTGGGATTCACCCCATTGCAGTATAGGTTGTGCATGTTACTGTATGATCATGAATGTACATATAAAATGCAATAAATGAGTATATCAGCCCAGTATGAGAGAGAAAATAAGCAGGATGCACAGTGCACCTCCCCTCCAGATGGGGGCAGCATGGGCCATAGCCCCGTTGCACAGGTCCGTTTCACAGCAGTCGTTTTGGTAGGTGAAGTTCAGGCCTGCAGCATGTTTCTCCCCAGATAGACCACATTGAGAGGGAATGGCACAGCTCTTCTCATACAGGAGCAGACGCAGGGAGCCTACAGATGGGGAAAAGGGTCATATCAGAGTTGTATCCATACAGTACAGTATATTTCACTTCAGTAAGTCGAGGCCTATTTGTCAGTGCACTGGCTGAAATAGAGACAAGAGGAGATGATAGTGTAATTGCTAGACTGACAGACATTGTGATGTATTACTGTCACACTAAGAGACATACAATTGGCCCACCAAAAGTCAGTGGATAGACCACACCAGCTCTGCATTTAGAAAGGTGTTAACACAATACATTAAATCACTGCAAATTACTGACCTCAATTGAATTATGTGGCATAAATACTTTTCAGAGCAGTCCCTTTCCTCTTATCCTCAGAGGCACACAGAATCCTGTGTCCCACTCATTTAGCGCTTGGCTATTTTTAGAGATCATTTGATGGCATCACAGGCATTAGAGAGCTAACAACCGGCTTGGTGAGAGAATTGTGGTGACATTTGGTCTTTTCAGCTAGTCTTTTGTCTCACATTATGTAGTGAATATCCAGTAGGAAGGCAAGGCTGGCACAGTGGCCCATAAAACATCTCCCACACTCTTCAACTTCAGTTAACGTTACACAATTGCAGTGCCACTCAAGTTTGTTATTCAATCCGATTCACAATCATGAAACATTATTGTATATTCTCTTAAGTTTATGTCATGCCACCTCCACCGGAAACCCAATACTGTCCCCAATGCCCACACACATAGACAAACACACGCATGCACCCACGCATGCATGCACGCACACACGCATACACACACAAAGGCACAGCCTGCACTCACCTCGCGTCCCCACTGCAGTGCTAGCTAGGCAGCGCTGTCCGTCAGGACACTCCTGAGGGAACTTGAGGCAGTCCATGGGAGAGATGGCAGGAAACACACATGTGTAACAGCACAGAGGGGCTAATAAAGAAAGGGACCAACATACAATAAGATTATGTATTAAATATAAGATGTACATCATACTAATGGGGGTAAAACACAAAATGTAGTATGATATGTTACGTTTCGTATGTTATGTATTAATTTGTAGATGTCCATCACCCATTTCGTATGATATGCTACGAATTACAATTCATATTATATGTTATGAATTTGCCAAAAGTACAATATGTTACCAATTTGCAAAATGTACAATATGTTACGAATTTGCAAAACGTATGATTTGTTACGAATTCTAGCTAGGTGGCTAACGTTAGTTAGCTTGCTAACGTTAGCTAGGCTAGGGGTTAGGGTTAAGGTTAGGGTTAAGTTTAGGAGTTAGGTTAAAGGGTTAAGGTTAGGGGAAGGGTTATCTAAAAGGGTTAAGGTTATGGGAAGGGTTAGCTAACATGCTAAGTATTTGCAAAGTAGCTAAATAGTAGTAAGTAGTTGAAAAGTTGCTAAAATCTTCTCTGAGGAGATTCAAACTCGCAACCTTTGGGTTGCTAGACATTTGCGTTATAAGCCCACCCATCCACCCTGACCTTAAGTAACCATCTGGCTTACGTAACCATACCAAAGGGAACATATCATACTAAATGGAGTGGGCTTACATACAGAATAATACGAAATGCTCTGAGACCGGGTTGACTAACTAGATAATGTAGCATTATTATCTCAATGCATTTCTCCTGCTATTGAGATATGGGTCGAATCTAAAAAGAGAGTTGTCCTTGTTAAACATAGTGAATTGAGTATTCCTAGGCATTATAAAGCTTATCTATTTTCCTCAAACTTTCTCATCTCCATCCTTTTCTTACATACCTGCCAAAGGAAGACAGCACAGGAAAAGAAGGAACAGTTGTAGAGGAGACATCTTAGAAGTCGTAGAAGTTGATTCTTGGGCACTTTAGAAAATATTAGAAGCTCTTCTCTCGTTTTGGTAAACGTCCCTGCCTGATACCTTCAGCCTCTCTCTTCTCCCAACTCCACTAGCAGTTAATAGGTTGCGTGTCCCATTCAAACCCAAATTGAATTTACTTTCCTTCCAAGTCAGCATCCAATCCATCCAACTCTCAATCATTCTCTCCCAGTCAACCACACGCTCTGTTTTTTCTTACTGTATTATTTCTCTCTCTGATAATGCAATGTGTCCATATGTCATTTGTATTGTCCTCAGATGGTCAGTTGTAAGTTCCCTCAATCTACCTCCCCATCTATCTCTGGTGCTCTTTCTTTCTGACCAACCAGACACATTGGGAGCAAAGGCTCCCACCCAAAACTCTCCAAATGTAATTTGGATGGTAACCATGTAATGCTTAAACTAACATACCTACAGTTTAATATGTCTAAATCTGTCTAAAACTGGGATTTACACAGAGGGCCTTACTTTTAAGAAAACAACTAAATGTGATTTATATTGTACTGACTCAAAAATAGCAAGGCAAGTTACACATCATGTCCAAAATGAAAGCTACACCCAGATGACGGGATGCACTGTATGTGTAACCTACAACATTTAAGTCATTTAGCAGACACTCTTATCCAGAGCGACTTACATCAGCAATTAGGGTTAAGTGCCTTGCTTAAGGGCACATCGACAGATTTTTCACCTAGTCGGCTCAGGGATTAGAACCAGCGACCTTTCGGTTACTGGCACAACGCTCTTACCCACTAAGCTACCTGCCGCCCCTAACATTATGCATTTTATACATTAGTATTTATTGCTGAAAAGCTTATGCATTCAATTTATGCATTCAGCTTATGCATGAGATAATAAAGAGAGAAAGGGAGGGAGACAGACAAACAGACAGACGGACAGAGAATGACTAAGAAAGAGAAAGAGTAAGTAGGAGGCAGGCAGAGAAAGTAACTGCATTATCCATAACTCCCTAAAGAGTGCCGTGAGGTGGGCAGGGAGGATAGTCAAGTGACAGGGGCCTTGTGATTGGGGTGGGATCAGACCGGATAAACAGTTTACCAGTCATTAAGCACACCACATACAGCCAGCCTTCCTGAAACCCATTAGATAGGCAAGGGTCATGTTCATAGCGCACAGAATGGAAGAAAACAGAGTGAAACAGGGAGGAACTACATTAACTTGTCCAATAAGAACTGCTTGTTTTGCTATGGGGAAGGGAGGATTAGCTAGTTGGCCTATGCTGGTGCTGGTGTGTAGAATACATGTCCTCCACTGTATTTCAGTGGGATGTTTTGTGTGGGCTGGAGTTGGGCTGACAGATGGTGTTCTTCGTTAATCATGTGTGTGTGTGTGTGTGTGTGTGTCTGTTGTGTCTCTCTCCCCATCTCTCTCTCTCTAACTACATGAAATGAATCAAATCTGCAGTGGACTGTTTTTATATTTTTGACTGCAGTAACATATGCCAGTCGCTAGACGGGAACATTGCACTGCCCTGTCTGCAGGTCACACACCATCTGTCATTAGTGGGTCTGTTTGTGTATGTTAACCATTTATTCAGAGATGATTATCTCAAATGTGAGACTGAGTAATGCTCAACAATTGCAGGCCGAACCTCTGAAGTGTGATAAACCACCAGCATTGATAATAAATTAGAAACCTGTTGTTAATTCTCCAAGACAAACAGACACTTTGACAAACTATGTTATGTGACTCCATCATATCTCTTTCTCTTGGACCCATTGCACAGTTACATTACCCATATTGCAGAAAAAATGGGATTATTTTTCGCAGACAAAGACTAGACCCCAACAACATACACACACACACACAAAGATAAACAATTGAATAGACAAACGTATTGCGTCTGTAAAAAAAAAGGTTGGAAATGAATAATGTGGCCATGTAGAATTTACTCGGATGAGCGCACGAGAAGAAAATAGCATTGCGAATTGATATAACTGTTGACGTTTATATGTAGAATGGGCGGATACAATTTTGGCGAGGGGGGGGGGGGGGGGGGCGGCACACTTGGAAACAATGGATCAGGGGGAAAATATGAACCCAATGGATCAGGGGGAAAATATGAAACCAATAATCTCTCCGGGGTGGGGGGGCACACTTGGAAACCACTTTAAATCAATCTTTGTTACTAAGAATGCTGCATAGAAAGAGATTACGTTAGAAGGAACATTTCAACGGGTTTGGGAAACCTTTTATAAAGAGATTAGCTGTTAAGCCTAGGCCTACTTTATTAAAGAGACAGAAGTCAGAATAATTTGCGAGTTGAACTCTGGTGGATGAATTCTATTCGATCTACACTTTTCATACAAGGTAAGAAGCAAATCTATCATTAATATAACCTACTGTCTACTTTTGTCGTTGAGCGGAGAGGGGGAATCCGGATTGGACAGGACAGACTGGTGGGGGATGGGGAGGGCAAGTTGGGGATGACAGGGTGAACAGGGCAACCGGTGAGACGGGGAGAGGGGAATATAGAAGAGGAAATAAAAACGGGATACGATGACCGGGAAGACACTGCCAGGGGAAATAACAGAATTTGAACAACTGTAAAAGCAATAATGAGGTAGGCTTACATCTCCATTTATATTTTGGAATATTGACATTGCACTGGGCGTGATGAGCTCTTACAGGCAAATATTTCAGATGCTTTTCGTTTAATTTGTTACTCTGCAGATGGCTGGCATGGGATGATAAAAAGGCATTGAAATAAATTAGTAAGAGCAATATTCCTAAATCTAGGTTTAGGTAGGCTACATTCCTAAAATCAATACTGAGAGACATCACTTTTTGTTTATTGTCTGATAGTTACTCAAATTCTGCCGTGAATGGTTATTATCACCCTGCTATCAAATGTTATTTTTTTCTCTTAATGATCCAGAAAACACCAAATGTAGGCAGCATGTGAACATATAGGGGCACATATTGACAATCCCGCGACACTTGTTGCGTCAAAATGTTAGAGGGGTCAACCTGAATTTGCTCCACATTCTGGTTTGGGAAACGTGATGTGCATAGCAGGGAGAGTCGTTCATGCAAAGAGAATATTGCCGCTGGGATTCACTAAAGGATGATAATAAAGCAGTGATTGTCTCTAAACTGTAGCCAACGAGCAGATAGATTTGCCATTGCAAGGCCATTGTAGGATGTTGTGCTCAAATAATCTGCCCTTGAACAATGCAGCCCTTGTCTGTATTAATTCTGGTTCACAGTTCAACTTGAAATAAGTATAGTGTCACTATCTACATGACTAACTATTGAATCATTGTTTTTATTTAGTTGGTCTCAATCATTTAAATCAAGTAGGCCTATTCAATAGCATATGGGGGCTATATAGTGGTGGACACTGGACACTTCAGATTACCCTGTTTTTCTTTCATGCCATCTTTGTCCAACTCCAGTACCACCACAAAACAGACATTTGTCTCTCTGAGGAAAATATGTTATGGTCCAGACAGAATGGTTAGCCTACTGTATGTCCTACAGTTGAAGAGACCGAGATGTATGCAGTAGAGCAGAGACAATTGATCACAGGAACGTTCATCTAATGAGTCACTGAGCATGTTTACTGAGCATTTACATCAAAAGCCCCAAAGAATCTGTCTTCCTCCTTTCTTTCAGACACCAATCAGACAGAAACTCCCCATATTTACCTCCCTGGAACTTTGGAGTGGCTGATCACTGAAGTGGAAGAACAGGGATGAAGACTTTCTCCTGTGTGTTTTCCTGCCTGGGTGACATACTCCCCATAGAGTTACTGTTTCTCTCCATTACATCCCTTTAGTGTCCAGTTGGTCTTGCCATCACACCTCACAGCTTCTCAAACAGTTGGGAATACACTCTGACAAGAACTCTCACCCACTCCCTCCCACTCCCATCTTGTGGCGCACACACACACTTTTACTAGCCCATAGCCAGGGTACTCCCACACCTTCACACATACACTACGCACACACACATCATGGCGAGCGTGTTGCCGTACGGCCGCTTCACCCACGCCGTGGTGCGAGTCATCCCAGAGACCTTTGGGAAGGTCGATAACGAGAAAACCGACAAGGTTGAAAACGGGGAAACCACGACGGACCTGGCCAAAGCACAGCGTCAGTTTGGGGTGCTGACAGGGGCGCTGAGACAGAAGGTGGGGCTGCAGCTCATAGAGATCCCTGCGGACCCAGAGCTACCAGAGAGCTGGAGGATAGAGGATGTAGCGGTGATACAGGGAGACACGGCACTCATCACCAGACCTTTCAAACAGCAGAGACGCAGTGAGGTAAACATTGACCACAATAACTGAGAAAAATATTTATTCTCTTTATCGCATAATTTTTTTACACTAAATGAAGGACATTTGTGTGTGTTGTGAATCATTCCGCTAAACGTGTTGTAGTTCTGTCTACAACTAAAATGTAAATGTAAATGTAATTATTGATTTATTTTGCTGTTATTTATGTTTTAATTATAGATTAATGTTGCAGTAGAGTCAGTTTGACCTGGAAAATCAACTATCTCTCCCCTTTTCCCTCCCTCCCTGTCCCTTTCTCCTATCTCCCTAAGGCTGAAGCGGTGAGAAGGGTGATGTTGGAGCTCAACCTGACAGTGGTGGAGATGGGGGAAGAGGAGGGGGGCTCCGCAGGAGCCACGCTGGAGGGCAGTGACGTGCTCTTCACTGGCAGGGAGTTCTTTGTGGGCATCTCCTCCCACACCAACCACAGAGGAGCTGAGGTTCTGGCCGACACTTTCAGAGTAAGTATAGTTTTATTCCTTTCTCAAACCACATGAGAGGACAAGACCCAAAGTCCCTCCCCTCCGACCTTCTCCTCCAATGTGTTCTGAGAAGGAGGCAAGCAAAGAGGACGTAAGGAATCAAGGAAAGACAAATTGGGAAAGAGCCCATGTGTTGCAGCAGGGATGAGCAGGTGGCCATTGTCCTATTGTATTATGAGATTTAAGGCTCAAAGACAAATGATGGAGGAGTAAGCTATGTCCCATTGGTCAGGGATGGTGGTGATCACACCAGGAAGTCCCCTGAGATTTGACATGGTCCACAGTAGTGCCATTAGGTATTGATGGCTTTCTCTTGCTAAGTGCATTTTTGGCAGTTGTGTGTATATCTGTGCACGTGAGTTCACTTGTGTGAGGGTAGAAAGAGAGAGGGGAGAGTATGAATGTACAATGTAAATGCATACTTCTTACTTCTCTACCATGCTCCCATAAACTAGACATTATGTTTTCGCAGTCAGTTCTGTTTATTTAATTGAATTTGAATGGACTTATAATGGTAGTTAATACCATAAGCTGTTGGATTTGATAATTCAATATCACTCAGGGTGTGGCATGCAATCTACACCATTGTGTGTAGGGCTGTTTGTGCCTGCGTCTGTCTGCTTTCCTTTTACATGCAATATTTACACAAGTTATTATCTAATCTATCTGATTACTTACTTGATGTCCAAGTACATGACCATATTAAAAACAAAAAAGTAATTAAAAGATAAATCATTTTCTTTCGGTCCCTGTGTACAATATTATATAGGTCACTTAATGTTCTTACCATCTCTGACCTCGTTTTAGGACTTTGCTGTGTCCACAGTGCCAGTGTGTGGGGGTGCTCGTCTAAAGAACATCTGCTCTATGGGAGGTCCTGATACTATCATCATCAGCAACAGTGATGGGGCCAAGAAGACCCTCCGGGTGAGTGTGTGTGTTTGTGTGTGTCCGAGAGAAAGACTGTGAATGAATATACTGTAGCTCTCTATCCATGTGCAGACCACATTCTGCTTGCCACAACAAACTGCCATTCAGACATGCAAAGTGATCACCTCAAAAGACTGTCTCTAGCCCAGTATTTATGTCACTGTGCTCAGATGAATAAAGTAAATGATAAATCAAGCTTTATTGGGCTGTTTTAAACTCTCATGGTGTTGTTTAGAGCCCCATTAGCCCACATTACCCTAGTGTGTGTGCTCCATTTGGTCCCCATCCGGAGATGATTGGCTCATGCACATTTCAGTTTCTCCCTGTGTGGGCTACTCTAATGTGAACAGACTCTGGCTGCTGCTGTCATGCAAATCTTGTTAGCCCTGCCTCTGTGTGTGTGTGTGTAGATGATGGAGCAGCTGACTGAACACCACTACAAAGTGCTCACGGTCCCTGAGGGCGCAGCAGCTAACTGTGTCTACATCAGGGGCCCCTCCAAAGGGGACTACCTGCTTTACCCGCCCACTGAGGAGTGTCCCGACAGTGTCCCTGTGAGTGAACAGTGGTCTTTAGGTTGCTTTACTAAGCAGTTCTTTTTTATATCCACCGTATTGTGTCTTTGGCATATACATTGCCTTCAGAAAGTATTCGTACCCCTTGATTTATTCCACATTTTGTTGTTACAGCCTGAATTTAAAATGGATTAAATAGCATTTTTTTCTCTCACCCATCTACACACACTACCCCATAATGACAAAGTGAAAACATGTTTATAGAGATTTTTGCACATTTATTGAAAATGAAATATAGAAATAATCAATTTACGTAAGTATTCACACCCCTCAGTCAATGCATGTTAGAATCACCTTTGGCAGCGAATACAACTGTGAGTCTTTCTGGGTAAATCTCTAAGAGATTTGCACACCTGGATTGTACAATATTTGCACATTATTCTTTTTAAAAAAATTCAAGCTCTGTCAAGTTGGTTGTTGATTATTGCTAGACAGCCATTTTCAAGTCTTTCTATAGATTTTCAAGCCGATTTAAGGCAAAACTGTAATTAGGCCACTCAGGAACATTCTATGTAATCTTGGTAAGCAACTACAGCTGAAGTCGGAAGTTTACATACACCTTACATTTCAACTCAGTTTTTCACAATTCCTGACATGTAATCCTAGTAAATATTCCCTGTTCTAGGTCAGTTAGGATCACCAATTTATTTTAAGAATGTGAAATGTCAGAATAATAGTAGAGAGAATGATTTATTTAAGCTTTTATTTCTTTCATCACATTCCCAGTGGGTCAGAAGTTTACATACTCTCAATTAGTATTTGGTAGCATTGCCTTTAAATTGTTTAACTTGGGTCAAACGTTTCGGGTAGCCTTCCACAAGCTTCCCACAATAAGTTGGGTGAATTTTGGCCCATTCCTCCTGACAGAGCTGGTGTAACTGAGTCAGGTTTGTAGGCCTCCTTGCTCGCACACGCTTTTTCAGTTCTGCCCACAAATGTTCTATAGAATTGAGGTCAGGGCTTTTGCGACCAAGCTTTAACTTCCTGACTGATGTCTTGAGATGTTGCTTCAATATATCCACATAATTTTCCTTCCTCATGATGCCATCTATTTTGTTAAGTGCACCAGTCCCTCCTGCAGCAAAGCACCCCCACAGCATGATGCTGCCACCCCCGTGCTTCACGGTTGGGATGGTGTTCTTCGGCTTGCAAGCCTTCCCCTTTTTCCTCCAAACATAACGATGGTCATTATGGCCAAACAGTTATATTTTTGTTTCATCAGAACATTTCTCCAAAAAGTACGATCTTTGTCCCCATGTGCAGTTGCAAACCGTAGTCTGGCTTTTTTATGGCGGTTTTGGAGCAGTGGCTTCTTCCTTGCTGAGCGGCCTTTCAGGTTATGTCGATATAGGACTAGTTTTACTGTGGATATATATACTTTTGTACCTGTTTCCTCCAGCATCTTCACAAGGTCCTTTGCTGTTGTTCTGGGATTGATTTGCACTTTTCACACCAAAGTATGTTCATCTCTAGGAGACAGATTGCGTCTCCTTCCTGATCAGAATGACGGCTACGTGGTACCATGGTGTTTATACTTGCGTACTATTGTTTGTACAGATGAACGTGGTACCTTCAGGCGTTTGGAAATTGCTCCCAATGTTGAACCAGACTTGTGGAGGTCTACAATTCTGTTTATGAGGCCTTGGCTGATTTCTTTTGATTTTTCCATGATGTCAAGCAAAGAGGCACTGAGTTTGAAGGTAGGCCTTGAAATATATCCACAGGTACACCTCCAATTGACTCAAATTATGTAAATTAGCCTATCAGAAGCTTCTAAAGCCATGACATCATTTTCTGGAATTTTCCAAGCTGTTTAAAGGCACAGTCAACTTAGTGTATGTAAACTTCTGACCCACTGGAATTGTGATACAGTGAATTATAAGTGAAATAATCTGTCTGTAAACAATTGTTTATTTATTATAAAATTACTTGTCATGCACAAAGTAGATGTCCTAACCGACTTGCCAAAACTATAGTTTGTTAACAAGAAATTTGTGGAGTGGTTGAAAAACGAGTTTTAATGACTCCAACCTAAGTGTATGTAAATTTCCGACTTCAACTGTATATGGCCTTGTGTTTTAGGTTATTGTCCTGCTGAAAGATGATTTTGTCTCTGTGTCTTTTAGAAAGCAGACTGAACCAGGTTTTCCTCTAGGATTTTGCCTGTGCTTAGCTCTATTCAGTTTATTTTTATACTTAAAAAACTCCCTAGTCCTTGCCGATGATAAGCATACCCAATACATGATGTAGACACCACCATGCATGAAAATATGAAGAGTGGTACTCAGTGAAGTGTTGGATTTTCCCCAAACATAACGCTCTGTATCCAGGACCTAAAGTTCATTTCTTTGCCACATTTTTTGCAGTTTTACTTGAGTGCCTTATTGCAAACAGGATGCATGTTTTGGAATATTTTTCTTCTGTACAGGCTTCCTTCTTTTCACACTGTAATTTGGGTTAGTATTGTGGAGTAACTACAATGTTGTTGATCCAGCCTCAGTTTTCTCCTATCCCAGCCATTCAACTCTGTAACTGTTTTAAAGTCACTATTGGCCTTATGGCGAAATCCCTGAGCGGTTTCCTTCCTCTCCGGTAACTGAGTTAGGAAGGATGCCTGTATCTTTGTAGTGACTGGTGTATTGATACATCATCCAAAGTGTAATTAATAACTTCACCATGCTCAAAGGGATATTCAATGTCCACTTTTTTTTATTTACCCATCTACCAATAGGTGCCCTTCTTTACAATGCATTGGAAAACCTCCCTGGTCTTTGTGGTTAAATAAAATGTTATGATCTCTCTATTCCTGCCCCCCCAGGCCTTCCAGAAGCTGACGGAATACACCCTCCTCCCTACAGCGTGCAGCGAGGCCTCCAAGCTTGGAGGGTCTCTGTCTTCATTCTGCCTACTTATCAATAGGAAGCCATACTTCTGAATGCCCTGCCCTTCTCCAATAGTACACACATAGACCTTCATTGACTATATGTAAATACAAATGTGAACATATCAAGGACATCGCCAACTGTTGGGAATGGGGCTAAAGGGGAAGTCTTAATGGGATCCTTGGGACATCCCAACTCTGAAGTTGAAATTTAAAACGGCTAAGGTAAGGGGTTAAGGTCAGTGTTTAGGGTAGGGACATCCCAAGGATCCCAGATAGCACTAACCAGGAATAGAGGGTTCAATGTGCATATTCTGCACAACTGCACCCCCTACTGTGGAAAGAGTGCGGTGTGGCTTGAGGAATTTTATTAGGCTCTAGATTTGAAATGTAGGTGTGATGTATGCGGCCATTTTATGTCCCTATATAACAACTTGTATTTAAATAGACCCATCCATCCTCAAAGTAGGCTGTTGTTGCGGCCATAGAAATATAATCCATAGAAGGGACGTGCCACGTCTAAAATTGACAGGAAAACTTGCAATGGCTGCCACTTCTGACTTGAATCGGCACGTCCGTTGTATGGATTCTATGTCTATGGTTTTATCGACCTTTTGCACATTTCTAAATACAATCACAGGAAAAAGTAGTTTGGAAAGCAAATGCCTCGTGCTGAAAAAGACGACGAATCTGTCTAGAATCTACCTTTTTTTAAACTCAATATTTTGCGAACATAAAGGGAGAGGCGGAGCGAGAAGTTTTACTCATTCCAAAATCAGACTGCCATCCATACAAATACTCCTCACTGAGGAGTATTTGTATGGATGGCAAAGTATCGAATTTATTCAAGATAAAATTAATTGGTACGTGAGGCTTATTTGATAGAAGTTTGGTCATGCTCAAGTTGTTACGAATGTACTGATATAACTGTTGCATGTCACTTCCCGGCAACTTTGAGAAAAAAAACACTATCGGAGTTGTCTCTATTGAAATTCGAGAGTTGTCTCTATTGAAATTCGTTCATTTCCATTGAATATAGGCGGTTGACGTCAACACCACTCATCGAATATTGAAATAATTAGATGTATCCACCAATCCAGAGAGGCATAGGCGGGAGCTTAACAGCCCACCGTTCCGCGGAAAGCGAATCCCTAGTACCTCTCGCGAACAACTGTTTTTTTTAGCCCATATTTCCTCCTAATACTGTCTTGGTTGCATTCACCATGAGGTTGTTGTTCTCAGTTTGTCGGTGTCAGAGTAACCACTAATTTCAGTCATGTGTGGTATAACAAATAATGATTGTGCTGACTCCATTCATGTAGTCTAAATGACATAGAATAGCAGGAAATGAGTTTATGAAAGGCCCATTTTTTTCTGGATTCTGTGGACAAATCCTAAAAACACCTATACTCAACTGTAGGCGGAGGGCACTATGCAAATGTGATAGAGGCATTTACATTTACGTCATTTTAGCAGACTCTCTTATCCAGAGCTACTTTACAGTTAGTGAGTGCATACTTTTTTTTCCTTCTTCATACTGGCCCTCCGTGGGAATCGAACCCACAACCCTGGCATGCAAGGCTTTATTGTAAAGGGGATTATAAATTCAAGTTTGTTTAATTAGTACAGGTGAAATCTACTAAAATGCAGATTGAGGGTCTGCGTGTTGAAAATCCAGACCCCCCCCCCCAGTAAAAAAAATTCTCTGGCGCTAGGTATGAATGTAGGCTGTTATGTTCTTTGTCATAGGACATAATGACCAATGTGGAATTGTAAACATTTAAAGAATGTCCTGGTGGTTGAGATCCGACTGTGAAATTAATTGCCCCGGGAAGGAACGAGTTCAAAAGTCCCCTTCAACAATTTCCATCATTACCCTTGCATTGTTTGTAGTTCCTGTGGATTAACCAAGGACCAAATTGGAAAGATTTATGGATTGAAACACTGACAGTTGTTCATAATGTCTCAAACACATCACTGAGGGTTGTAGACTATATTGCTCAACACCCCCAGACCATGATATAGTATGAAAAATGTATGCACTCACTAACTAAGTCACTCTGGATAAGAGCGTCTGCTAAATGACTAAAATTTAAATATAGCAACTCTGAACAAACTGGCATTGTTTGAATCTCAGTACTTGGGTTTTGTACTTTTTTGCAAAGTCCTCATTGGTGATAAAGCACTGACATTGACCTACTTCCCATTAGAATCCAAATCTGTAGTATGCATCTAAGACGCTGCATTCATTTACATATTTTAGTGTAGCTTTTGTATGTGATGTTTAGAACTTTGTATTTAGTAGATTCTCAAATAAAATAATTTTAAACATTTGACTCATTCCTCAACCCAGTCATGTATTAAGGCCTTTATAAGTGTGCATTTTACTAAAAACCATAACACATTAAACTTAAAACAAAAATGACGTTTTCAAATTTATTTCCTTGTTTTTTTTTCTAGAAAGCAAACTTTAACGGTTGGACTTGGCGACTCTCTCCAACTCATCCTTCTTCTTGATGGCGTAGGAGTTAGAAGAACCCTGACAGAGACAAAACATTCAATATTGATCAAAACCAAATAAATTGACACCGATAACTTTTTTTAAATGTTTCCCCCCCTAACATATAACAGCACACTACAAAAATCTGATGAAAACTGCAGACTGGTTTGGAACCAAATCTGTTCAGTACTGAAATATCATTTGAGACTACACATTAAACAAAGTCTCACCTTGGCAGCGTTGATCAGCTCATCAGCGAGGCACTCCGCAATAGTCTTGATGTTCCTGAAAGCAGCTTCTCTTGCTCCAGTGCACAGCAGCCAGATTGCCTGAGACACAGGTGGCAAGACATTAGTGGAGGCAGATATGCACAACACTGAATAGAAATAAACTGTTGTGAATCTACACAAATCACAAGTAAAAAATGGAGGTTCTGTATCTGAGCTGGTGATTGGCTGGGCCACATGAGACAATAGCCAATGAATAGGCAAAGATGTTTACTCTACGAGCACTCTAGCACACCAGGACAATGAGTTTGTAAAGGCGTGACTCTAGCCTCGCTTACACACAAAAAATGACAAGTCTAATATTCCTGTTACTTCACTTGTGATTTAGCCTAGATTTTTGGCAGTGAACCAAGTGGCAGCATGCACAGGTACTGCGTTGGAGAGCATAATGTGCAGGCAGTTCACGTTACCTGGTTGACTCTACGCAGAGGGGACACGTCCACAGCCTGCCTCCTCACGGTACCAGCACGACCAATACGGGTGGAGTCCTCACGGGGTCCGCTGTTGATAATGGCATTGACCAACACCTGCAGGGGGTTCTGAGAGGGCAAGGCAGAGGAGAGACAAGGTCAACCACCACAACCGTACTGTAAACCATATTCAGGAGTACAAATATCACAGGGAAAGACACTCAGGACGTCCTGCTGACTGAACTAAAACTGGAGTGATAACAGTAACAGGAGAGTAGGCATGGACTTAAAGCATTAAAAGTTCCATGTGGTGTGTGTTCCAGGCCTTTCGGCACAGAGTTGCCCATTTGTTTAGGCAGCCCTGCTTCCTAGAGCTGGGTCTATCTGAGCCTCCACTGGATTATACTCAGTCACAAAAACAGACCGGCATAGTGGCGGGAGGCTGACAGGCATGGAGTTTGAGGCAAAGTAAAAGTTCCAAATGGCACCCTATTTTGACCAAGGACCAGAGTAGTGCACTATAAAGGGAACAGGATTCCATTTGGGATGCAAAAAACTATGTTGAATAAGGTAATCATTTAAATAAATAATTTAGTCATTTAGCAGATGCTCTTATACAGAGCGACTTACAAGAGCAATTAGGGTTAAGTGCCTTGCTCAAGGGCACATCGACAGATGTTTCACCTAGTCGGCTCGGGGATTAGAACCAGCGACCTTTCGGTTACTGGCACAACGCTCTTAACCATTAAGCTACCTGCCGCCCCACAGCGATGGTACGTACCTCCCCAGTCAGCAGGTGGATGATCTCGAAGGCATGCTTAACGATGCGACAGGTCATCAGCTTCTTGCCGTTGTTGCGGCCGTGCATCATCATGGAGTTGGTGAGACGCTCCACAATGGGGCACTGGGCCTTGCGGAAACGCTTGGCGGCATAACGGCCTCCAGAGTGTGGCAGGTACTTAGCATACTTCTCCTTCACGGCAATGTAATCCTGAGTTGAAGGAAAAATAATCAATACTAGCTCCCTTCCCAGTAATTTAGGTTTGAATGTCCAGGTTAAATGGGAATACATACATTTTCATGTTTCTGAGCTGGTGATTGACTGGGCCACAAGAGACTACAGCCAATGAATATGCAAAGAAGTTTACTATGCGAGCACTCTAGCACACCAGGACAATGAGGGCTGTAAAGGCGTGACTCTAGCCTCGCTTACACAAATGACAAATTGCATTTTAGGGCATAGGGTATCAAGAAGGGTTCTCAGTCGAACATTGAAATGGCTTACCTGCAGGGAGATGTCATTGATCTGAACATCATCTGTGCTCCATTTCCCAAAGAGCTTGATTTCTGGCGTTTCAGCCACTGCTGGGGCAGTCTCCCACGACTCTGAAGTCACTGGAGAGAAACAGAATATTTGGTCAGGTAACACTTATCATTTCATTATGAGATTCAAGGTACCACATGCACAATGTCTGATCTCAGATCCCACATTAATCAATGACGTTACCACTTCACGATCAACTAATTAGTTGAATACATGAGGAAATGAAAAGGCTTCACGACAACCACCAACACTAGGAAGGAATTTCTGCCACTGCTGGCAACACACGAATAGTTAGCTAACGTTAGATATTATACCGGTTAACGTTTGCTAGTGATGTTGGCAAAGTGGGTTAGGCTACACATGGAAAGCATAATTACATGTGTAAATAACTACAACGTGTCTAATGAACTAGTAGGGATACAAATACAAAGGCAATGTGAACGCGCCTACACACTAGGCCCAAAAGCCTAACATCAGCTCAAGTCTACCAACTAGCGGTCGCTAGTTAGCTACAGTCACCTTACAATTTGACCAGCCAATGTCAAATTGTGAGCAAAAACATAACTACAATATCTATTTAAAATAAAGTGTTTAACAGCAAACTTAACATCTTGTAAACCAACATAATGTGCAGAGTGATCCCGCGAGGACGCTAAACGTGTAGTTAGCTAGTTAGCCATGTTGCACATGTGCTAGCATCGCGCTAACAATCTGCCCCGGCTGAAATTATTTGAGCACGGAGTAAACATTCAGATGCTTTAAAAACGACTTTGGACTAAAAATTGTGGTCTTCTTTTGACTCAAAGGCAAACGAGTAATGTTACACTTACGATGGTTTGACATTGTGCACTTTCATGCAATTTTGCCCTTGAAAATAGTTTTAAAAAATTACTCACTTGTGTCTGCCGTTCTGTACCACACTTCTTAGAGACGGAAAAGGGCCTGGTCAGGTTGCCTCATGCACATATCCAGCGAAGCGGAAATTAGGCGGAAGTATCCGGCTTGCACGGATTTTATGGAAATTTAGTTCCATGGCAGAAATCTCATCTCCGATAGTTACATGAAATCTGTAAATGTAATTAAAACTGAAATTGGACTATATCATTTCCCTGATATGTTTTACAGAAACCCTCATGTTGTATTCAAGTTATTGATGTGGTGATCCACATATTTTTCAATGAAAATAACACCTACTGAATTTGGATGGAGCAAGGATTGTACAGTGAACAGAAGTATAAACGCAACATGTAAAGTGTTGGTCCTATGTTTCATGAGCTGAAATAAAAGATTCCATAAATGTTCCATATGCACAAAAAGTTTATCTCAAATGTTGTGCACAAATTTCTTTACATCCCTGTTAGTGAGCATTTCTCCTTTGCCAAGATAATTCATCCACCTGACAGGTGTGACATATCAAGAAGCTGATTAAACAGCACGATCATTACACAGGTGTACATTGTGCTGGGGACAATAAAAGGCCACTCTAAAATGTGCAGTTTTGTCACACAATCCAATGCCACAGATGTCTCAAGTTTTGAGGGAGCTTGCAATTGGCATCCTGACTGCAGGAATGTCCACCAAAGCTGTTGCCAGAGAATGTAATGTTCATTTCTCTACCACGCCTCCAAGGTCATGTTAGAGAATTTGGCAGTACGTCCAAACCGGCCTCACAACCGCAGACCACGTGTAACCACGCCAGCCCAGGTCCTCCACAGCCAGCTTTTTCAGCTGCGGGATAGTCTGAGACTAGCCACCCGGACACCTGATGAAACTGTGAGTTTGCACAACCAAATAATTTCTGCACAAACTGTCAGAAACCGTCTCAGGGAAGCTCATCTCTGTGTTTGTCGTCCTCCCCTGGGTCTTCACCTGACTGTAGTTCGGCTTCGTAACCGACTTCAGTGGGCAAATGCTCACCTTCGATGGCCACTGGCATGCTGGAGAAGTGTGCTCTTCACGAATGAATCCCGGTTTCAACTGTATGGCATCGTGTGGGCAAGCGGTTTGCTGATGTCAATGTTGTGAACAGAGTGCCCCGTGGTGGCGGTGGGGTTATGGTATGGGCAGGTCTGAATCGACGCGTACGATAGCATGTTCCAGTTCCCGCCAATATCCAGCAACTTTGCACAGTCCTTGAAGAGGAGCGGGATAACATTCCACAGGCCACAATCAACAGCCTGATCTACTCTATGTGAAGGAGATGTGTCGCGCTGCATGAGGCAAATGGTGTTCTACCTCATACCTTTCAGACCGTCAGTACGGTTGAAAGTATGGATTACATCCCTCGCGCTCCGCGCAGATCGAGTAATAATAACAACAAAGTCACGCCTGTGACATGACAGCGTGGGAGGACGTGCCCCCGCAGTTCATATAAAACAGTGCGTGGTCTGACGTACAGTCTCTTATTTCTTCTCGCAAAGTTAGCTTAGCCATATCACACAAGTTGACTGCTCTGCTGCACCCGTTTTTCGGATTGCATCTTCTCAGGTCCCGGTAGGGTAAGCTAAACTCTGTGTGAGTTGTGTGTACTGTCAGTATGTCACCAACAGCCTGTGACCTGTGGATCAGAGTGCAAAATTCACCCTCCAAGGCTGTGTGACAGCTCTCCCCTACCTATCCTTTTTATCAGAGGATATCGGGCTTCCTTGTCTTGTGCTGATTTAGCCCACCAGCTAGTGTGTGTGTTGGCCACTGTACTCCGGCCCCCACCATTCTCAGGGATCAGAATACCTTCAGTCACAGAACCCTTGACAGCTTGCGCCCTCAACCAGGAGATTACATCTCTCCTGGGGAAGGGTGCGATCACAAGAGTAAAAGCATGAGAACAGCAAGATGGCTTTAACTCAACCTATTTCCTGGTTCCGAAGAAAGACGGAAGTTTCTGTCCAGTTCTGGATTTAAAACGGTTCAATGTATTCCTAAAAGTTCTCCCCTTTCACGTTGCAGACGGTCAACGTTCTCCAGACCGTAGCCGCAGGGGAATGGTTCACGTCCCTGGACTTAAAGGATGCTTACTTTCACGTTACTGTGTTACCGGAACACAGGCGTTTTCTGCGGTTCACCTTCCAGGGCCAGGCATACCAGTTTGCGGTATTACCCTTCAGTCTCTCCCTGGCTCCTCGCGTCTTCACAAGATGCGTGAGTGCAGCCCTGCTCAGCCCTGAGCTCCCTCCACCTACAAGGGATCAAGATCCTTCCTTACCTCGACGACTGGCTCATCTGCGCCCCGTCTTGCGAGTGTACGGCCCGAGGGAACAGCACTGACACTGAACCACGTCACCGCACCGGGTCTTACCGTGAACAAAGAGAAGAGCAACTTCACACCAAGCCAAAAGGTCACCTTTATTGGCATGGCTCTGAACACCCGCACTATGAGGGCATGTATAACACCTCAGCGCGTGGACAGCATTCTTCTTCTTCTGCAATAATTTCTGTTGAATGCATTGGTGAAGGTACAAACATTCCAACAACTGATGGGCATGCTTGCGGTGGCCTCTGCGGTGACACCATTAGGCCTGCTGTCTTTAAGGCCTCTACAAGGGTGGTTCAACGACCTCCGCTTGGACCCCAAGCGGGACAGAAACACCAAAATATGGGTGACAAGTGCGTGCTACTCTACTCTGCGGCCGTGGAGGAAGAGAGCCTACCTGACTACAGGTGTCCCTCTCTGATCAATTCCGGCAAGGCGGGAGGTAGTAACGACCGACGCTTCGCTAACAGGCTGGGGAGCAGTGTGGCAACACAGGTCTGTATGAGGAGAGTGGTGCCCCCACTGGAGGAGCCGGACATAAAATGGTTCTCTGAAAACGGCTTTCCTCTTAGCTATTTCATCAGCGCAATATGTGAGTGCGGAGGAGGAGCGAGCAAATCACCTGCTTCCAGTCCATTCCCTCAAACGCTATATGAAAACCTCATAGTATTACAGGAAGTCAGACCAGCTCGGTGGGAAGTCAAAAGGCCTTGCATTGTCCAAGCAGAGGCTTTCATACTGGGTTGTGGACATCATCACTCAGGCCTAGGGCTCCCTGTCCCAGAAGGTGTGATATGTCACTAGACCAGAAGTGTCGCCACATCCTGGGTTGCGCTGAAAGACGTCCCCCTGAATGAGATATGCGCAGCTGCTACCTTGTCATCGCCCTGCACGTTCTCAAGATTTTACAAGGTCAACCTCGCATCCAGCCACACCATGGGCTCTGCCATTCTTCCAGTGGCACTGGTGCATTAATCAGAGGTTAGTAGTGCTATTCCTCATGACCTTGTTGGTATGGGTCATCCATACTTTCAACCATACTGATGGTCTGAAAGGTATGAAGTAGAACGGAAGTTACGAATGTAACTATAGTTCTACGAATACCTGGAAGACCGTCAGTACTTTCCTGTCACTCAATCTTTTGGGCGAGAATTCGTGCGTGGTCTGACGTACGGTTTTATATGAACCGCGGGGGCACGTTCTCCCACGCTGTCACGTCACTGGCGTGACTTTGTTGTTATTATTACTCGATCTGCGCGGAGCGCAAGGGATATAATCCATACTTTCAACCGTACCGACGGTCTTCCAGGTAGTCGTAGAACCATAGTTACATTCATAACTTCCGGTCACACCAGATACTGACTGGTTTTCTGATCCACGCCCGTACCTTTAAAAAAAAAAGGTATCTGTGACCAACAGATACATATCTGTATTCCCAGTCATGTGAAATCCATAGATTAGGGCCTAATGAATTTATTTCAATTGACTGATTTCCTTATATGACCTGTAACTCAGTAAAATCTGTGAAATTGTTGCATGTTACGTTTATATTTTCGTTCAGTGTATTTAAAAAGGTGCTACATTTCAATATTATTTTGAATAAGTTATTGAAAAAAAATCTATTTCATTTACATCCATAGCCGTAGGAAGTAGAGGTGCCCCCTGATAAATCACAATTAAAAAAATGTATATAAAAAATTGTTTCCCCCACCAAATTAGTGCACTAGGCGTTTATTACTCCTGTATGAGAGGATAAAAATACTTTAGAAATCCCTTAGAAGCAGAACATAAACCAAGAAGACACACACATAATACTGCAATGTCAACAACTTTACAAATATTTGTACAAGATATAACAATCCCTCATACCTGACAGTCTCATTTCTAGTTACATTTTTAATCTTTGTGCAATGCTTGCTATTTGAATTCACATAACTTCGAGTACTTTCACTATAGTCCCACAGGCAATCCCCTTTTTCATACAACCATAATAAAAACACCTATAACAGTATAACAAACAGTTGAGTTAAAAAGAAACCATTCCCTTTCTGACAAAAACAGACATAGGTTTGATCAAAAGCCTGAGATATCTAAATGCAACGAGAGGTACAGGTATGTCACATACATTATGTTCAGGTGGACAGGTAAATACCACTCTTTACTTTTCTCCCTTTCCATCCATTCCTAAACCCTCCTTCCTCATATTATCATTTTTGATCTCCAGTATCTCCTCCCTTTTTTCTTCCACTCCACCTTTTTAGCACCATCCCTGTAGGCAGTGTGTCATAACACTTCGGTTTGGAAACATATAAATGGAACACTGAGACACACATGGCTAACATTCTAAAAACGTAAGGCATGATTTCTACTGCAGCAGTCTGCCGGGTAGCTTAGCAACAGCAATGACCAGCAACAGTGTTTACATTACAGGTTAAAAAGACAATACATTTGTTACCAGCTAAAACCAATGGTAAAAGTCACTATAGCAATGAGATGAACTGGGCAGTAGGTCTGAAAATGAACAGAACGTCACTCAGTCAGGCACTGTTGTGTGGTTCTTTCTTAGGTATGTGTGGGTAAAACACAGACACATGGATACACATGTAACAGTATGTACATGTGGGTTTGAAGTGTAATGATGACGGTATGTTTTGAATCATTCTCACAGAAATGTAAGAACATAAGGAGTAGTTCACAATGTAGTGCAGACAGAGTTACTCATATTTCCACTGTGTGAATCACACTGCAGCGGTAAAACTGTGTGTGTGTGTTTCACTGTAAAGATTGTATGAAATATGACGATCTGTTCTTGTAATGCTGTTTGGTGTAGTCAGCTCTAGATGAGCCACTTCTCAATGCAGGTGTTGAACACCGTGTCATTGGAGTGCCACTTGACGTGCTCTACTCCAGCCATGGAGCACAGGAACAGGTCCCCGCGAGCGTTTAGGGTCTTCAGGCCAAACACATCTCTCAAATATAGCTGGGAAAGAAGGAGACGAATATAAGGAATCATTATGAGAAGATAACATCTAGCATCTTGATACATCTAGCATCAAGATGGAATCTTGTGTCATAATAATGATGCAAAACCATGGTCTAAAATAATACTTACATCCTGGTCCTTTATCTCAACGACAGTCTCGTTGTCATTGTAAAATCCAAACTGACTAAAGAGTAAAAACAGAAGAAGAGGGAAACAGTGAATGGATGACCTTGAATGAATAAGAGACACACAGACATATCATCTCTCTAGGAACACAATGCCTCATACATTAACGTGGAGAGAGAATATAAGTCCATTTAAGATCAAACATACCTTATCAAGCAGATAGAATGGAATCAATGCTTTACCAGAATATACACTGAGTATACCAAACATTATGAACACCTAACACACAAGGTGTTGAAAGCGTTCCGCAGGGATGCTGGACCATGTTGACTCCAATGCTTCCTACAGTTGTGTGAAGTTGGATGGATGTCCTTTGGCTGGTGGACCATTCTTGATACACACGGAAAACTGTTGAGCGTGAAAAACCCAGCAGTGTTGCAGTTCTTGACACAAACCGATGCGCCTGGCACCTTCTACCATACCCTGTTCAAAGGCACTTACATATTTTGTCTTGCCCATTCACCCTCTGAATGGCACACATACACAATCCATGTCTCAATTGTCTCAAGGCTTAAAAATCCTTATTTAACCTGTCTCCTCCCCTTCATCTACACTTATTGAAGTGGATTTAAAAAGTGACATCAATAAGGGATCATAACTTTCCACTGGTCAGTCTATGTCATGGAAAGAGCAGATGTTCTTAATGTTTTGTATACTCAGTGTAGATTACAAAGAATATTCCACTCTCTAGGAAAGAGGAAGGATGAACTAGTCACCTGGACTGCCAGGGTGTGATGACTCCGTCGTCTGGCCCCCCGATTAAGACCAGCTTCTTGATACGTAAGAAGTTCTTCTTCCACACTGTTTGAATGAGAAAGGATATGATTTCTAACTACATAATATCATTGTAATTACTGACAAGATAACAAAATGCACATAACAACAATAATGTACAATGACTAAAAGGTTCCTATAAAATGCAGAGTAATACAACACATGACAACACTGACTCAGCAGCAATAGAGTAGATAGACTAACCCTTCTCTGAAATAGTGGATGACTATAAAACCCACAGCAATGTGGACCGACAAGATTCACTAAAGCGGCGTTGCTTTAGCCAACTCTTTTGCTATCTCTCTCAGAATGACCTTCTTGATCCAAACCAGTCAGGTTTCAAGACTGGTCATTCAACTGAGACTGCTCTTCTCTGTGTCACGGAGGCTCTCCGCACTGCTAAAGCTAACTCTCTCTCCTCTGCTCTCATCCTTCTAGACCTATCTGCTGCCTTTGATACTGTGAACCATCAGATCCTCCTCTCCACCCTCTCCGAGTTGGGCATCTCCGGCGCGGCTCACTCTTGGATTGTGTCCTACCTCACAGGTCGCTCCTACCAGGTGGTGTGGCGAGAATCTGTCTCCGCACCACATGCTCTCACCACTGGTGTCCCCCAGGGCTCAGTTCTAGGTCCTCTCCTATTCTCTCTATACACCAAGTCACTTGGCTCTGTCATATCCTCACATGGTCTCTCCTATCATTGCTACGCAGACGACACTTCTGATAACCAGGTGGCGAATCGCATCTCTGCATGTCTGGCAGACATATCAGTGTGGATGACGGATCACCACCTCAAGCTGAACCTCGGCAAGACGGAGCTGCTCTTCCTCCCAGGGAAGGACTGCCCGCTCCATGATCTCGCCATCACGGTTGACAACTCCGTTGTGTCCTCCTCCCAGAGTGCAAAGAACCTTGGCATGACCCTGGACAACACCCTGTCGTTCTCCGCTAACATCAAAGCGGTGAACCAATCCTGTAGGTTCACGCTCTACAACATTCGCAGAGTACGACCCTACCTTACACAGGAAGCGGCACATGTCCTAATCCAGGCACTTGTCATCTCCCGTCTGGATTACTGCAACTCACTGTTGGCTGGGCTCCCTGCCTGTGCCATTAAACCCCTACAACTCATCCAGAACGCTGCAGCCTGTCTGGTGTTCAACCTTCCCAAGTTCTCTCATGTCACCCCGCTCCTCCGCACACTCCACTGGCTTCCAGTTGAAGCCTGCATCTGCTACAAGACCATGGTGCTTGCCTACGGAGCTGTGAGGGGAACGGCACCTCCGTACCTTCAGGCTCTGATCAGTCCCTACACCCAAACGAGGGCATTGCGTTCATCCACCTCTGGCCTGCTGGCCCCCCTACCTCTGCGGAAGCACAGTTCCCGCTCAGCCCAGTCAAAACTGTTCGCTGCTCTGGCACCCCAATGGTGGAACAAGCTCCCTCACGACGCCAGGACAGCGGAGTCACTCACCACCTTCCGGAGACACTTGAAACCCCACCTCTTTAAGGAATACCTGGGATAGGATAAAAGTAATCCTTCTACCCTCCCCCTACCCCACCCCCCCAAAAAATAAAAAAAATAAAAAATAAATTGATATGTTGTAAAGTGGTTGTCCCACTGGCTATCATAAGGTGAATGCACCAATTTGTAAGTCGCTCTGGATAAGAGCGTCTGCTAAATGACGTAAATGTAAATGTTGCTGACCTGTTGAATTGGGATTTGGCCTCTCACTGTTCAATAAAGCCAGATAATCACTGCCGTTCACGTACATGTCCGTGTGATGGGGGTCTGTAAGAGAAAACAAACAGTTTAGTCAAACAACAACAACAACTTTTCACTACGATCACAGATCCTCAATATATCCACAGTGACTCCTTGAGAAACCTATGTCCTAAACACACTCACCTTTCCAGTAGTTGCAGATGGATATCCTCTGGCCTACTACGGTGTAGCAGAAATGGAACAGATTGGACTTCATGAACTGGGGGAAGAGGTACTTTAGGTAGTCTGTGTCTGAACAGAAACAATAGAACATTTGAGTTTCAGTTTAATTCAGGCCTCAGCACACATTAGCACAAAACATCAATGTACCATGTTTCAAACAATCACATTGGATGTTGAGCACAAAGATCAAGTTGATGGCTTATAATGAACGCATACCTCCATACTGTCCAGCCTGAGGCGAGGACAGAGAGATGAAGGAGTGGACATTGTGATTAGGGAGAGTGGACAGGATCCCTCTACAAATCAGTCCACCTGTAACAGAACGAGGGTGAATATAAAGCTGTATTTAAAAAAAACACTCCTCCACACATTTGTTCTGTAAATGACATTCATGAGATTCAGCATAACACAGTCGCACACACACACCTTGAGAGTAGCAGATGAAGTGGACTCCATCTGCAGCATTTTGCATGATGGGATAGATGGCTTCCTTGAAGCCCTCCACTTGTTTCCATAGTGGCTGTAAGCTGGAGCTGCGGTCAAACAGGTCGATGACTGACACATTGGTTCCTGGGTGAGACTGTCAGAAGAAAAGGATGGGACAGATTAGAGCACTATAAGCATATAATTAGAATATGAATCCTAATTGAATAGGATCAATGACTATAACAAAGCTAGCCTTCCAAATAAACCTTATATAAAGCTAGCAATGTCAGAGAAGATGACAAATTAGTCAATATATGTCAAATAAATGTCTCTTCAACTGACATCAGAATTTCTTATGCAAAAACTTAAAACATGCACTAACTTTTGTATAATTTCAGCCAGTAGTTTTGAAAGTGGTGCTCACGAGCCAAAAGTGGTCCCAGTTTTTTGTGTACTAGGAGAACCCTTTTTGGTTCCATGTAGAACCATTTTTGGTTCCAGGTAGAACTCTTTTGGGCTCCATGTATAACCCTCTGTGGAAAGGGTTCTATATGGAATCCAAAAGGGTTCTACCTGGAACCAAAAGGGGTTCTTCAAAGGGTTCTCCTATGGGGACAGCCAAATAATCACTAGATAGCACCTTTTTGGATTCCATATCATTTAGAACCCTTTGTATATAGCCTCCCTACTGTTATTTTATTTTACTGCTGCTCTTTAATTATTTGCTTTAAAAAAAAAAAAAATACTTATCTATTTTTTACTTAACACTTTTTTCCCCCTTTTCTTAAAACTGCATTGTTGGTTAAGGGCTTGTAAGTAAGCATTTCACTGTAAGGTCTACACCTGTTGTATTCGGCGCATGTGGAAAATAAAATTTGATTTGAATCATGGGTCAATTGTGACCGACAGTGATCTACAAACAATATTGAGTAGTAATTTATTATGGAAGATGATTTGTAGATTAGTCAATCTCGCCTTTAAAGTCTGCGGCAATGTCAAACGTGCCCATTATGTTCCGGGCCCCTGAACATCTGCTCAAGAAAAAAAAAGACAAAAAGAAACGGCCTGCGGCTGAATCTAGTTGATGATCCCTGCCAAACAGGGATACTATAATATTGCTTGAAATGCCTCAGCTTGTCTTGTTATCGCATAGCCGTATCCTTTGTAAGGCATTACAAATCAATGGGAGGCGATTAAAGGGGAATTTCAACCATTACTATATTAACAACATTATGTTCGTCATAAACATCACAATTATCCAAACCACAAGCTAGAACTAGCACATTTTCATTTCACTGGTAGTTTCGACTTCCTGTGTATTCGTCTGCTCATAGTGAACCACAAAGTCCGGCATTCACAGCGAATGCAGATACCGCCCGCTGAAGTAGATTGGGCATGCCCACAAACGTGGATGGTGGCATTGTGTACGTCGAACAACACACAACAATCTCAGAACTGTGTGGTGTTCTGTGCTAATTAAACAAACTTTTTTGGTCCTGTCAATCAATTTCGCCTATGCCATGGTAGTCACTGCTAGACTGGTAGATACCTTCAGCAGAGTAAACATGTTTGTTTTGTGCCATAAGAGTAGCTCAATCGGGTAGTCATCTATTCTACCCTTGTCTGGAAAACACTGTTACTAAAAATTGAATTGTCGATATAGCTAACTCACTCTGATTGTGTGTTGGTAGCAATGATGAATGTGTATAAATCGTCTATGGTTGGTTAGTTGGTTCTCAGCCAGTCTCAGCTGGCTAGCAATCTTGCTGCCAATTTAGTGACGCAAGCTGCCAATTTTGAAATGTCCATATTAGGCGTGCTAAGTTAGCCAGTCTAATAGAGCTCAATACAATTAGTGTGGTGGTTAAACTGTGTATTGTTGTATATTTTGTTGTAGATGGTACCAACATGTGCTTCCAACCCAAGCTCTGCACAAGGTGAAGGTACATTTGCTCAATTTACAGTAAGCATGGCATAAACATGAATTGGGTAGTGTTTGTATGGTTTATGTTATGGGGTTAGAGGTACCTTCCAGACAGACCATGTAATCAATTTAGTCTACCCCTCATCTATTTTTACATTTTCTCTTTGTAAAACTCAGGTTATCTGGAGTTATTCCACAGTGCCCTGCTGAAAAATGCAAATAGTCTGGGTTGCCATTTTTATAAGATGTTCAGGAGTCTTAAGGCTTGGGGGTAGAAGCTGTTTAGAAGCCTCTTGGACCTAGACTTGGCCCTCCGGTACCGCTTGCCGTGCAGTAGCAGAGAGAACAGTCTATGACTAGGGTGGCTTGGCCCCAGTGATGTACTGGGCCGTACACACTACCCTCTGTAGTGCCTTGCGGTCGGAGGCCGAGCAGTTGCCGTACCAGGCAGTGATGCAACCAGTCAGGATGCTCCCGATGGTGCAGCTGTAGAACCTTTTGAGGATCTGAGGACACATGCCAACTCTTTTCAGTCTCCTTAGGGGGAATAGGTTTTGTCGTGCCCTCTTCACGACTGTCTTGGTGTGCTTGGACCATGTTAGTTTGTTGGTGATCTGGACACCAAGGAACTTGAAGCTCTCAACCTGCTCCACTACAGCCCCGTCGATAGAAGGGGGGCGTGCTCGGTCCTCTTCTTTTTCCTGTAGTCCACAATCATCTCCTTTGTCTTGATCACGTTGCGGGAGAGGTTGTTGTCCTGGCACCACACGGCCAGGTCTCTGACCTCCTCCCTATATGCTGTCTCATCGTTGTCTGTGATCAGGCCTACCACGGTTGTGTCATCGGCAAACTTAATGATGGTGTTGGAGTCGTGCCTGGCCATGGAGTCATGGGTGAACAGGGAGTACAGGAGGGGACTGAGCACACACACCTGAGGGGCCCCGTGTTGAGGATCAGCGTGGCTGATGTGTTGTTACCTACCCTTACCACCTGGGGGCGGCTCGTCAGGAAGTCCAGGATCCAGTTGCAGAGGGAGGTGTTTATTCCCAGGGTCCTTAGCTTAGTGATGAGCTTTGAGGGCACTATGGTGTTGAACGCTGAGCTGTAGTCAATGAATAGCATTCTCACTTAGGTGTTCCTTTTGTCAAGGTGTGAAAGGGCAGTGTGGAGCGCAATAGAGATTGCATCATCTGTGGATCTGTTGGGTCGGTATGCAAATTGGAGTGGGCCTAGGGTTTCTGGGATAATGGTGTTGATGTGAGCCATGACCAGCCTTTCAAAGCACTTCATGGCTACAGACGTGAGTGCTACCGGTCGGTAGTCATTTAGGCAGGTTACCTTAGTGTTCTTGGGCACATTGACTATGGTGGTCTGCTTGAAACATGTTGGTATTACAAACTCAGACAGGGAGAGGTTGAAAAAATCAGTGCAGACACTTGCCAGTTGGTCAGCGCATACTCGGAGTACACGTCCTGGTAATCTGTCTGGCCCTGCGGCCTTGTGAATTTTGACCTGTTTAAAGGTCTTACTCACATCGGCTACGGAGAGCGTGATCACACAGTCGTCCGTAACAGCTGATGCTCTCATGCATGTTTCAGTGTTACTTGACTCGAAGCGAGCAAATAAGTAATTTAGCTCGTCTGGTAGGCTTGTGTCACTGGGCAGCTCGCGGCTGTGCTTCCCTTTGTAGTCTAATAGTTTGCAAGCCCTGCCACATCCGACGAGCGTCGGAACCGGTGTAGTATGATTAGATCTTAGTCCTGTATTGACGCTTTACTTGTTTGATGGTTCGTCAGAGGGCACAGCAGGATTTCTTGTAAGCTTCCGGGTTAGTGTCCCGCTCCTTGAAAGCGGCAGCTCTACCCTTTAGCTCAGTGCGGATGTTGCCTGTAATCCATGGCTTCTGGTTGGGGTATGTACGTACAGTCACTGTGGGGACGATGTCATCAATGCACTTATTGATGAAGCCAGTGACTGATGTGGTGTACTCCTCAATGCCATCGGAAGAATCCCAGAACATATTCCAGTCTGTGCTAGCAAAACAGTCCTGTAGCTTAGCATCTGCTTCACCTGACCACTTTTTTTTTTATTGACCGAGTCACTGGTGCTTTTTGCTTGTAAGCAGGAATCAGGAGGATAGAATTATGGTCAGATTTGCCAAATGGAGGGCGAGCTTTGTACGCGTCTCTGTGTGTTGAGTAAATGTGGTCTAGAGTTTTTTCCCCTCTGGTTGCACATTTAACATGCTGGTCGAAATGAGGTAAAACGAATTTAAGTTTCCCTCCATTAAAAGTCCCCGGACACTAGGAGCGCTGCCTCTGGATGAGCGTTTTCCTGTTTGCTTATGGCCGTATACAGTTCATTGAGTGCAGGTCTTAGTGCCAGCATCGGTTTGTGGTGGTAAATAGACAGCTACGAAGAATATAGATGAAAACTCTCTTGGTAGATAGTGTGGTCTATAGCTTATCATGATATACTCTACCTCAGGTGAGCAAAACCTAGAGACTTCCTTAGATATCATGCACCAGCTGTTGTTTACAAATATACATCGACCGCCACCCCTTGTCTTACCAGAGGCTGCTGTTCTATCCTGCCGATACAGTGTATAACCCGCCAGCTGTATGTTATTCATGTCATCGTTCAGCCACGGCTCGGTGAAACATAAGATATTACAGTTTTTAAATGTTCCGTTGGTAGGATATATGTGCTAGTACTTTATTTTCAAGTGATTGTACATTGGCCAATAGTAACGATGGCAAAGGCAGATTAGCCACTCGTCGCCGGCTCCTTACCAGGCACCCCGATCTCCTTCCGCGATATCTCCTTCTCTTTCTACTGCAAATGACGGGGATGAGGGCCCTGTCGGGTGTCTGGAGCAAATTCCTCTCGCCCGACTCATTAAATAAAAATTATTAATCCAGTTCAAGGTGAGTAATCGCTGTTTTGATGTCCAGAAGCTCTTTTCGATCATAAGAGACGGTAGCAGCAACATTATGTACAAAATAAGTTACAATGCGAAAAAACTAACAAAATAGCACGGTTGGTTAAGAGCCCATAAAACGGCAGCCATCCCCTACACACCTTTTAAATATATATTTTCCCCTAACCCTACCACCTCTCCTAATTGGAGTAAACTAATGGACAACAACACTTAGGCTTCACATTGTTGACTGATCTTTCCTCTCAAAAGCAGCTCCCAATGTCCCTCATTGTCAATAAACAATACGCTAGCCGCTCCAATTCGGTTGACACCTTTACCAACAAAGGCGTGTTGCCCTACGTCCCTTCCACCAAAAGTGTAAAATGTTAACAACACAACCATGTCTTTCCAGGAGACGTGCAGTACCAGAAAATCTTCTGCAAGAGGACCAAACAGTTGGTGGTTAAGAAGCCCTCCACCACTTTCGGCAGTCTTATCCAGCTGGCCGTTCACTGCAGACAGGACAAGACCATTTGGAAGGTAGCTCACCAGGAACAGGGTTGGAGAGCCCTGATGTAGAACCACCATAAAATAAACATGGATATTTTCTATCAATCTTCGAAATTTGCCTGCCTTTATGGCTACACAGAATATATTTATATGAGATGTACAGGGTTCTATAGCGTCAAACAGATGCTAGACATTCAGATATGTTTATTTGTCTAAAATACAGGGGAGTGTCCACTATTTAATGCCAACTCAAGACAACTGGGTATTCAGCAAGAATGTTATGGTAAAAGTAACAAAAATAATAATAATTTGAACAGTGTAGTGTGTCTCAGGTGTAGACACACACAAGTGCAGAGAACAGTAGCTACAGATTATTACACCCGATAATGTGATTTACCCAAAGATTTTTGATGACATCTCGTCTATTTCAAGTCTTCTTTCATTGATCGAGACAGGTGGGTGTCCACCCCAAGGTGCTGCATGTCATGATGACAGAGACCTGTCTCAATCAATGAGAGAAGACTTGAAATACACAAGATGGCGGCATACACATCGTTGGATTACTTCATGGAGCAAATAAGTATTTACTTTAATAACGAGCATTTTCTAAATTCAAACTGACCCCCTGCAACTGGACAAGGACATTTTATGAGACTCCTGTTTCCCCGAATCGTGGACAAAGGCATCATCGCTAAGGTTGGTCAAAAATGCTCTGTGCTACACAAAACAGTACCTATCCTGTAACTCTCCCAGTAATGGATACCAAAAATCTTTAGTTAAATGACATTATCTGGTGTAACAATCTCTAGCTAAGAGAACTGGTGGTTATGATGAAATTGCCATTCACAAAGAAACATACAGTATGATCAGTGTAGTAAAGTTCAGGGAACACTTGTAAAGCTGTGGGAGGAGTGTTGTCATGTTCAAACTGCCATTCAGCTCCTCATGAGTCTGCTTGAAATCCAGCATAATGTCTAATCCCTCGAGAGGGATACAGTTCTGTTACAATGACACACGCAGTCAAATTAATTCTGTTTCTCTCCATCTAGAATCCACTCCAGGAAGAAGCACCACACGATATTGTCTGTAAGACAAAAATATATATTATACTCTATTGCAGGGACGGCCTGTTCAATAGGGCGATATGGGCGACGCACTGCCAAACGGGAAAAGGAAGGGATTTTTTTCCTAATCAATTATATCACGGCAACAGTAGTTATCAGTGTTCTAATCTGATCTGACTGCCACTAAATGTCAAATCAGGCTAAAGTCGTGCTTCAAATGGCCCCGCCCGTTTTTGGGGCGATTTCAGTCAGGTTGAAAATCGCCCAGAAGTCTCTCATAGCCTGTCATGTAAAATCTATTTTTTTCAAATTTCAAAGCTTTCAATACAATCCCTATGGGTGTCTGTGGGCTTGCACTTACGCGCTTTCGTCATACGTGACGTAACCATGAACGTAACTAAGAAAATAGCGGCTAGCAGCGTCTCTGTTGCGACCTGCAGTGTGGCGTTATCTTATGTTTTTAATTTGTACACTTAGTGGCGTTATTTTATGTTTTTAATTTGTAGACTTAGTTTACAAACATTCTGCCAACCATGGATTTCCAGTGGTGGGTTTTGGACTGATCTTGTTGATCGTGTACATACCCGCTACGAACGGACTAAATATGAAAACGCTGCTGGCAGCGGAATCCAATACAGCTGGGAGACTTGGCTGGATGACAGAGTCCCGGACAGAGAAGTGGAGCCGGCCGGCTTCACCCTGGTCAGAGCGGACCGCGATCCTGGTAAGAGAGCGACTCTGTACCCCCGACATTGAACTGCTTTCTGTGTCACTGCGACCTTACTATCTGCCCCGTGAGTTCCCCCAATTGTTTGTTACCGTTGTGTACTGTTGATAATCACAAGTTTACTGGAGAACTGAGACCAAGTAGAGACTTTGGACAGGGTGGATATGGTATAATAAAGGCAGTTTATTCAGAGGTAAAGATATCTGGAATCGCGTGCACGGACTCGTTCGTCAAACTCTTAGGGAGCTATCTGAAGAGAGCCCCGAAAACATTGTGTGCAGACATTTTATACAATAAATGATGTAGGTTGAATCTAGTAGTTCTGATCTTCTGATTGGTCCTGATGAGTTGGGCGAGGTCCCCTCCACTGTTGCATTGGCTCTGAGTCGGGTTCTCTGTCTTCAAATGTTCAGCCTAAAGAGAGGGGATTTTTGTGTGTGTGTGTGTGTGTGTTTAACAGTGATGATGTGTGTGTGTGTGTGTGTGTTATCAGTGATGATGTGTGTGTGTGTGTGTGTGTGTGTGTGTGTCCTCAGAGCAAGAACTCGTGAGTTGGAAGAACTGAGAGACCTATGGCGTGGGTGTTGTCCTTGGCCACCTGCTGACAAGGCTGACAAGATAGGACTCTTTTGTCCATTGTTATAGGATAGGAACAGCATTGATTGAAAACAAACGCCCAACACAAAATGGGTCATGCACAAGATTTTAGTCAGACCAAGCTATAACATTATATATTTACTACGACAGTACATTCAACCAAAAGCTAATATAACAAAGGCATCAGAGATTATTTATAATCTGTCACAGAAACTGGAATCCATCTCCCCAGATCAGTCAATAAATGCTTCTGGTATTGACTTATATGCTGCCCCTGTCTTCATGTTGTTGCTGGACATATCTTTTTTAAAATGTGTGTAGGTCACCTAAATCATCAGAAAAATTGCCCCTCCTGAAAAAAATTTCAGGAGCCGCCACTGCTCTATTGTACAGTTTGAACGAGAGTTGAACTGTGCCAGCATAACATCAACATTAGGGTAGACTAGTTGCAAACATGTGCACAGGCACAGAGATTACATTTACAACAATATCTAGACCTAATAATAAAAATAAATATGGCATAACCCTCAACCTTTGCACAGTGACTAGACCGTACAAATGTATCTTGGTAGGTAGGCAGACAGTATCTACCTACAGCCATGTCTATCATGCATGCTTAGAGAAATATCTTTCTAGGAAAACCAGCTTCAGTTTTATAGATTTACAACAGCAAATTGTTGTATTATAGTTTCTTCTCACTGCTTGCTAGTGAACTTAGCTAGCTAGCTTGCTGGATATACAGTACTTGTTATTTACGACCGTTTGGAATCCTATTTTGCGTCATAATCAATGTCATCCCTTGTCAATTATGTGAAGATAGCTAGCTAGTAAAATTATTTACAGTTGCTGATGTTACATGTTTGCTAACAAGTTAAAGCTAGCCTGGTGCCTGCTAACTACACTGAACAAAAATATAAAACGCACCATGTAAAGTGTTTGTACCATGTTTCATGAGCTGAAATAAAAGATCCCTGAAATGTTCCTTCTGCTCAAAGCTTATTTCTCTTATTTCTTTACATCCTTGTTAGTGAGCATTTCTCCTTTGCTAAAATAATCCATCCACCTGACAGGTGTGGCATATCAAGAAGCTAATTAAAACAGCATGATCATTGCACAGGTGCACCTTGTGCTGGGGACAATAAAAGGAAACTAAAATGTGCGGTTTTGTCACACAACAATACCACAGATCACATATCAGATCAGTTTTAGAAAATTTGGCAGTACGTCCAACCGGCCTCAACCGCAGACCACATGTATGGCGTTGTGTGGGTGAGCGGTTTGCTGAGTACTCCATGGTGGCAGTGGGGGCAGGCATAAGCTACGGACAACGAACACAGTTGCATTTTATCGATGGCAATTCAAATGCACAGAGATACCATGACTAGATCCTGAGGCCCATTGTCGTGCCATTCATCCGCGGCCATCAACTAATGTTTTAGCATGATAATGCACGGCCCCATGTCGCAAGGATCTGTACACAATTCCTAGAAGCTGAAAATGTCCCAGGTCTTCCATGGCCTTCATACTCACCAGACATGTCACCCATTGAGCATGTTTGGGATGCTCTGGAACGACGTGTACGACAGCGTGTTCCAGTTCCAGCCAATATCCAGCAACTTCGCACAGCCATTTAAGAGGAGTGGGACAGCATTCCTAAATCAACAGCCTGATCAACTCTATGCAAAGGAGATGTCGCACTGCATGAGGCAAATGGTCACACCAGATACTGACTGGTTTTCTGATTCACGCCCCTACCTTTTTATTAAGGTATCTGTGACCTTAAGAGGGAGATCACAAAGGACTGGGACTAAGACCTGTAGAACTAGCTGTGTGTACTGTCTGAGCAATCAATAACACCAATTTTAATCAATCGTAACATACTAATCAATTATATGCCAGGGAAGGAACAAAAACAGGAAAACTGCACCCCTAGCAGGCTGAAAATTTGCACCCGTATTTCATAGACGTAGGGAGGTCTTGGTGTGGTCGTCGTTGGGTGAGGTTGTGTCTCTCTCTGGCGGGAGGTAAGCTTGGCTTATATGGCTTATATACATAGTTTGGGCTTTGTCGAGTAAAGCTTAAACTATGTATTTAGATTGTAGTTAAGTATTCTAGGTAGTATTGTAGGTAGTTATCGTGGGTTGTTGTATGTAATTATTGTAGGTTAGTATTGTATTGTGGATAGTTGTTTCCCGCCTGAGAGTACCTGTAATTACGCCAGCTAGCTGCCTACAATAATTACATACAATAATGCCTACCATTTCAGCTGTTTTTCTAACCTCATTGTCTGAAGCGTTAACGTTAGGTAGTAAGTGGCTACTGTGCTTGAAATTTAGCTAGCTTGTTGCTACCTGGATAGCTACTAAACAATAGCTGGAACGACCTAGCGAACAGACGCGAACTGGCTGAGTCAATTCAGTGGCTAGCTTTGCACTTGGCTAGCTAACAGTAGCTGCTAGGGGTAAGTTATAACCTACATTTGTGTTTTGTTTTTACATACTGGTAGCCAGAATCGTTCAAGGGAATTCGGGACATTGGTGACTAGTTAACGTTAGCTTGGCTCTCTCTGTGTGTTCGTGCAGGGGGAGGAGGGGTTTCTTCGTTGGCAGAAAGCAATCGCTAGCTAGTATGCTAACTATTCTAGCTAGCTAACTGGCTGAATAAGTTGACAATGGACTCGCTCAAGCTGTCGGGACTAACCCACAACGTTAGACACGGACACGAATGATCTGCTTGGTGTGTTGACACACTGGTGGTTTGTTGTGGCCGAGTATTGGTGCTAAACCAATGTTGGAGTCCGGCATGCTAGTTGGCTGTGGCGTCATATGACTAGGTGCCCTGGACGGTTTTCACGGAAGAATACTGTACCAATTTAGCTAGCTGAATAAACTAAGTTAGTCTATTCCTAGAAAACATTGAACCGCTGTAGTTTACAGCAATTATAGTTTCTGAGGTGGAAGTTGGGAGAGTTATATTTGGGTGTTTCAGTGAAACGTAAGTGAGGGAGGCCCCGCTCTCTCGCTTTCCCAGATGTTTAGTTCATTTCATTCCGATCTCCTTTGCATTATTGTAGCCATTTTCTGTAGCCTGTCAACTATGCCTCTATCTATCCCTGTTCTCTCCTCTCCGCACAGGCTATACAAAACGCCTCACACCGCGTCCCTGCACGCACCACCCACGTGGAGTTCCAGGTCTCCGGCAGCCTCTGGAACTGCCGTTCTGCAGCCAACAAGGCAGAGTTCATCTCAGCCTATGCTACCCTCCAGTCCCTCGACTTCTTGGCGCTGACGGAAACATGGATTACCACTGAAAACATTGCTACTCCTACTGCTCTCTCCTCGTCTGACCATGTGTTTTCGCATACCCCGAGAGCATCTGGTCAGCGGGGTGGTGGCACAGGAATCCTCATCTCTCCCAAGTGGACATTCTCTCTTTTTCCCCTGACCCATCTGTCTATCTCCTCATTTGAATTCCATGCTGTCACAGTCACTAGCCCATTCAAGCTTAACATCCTTGTCATTTATCGCCCTCCAGGTTCCCTTGGAGAGTTCATCAATGAGCTTGACGCCTTGATAAGTTCCTTTCTTGAGGATGGCTCACCCCTCACAGTTCTGGGTGACTTCAACCTCCCTACGTCTACCTTTGACTCATTTCTCTCTGCCTCCTCCTTTCCACTCCTCTCCTCTTTTTACCTCACCCTCTCCCCCTACTCACAAGGCAGGCAATACGCTTGACCTCATCTTTACTCACTGCAACTCCCCTCCATGTCTCCGACCACTACTTTGTATCCTTTTCTCTCTCGCTCTCCTCCAACACTACTCACTCTGCCCCTACTCAGATGGTAATGCGCCGCCGCAACCTTCGCTCTCTCTCTCCCGCTACTCTCTCCTCTTCCATCCTATCATCTCTTCCCTCTGCTCAATCCTTCTCCCTCCAATCTCCTGATTCTGCCTCCTCAACCCTCCTCTCCTCCCTTTCTGCATCCTTTGACTCCCTGTGTCCCCTATCCTCCCGGCCGGCTCGGTCCTCCCCTCCTGCTCCGTGGCTTGACGACTCATTGCGAGCTCACAGAACAGGGCTCCGGGCAGCCGAGCGGAAATGGAGGAAAACTAGACTCCCTGCGGACCTGGCATCTTTTCACTCCCTCCTCTCTACATTTTCATCCTCTGTTTCCGCTGCTAAAGCCACTTTCTACCACTCTAAATTCCAAGCATCTGCCTCTAACCCTAGGAAGCTCTTTGCCACCTTCTCCTCCCTGCTGAATCCCCCCCCCCCCCCCCCCCCCCTCCCCTCCCCTCCCCTCCCCTCCCCTCCGTGGATGACTTCGTCAACCATTTTGAAAAGAAGGTTGACGACATCCGATCCTCGTTTGTTAAGTCAAATGACACTGCTGGTCCTGCTCACACTTCCCTACCCTATGCTTTTACTTCTTTCTCCCCTCTCTTTCCAGATGAAATCTTGCAACTTGTGACGGCCGGCCGCCCAACAACCTGCCCGCTTGACCCTATCCCCTCCTCTCTTCTCCAGACCATCTCCGGTGACCTTCTCCCTTACCTCACCTCGCTCATCAACTCATCCTTGACCGCTGGCTATGTCCCTTCCGTCTTCAAGAGAACGAGAGTTGCACCCCTTCTCAAAAAACAACACTCGTTGATGTCAACGACTACAGACCAGTATCCCTTCTTTCTTTTCTCTCCAAAACTCTTGTGCGTGCCGTCTTTAGCCAACTCTCTTGCTATCTCTCTCAGAATGACCTCCTTGATCCAAACCAGTCAGGTTTCAAGACTGGTCATTCAACTGAGACTGCTCTTCTCTGTGTCACAGAGGCTCTCCGCACTGCTAAAGCTAACTCTCTCTCCTCTGCTCTCATCCTTCTAGACCTATCTGCTGCCTTTGATACTGTGAACCATCAGATCCTCCTCTCCACCCTCTCCGAATTGGGCATCTTCGGCGCAGCTCACTCTTGGATTGTGTCCTACCTCACAGGTCGCTCCTACCAGGTGGTGTGGCGAGAATCTGTCTCCGCACCACATGCTCTCACCACTGGTGTCCCCCAGGGCTCAGTTCTAGGTCCTCTCCTATTCTCTCTATACACCAAGTCACTTGGCTCTGTCATATCCTCACATGGTCTCTCCTATCATTGCTACGCAGACAACACTTCTGATAACCAGGTGGCGAATCGCATCTCTGCATGTCTGGCAGACATATCAGTGTGGATGACGGATCACCACCTCAAGCTGTACCTCGGCAAGACGGAGCTGCTTTTCCTCCCGGGGAAGGACTGCCCGTTCCATGATCTCGCCATCACGGTTGACAACTCCATTGTGTCCTCCTCCCAGAGTGCGAAGAGCCTTGGCGTGACCCTGGACAACACCCTGTCGTTCTCCGCTAACATCAAGGCGGTGACCCAATCCTGTAGGTTCATGCTCTACAACATTTGGAGAGTACGACCCTGCCTTACACAGGAAGCGGCACATGTCCTAATCCAGGCACTTGTCATCTCCCGTCTGGAATACTGCAACTCACTGTTGGCTGGGCTCCCTGCCTGTGCCATTAAACACCTACAACTCATCCAGAATGCCGCAGCCCGTCTGGTGTTCAACCTTCCCAAGTTCTCTCACGTCACCCCGCTCCTCCGCACACTCCACTGGCTTCCAGTTGAAGCTCGCATCTGCTACAAGACCATGGTGCTTGCCTACGGAGCTGTGAGGGGAACGGCACCTCCGTACCTTCAGGCTCTGATCAGTCCCTACACTCAAAACGAGGGCATTGCGTTCATCCACCTCTGGCCTGCTGGCCCCACTACCTCTGCGGAAGCACAGTTCCTGCTCAGCCCAGTCAAAACTGTTCGCTGCTCTGGCACCCCAATGGTGGAACAAGCTCCCTCACGACGCCAGGACAGCGGAGTCACTCACCACCTTCCGGAGACACTTGAAACCCCACCTCTTTAAGGAATACCTGGGATAGGATAAAGTAATCCTTCTACCCCCCGTTACCCCACAAAAAATAAATAATATTGTAAAGTGGTTATCCCACTGGCTATAAGGTGAATGCACCAATTTGTAAGTCGCTCTGGATAAGAGCGTCTGCTAAATGACGTAAATGTAAATGACCAACAGATGCATATCTGTATTCCCAGTCATGTGAAATCCATAGATTAGGGCCTAATGAATTTTTCAATTGACTGATTTCCTTTTATGAACTGTAACTCAGTAAAATCTTTGTTGCATTTATATTTTTGTTCAGTATAGCTAGCCAACTCCAGTCATGTGCTAACGTTTGCTAGTAAACCTAGCTTTAGGTGGCTGGTTGTAGCCATATCTACTACTAAAAAGAAAATAGGTTTTACAATCGAGATACAATAGATCTCAGTAGTACGTTAGCCAACAACACATAATATGGGTTTCAGTAGATAAACTAAAGTTAGCTAGGTGGCTTGCTGGAAAAATAACTTACTTAGCTAGGCACCGTATCATCTGCCCTCTTGGTGCTGGCATCAGCTGTGAGATTCTAACGGCACTAATCCAACTCTGTTTCGAATCCTTTTCGCTATATTCTGGTTGAAACATGTATGGTTGAATGTCACCATGTAGCTAATAGAACATCAAAAAATTATCCATCTTAGAATTCGTGTTGATGAGAGGAATCACTTGAAGCCATTGCTTTTGCCCAAAGGATTGTGTTTGTGTCAGCTTCCTTTAAAAAAAAAGCCTGCCTTGGGGGAGGGACGGGGGCCAGAGCACGAAGCACCGCCCAACACAAGTTGTAGTCTTTCAGAGATTGGAAAAAAATTGTCTGCTTGTATATTTAGCAATGAATAAGCCGATAGGAAAATTGCTGAAAGACATCCAATGGCTCTTTCGAACAAGGACAACCATATCTACATGCACAAAAATGTATAGTGCAATCAGTATAACATAGCCTTCGCGAAATGCCATAAAGCAGGACTACATTTATTTGTAGATCTCGCCCCCTCCCATCAATTCTCCCGAAGCCGTCATAGGGTGTTTCAAGTCCAGACCTGCCTTCCTCCTGGGCAATTTGATTCCCCCAGGGTTGAATTCCCCTTTTAAGGTTGTTTTAAATATTGATCGCAAGGCAGTTTGGAAGTAGTGGGTGCACTTCATTTGAGTATGGGTGTGTGTGAGAGTGAGACTTCAAATCAGATTTTGTATGATGTGTGCCTTTCTAGCAGAATTCTAGACCACACTTGTATCAAAATGTCCCTGTGATACCTAGTTAATTCTCACACCTGCCATCCGGTGTACATTGCAATCAGGTTACATTAAATTCTGTCCCTTACAGTAATACCCTCTTTGGCATTTAAGTTATTTAGATATCTATAAAACTGAATGATGACAAACTAGTTTCAAGTACTTTATTTTCTGTGGTCTCATCATTAGGGGTTCACAAAGAATCGACTTTTTTTTTTTTACATGGTCAAATAACTAGGGATGTGCATCTCTCCTTACAAGCACGATTCAATACGCATCTTGATATATGGGCTCTGACACAATACTTTTAGTTTGAAATGATTCGATTAGTGGAACTAATCAATGTGATTTTGTTTGATGCACTAACAATTGTTGCATGAACACATTCATTTTCCATTCTAAATTAATATCTGATACTGATGGGGCTCAGGAGCTGAGCTGGATCTGTCTGAGCTGACTTCTTTGAGCATGTGTGTATGATGTAGTGTGTGCAGGGTTGCCAGGTCAAGCTCAGATTTCTAGCCCAATGACCACTCAAAACCCACCCTAAAGGCCTGAAAACTAGCCCACTTTTTTTCACAGCAAGAGAGGAGTTGATATATCTATACAATAAACCCTTTTTCCATAACGTTATCGGTCCAATTAAGAATGAATATCATAGTAACTTTCATAGTAAAATTCGGGTTTCCTCAAAATAATGATTACTGCAAGCTATGACATGACGTAATAAAAATAATTTGAATGTGGCGAGAAAAGATAATTCGCACTTATTAAACTCGCCAGATCATTTTCCATCAATGGATGTCGATTTAACTTGTTTGACTGCTATGATTTAAGCAATAAGGCACAAGGGGTATGGTATATGGCCAATATATAGGCCCATGGTACATCTCTTAACTTAGTTTGAGAAAAGCTAAGGGATTGGTTAAGAGATGGCTGAGTGATTGATAAATCAGCAATTCCGATTTTGTGTCCATTTAAATCCACTCCACAATGGCCTATCAACTTGTCTTTGATGACCCTAAAAAGTTATTATTAAGATTAACCATGTTACGTTTGGCATTGATATCTTAAAAAATAACTTCAATTCATTTGGACTATGTAACGCTAATGCTTAAAATAATCCAAAAAATTGTCTTCTCAAGGACTAAAAGTCAGATTCACTCCAAATATGTTCTTCGGACTCATCACAGTAGTCCCTAAAGAGTTTGAGAAAATAACGTTGATACATTTAAAGATGGCCACACTAGATGCATATTAGCGCATATACTAAAAATATATAAAAAATCTTCTTCTCATGAACCATAGCACCAAATGTGGAATGTAGGCCCATGGTACAGAGCTAAGGGATTGGTCAAAAGAGTTATTGACAACTCAAATCAGATTTCACTTGTCCATTTAAACCACTGTAAATCCGTCCACAGTGGCCTATCAACTTGAAACTGGTCATCGCTATCATGGACGTCCCTAGGATGAACCACACTGAATTTGGTATTGATATCTCAAAAAACAAGGGAACTATCATCAACTAATTATTTGCATATGTAACACTAATGCTCAAAATAATCTTCTCCTCATGATACATACATCAGATTTACTCCAGATGTTGTAATGAGTCTAAATCCATCAGTCTGTTTTAGATTTGTTATTTTATTAAACTATGGCCGCATTGTACTTATAGATGCACGTTAGCACATATGCTAAAAATAGTTTCAGAATCTTCTTCTCATGAACCATAAGTCAGATTGACTCCAGATTTGGTATATAAACTCAATGAATTCACCTATAATGACAGAATGATTAGTAGCTCGGTAGCTCAATTGGTAGAGCATGGCACTTGTAACGCCAGGGTAGTGGGTTCAATCCCCGGGACCACCCATACGTTAAAAAAATTATGCACACATGACTAAGTCGCTTTGGATAAAAGCGTCTGCTAAATGGCATATTATTATTATTTATTATTTAGCTTCATTCAAAGTCGGCCATGCTATACCATATCACACCAGGGCTATAAGAACTGAAGCGATGGACATGGGGCCATGAAATTTGGTATTTAAATTAGAAGCTGTGTGAATATAAAGTCGCTGCAACCTTAGATGACTGCACCAGACCAGTTGATGACACTATAGATGTCATTGCCACCAGTGGCACAATATATTCACATCCTATAAGAATTTAACCATAATGTCTTATTTTCACCTTGTTGCCGCTAGACAAATTGGCTTGAAAAACTGTTAAGAATTCAAATTGCCTTAACTAATGATGTACGCACTTACCTGTAGTTTAGTTTATTTCAATCAATACAATTCCTAAATCTTACCAAATTCACACCATAACACACATACCTACACGCTCCAAGGGATGCACAAGGAGTCAAGAACAAAACTGTTAAGAGAACAATTCTAAAACCACAAATCATATTCAAACCATATTTGGTACGTAGACTTCGCCCAAAAGGTTAAATATTTAACTTTTTGGGCGAACTTCACATCTAAATGCGAGTTATAGATCTGTCACTCATTGAAAGCAAGTATAAGAAGCGGTAGATCTGTTCTATGTGCGCCCTTTCAGTGCTTCCCGTTTAAGTTTCGTTTTTGCGTCTTTTACTTTCAAGTTTGTACACCAGCTTCAAATAGCTGAAAATACAATATTTTTTGTTATTGACCAGATATTTCACAGCGGTTTAGATGGTACAATGATTCTCTACACTATACATACATTGCTTGTTTTGTCAGAAACTGAAATTAGGCGAACTATTAGAATTTTAGCAACCAGGAAATGGCAGAGCGATTTCTGCATATTGCACCTTTAACAAATTCATCTCTAATGAGTTTAACAAAATAAAGTCCCAGAATTCAAATATGACCGCAATATACCATTAAAAATATTTTACAAAACTTAACATAAATCATTAGTCAAATGGACCCCAGTATTGGTATATAAACTCAATACAATGACCAGTGGCGACCCGTCATTCAAGGCACCTGTTTGGAGCCCCCCACTTTTAGCAAAAGAAAGCCTGTTTTGCATGTTATTTTGGCATTAATACATGTCACATATCAGTTTGCAAACAATGTAAAAAAAAAATCAATGTCATCGAGTTAATAAAGCCACATATAAACATGGTCTCTTTTGTTTTCTTGAGTAAGGCAGCTCCAAAACGCAGGTGTTTCAGCCTAGCTCAGTGCTTTCTGTGGTGGTGGGGCAAGCCAGCAGAACATACGGAGCGTTGCGCCGTGATTGGCTCAGTGTTCTGTCACTCATGGGAACACTACTTCACCGCCAAGTCTAAGTGTAGAGCTAGAAAATTCAAGCCCCTTGGGTGCTGCCCAGAGCATATGAGCGGAGTGGAGCGGTGAGCGATCACGGAGCTGTTCACCCCTCCGCTCCCCCCGCTCAAAGCCACATCAGGCCAGTCCGCTCATTATCGCTCAGCACTCAACGCAGTTTGCATCGCGCTCCACTCAAATCGCCCCCCACTCGCTCCAAAAAAGGAACAAAATCTGCATGTATTTCACTTTTAGCTTAAACCACAGCCTACTTTATCTCCCCGAATTTGTTGCATACAGACTCATCTCGGATTATCCATTCTGTCTTGAAACGGGGATCTAACACTGATGCTAAAATGAGATGTTAATCAGTATAGTATATTCCATAGCGAATTGACACGTTGTTTGCCAATGTTTCTGCAAAAGCAGCGATGCCCATTGGAAGTGCAGCGTGAGTGTCATCGGTGAGCAGGTATTTGATTTCTGTGACAGCAGGGAGGATCATCCCCAGGTTCCGCAGCTCCTTCTGCATTTTGTCTGCAAGGTCTGCCAGTGGTGTCAGCACACTGACAAGGTGCGTCAGCTGCCGTACTTGATTCAGGGTGATGTTAGCAACATTAGACTTGAGTTTGTTTTGCCATAACAGGTCTTTTTGGAACAACTGGATGAACGACTGAATCATCCGCAGCTGGCTGCTCCATCGAATGGTGCAGGCATTTGTGGGGCGGACACCTAATTGGTCGGTTTCCTCTGTGCTCTTGCGTACACTTTTCACCAGGTGCCCGACTTTCACTAACAGCCTATTAATGTTGTCGTGCTCGTTAAAGGCATCTTTGATCGCCAGCTGAAGCATGTGAATGGGGCATCTCAGATGTAAATTTGACAAAGTAAAGTACTGATTTATCATAGTTTCTACATTAGAGGTTATCACTTCCACATGGACTTGCGAGGGCGCAGGTGGTCCCTCATCCTCCTCTTCATGTTCTGCACTGCTGCTGGCATCTGCAGTCACTTCACCCTCCGCCTACACTTTCATACTTTTGGTAAATACGATCTGCGGTATGGTGCCCCTGTATGTGCTCCCAGCCCAACAAAACCGTGTGCCCCCGGAACGTCCCATCAATGAAACTGGCCACGATGCCAAGGAAGCTGTGCCCTCTTCTACTGGTCCAAATGTCCGCTGACAGAACGAACCCATCACCATTTTGCAGTAGGTCTTGCAGTTTGGCTTCCATCTCTTCCAGGGCATGTGGCATGAGCGTGTCCCGTACGGTGTTGTAGCATGGGGGGCGGGGGGGGTGTAGCCCGGATGAGCTGCGCTGGCGAAGCGTTGCATCCCTTCGCGTTCTCCTTTACTCAGCGGTTCATAGTCCATGAAAATCATTTTTTTTAAATGCTTCTCTCCCTTGTTATGGTTGGGCCTTTGCGTGCAGTGAAGAAACTTTTGAATTCCTCAACCCTTTTCTCTTGTTGCTGCTGCTGCTCCTCTCGCTCTATAAAATACAAATTCATGGACGACACAAATTAAATTAAACAGATGTATTCTGGGTAAGACTTGAGCATGCTTAAGACTCGTGGTGTGAGCGAGCGAAATTGGAGCGGGACATAGGGCGACGCTCCGTCCTTTTAAAAATGCCGCTCTGCGCTCCGTCCAAAATCCGCCCGCTCGCGCCCCACGCTCGCTCCCGCTCCACTCCGCTCACATGCTCTGGTGCTGCCATAGAGTTACATTAGAAGTGCCCATCCAAGAAGGCTAAAGGTCATTGGCCACAGATAAAATGACATCAAATCACGTTATACGTACAGTAGCTTTGATTGGACTGATCATGTCAACATCATACTTTCAAAATCTTAGCTAGCAGTCATCATCATTAATCAAGTCGACAATCTACTGGCAAATGCTTTTTAATCCTTGTCATATGAAAATAAATAATGAAGAGAAATTACAGATAAAACGTATCGGTGCTCATCAGCCATTGGACATAAACATGGCCCCGTGTAGCTCAGTTGGTAGAGCATGGCGCTTGCAACGCCAGGGTTGTGGGTTCGTTTCCCACGGGGGGCCAGTATGAAAATGTATGCACTCACTAACTGTAAGTTGCTCTGGATAAGAGCGTCTGCTAAATGACTAAAATATAAATATATAATATAACATTACACAACAAGTTGGAAATCGCAAATTCAACAATGAGTGGTTTGGAAGGAATCGGTGACAGTGGCTAACTGCAAGCATTGCAAAGCAATCACTAGCCTGCTATTCAGTGGAGTGGCTGTGTGGTCCCAAATCTGGGATTAAGGGGCTCTTTTCCAAGTTTAAAATGATAAACATTCAACATTGGCCATGCGGTCAATGAAGCATGATTTGTGCCGTGATCAAAACAATTGTTAACTCTGAACTGCGAAGTCTTGAACTCACTGAAGTCAAGTTAACTGGGAAGTCGAATAAATGAGCTCCGATTGGGAAAATACATTTTGAACGGTCATCCAAATCGGAATTGTAAAGCCTCTTTCTCTTTCTTTGATGACAAAATTTGCCCATGAAGGACCGCCGCACCACCTTCCTGATCAAGTGAGCACAGCACAAGGTGAGTCCAAAAATGTATTGATGATGTAATATTCCAGGGAGATACCGTGAGGGGAAAAAAGTATTTGATCCCCTGCTGATTTTGTACGTTTGCCCACTGACAAAGACATGATCAGTCTATAATTTTAATGGTAGGTTTATTTGAACAGTGAGAGACAGAATGTCAAAAATGTTATAAATTGATTTGCATTTTAATGAGGGAAATAAGTATTTGACCCCTCTGCAAAACATGACTTAGTACTTGGTGGCAAAACCCTTGTTGGCAATCACAGAGGTCAGACGTTTCTTGTAGTTGGCCACCAGGTTTGCACACATCTCAGGAGGGATTTTGTCCCACTCCTCTTTGCAGATCTTCTCCAAGTCATTAAGGTTTCGAGGCTGACGTTTGCCAACTCGAACCTTCAGCTCCCTCCACATATTTTCTATGGGATTAAGGTCTGGAGACTGGCTAGGCCACTCCAGGACCTTAATGTGCTTCTTCTTGAGTCACTCCTTTGTTGCCTTGGCCGTGTGTTTTGGGTCATTGTCATGCTGGAATACCCCATCCACGACCCATTTTCAATGCCCTGGCTGAGGGAAGGAGGTTCTCACCCAAGATTTGACGGTACATGGCCCCGTCCATCGTCCCTTTGATGCAGTGAAGTTGTCCTGTCCCCTTAGCAGAAAAACACCCCCAAAGCATAATGTTTCCACCTCCATGTTTGACGGTGGGGATGGTGTTCTTGGGGTCATAGGCAGCATTCCTCCTCCTCCAAACACGGCGAGTTGAGTTGATGCCAAAGAGCTCCATTTTGGTCTCATCTGACCACAACACTTTCACCCAGTTCTCCTCTGAATCGTTCAGATGTTCATTGGCAAACTTCAGACGGGCCTGTATATGTGCTTTCTTGAGCAGGGGGACCTTGGCGGGCGCTGCAGGATTTCAGTCCTTCACGGCGGTGTGTTACCAATTGTTTTCTTGGTGACTATGGTCCCAGCTGCCTTGAGATCATTGACAAGATGATCCTCTGTAGCTCAGCTGGTAGAGCACGGCGCTTGTAACGCCAAGGTAGTGGGTTCGATCCCCGGGACCACCCATACACAAAAATGTATGCACGCATGACTGTAAGTCGCTTTGGATAAAAGCGTCTGCTAAATGGCATATTATTATTTATATTGTTATATTATAAGATCCTCCCGTGTAGTTCTGGGCTGATTCCTCACCGTTCTCGTGATCATAGCAACTCCACGAGGTGAGATCTTGCATGGAGCCCCAGGCCGAGGGAGATTGACAGTTCTTTTGTGTTTCTTCCATTTGCGAATAATCGCACCAACTGTTGTCACCTTCTCACCAAGCTGTTTGGCGATGGTCTTGTAGCCCATTGCAGCCTTGTGTAGGTCTACAATCTTGTCCCTGACATCCTTGGAGAGCTCTTTGGTCTTGGCCATGGTGGAGAGTTTGGAATCTGATTGATTGATTGCTTCTGTGGACAGGTGTCTGTTATACAGGTAACAAGCTGAGATTAGGAGCACTCCATTTAAGAGTGTGCTCCTAATCTCAGCTCGTTACCTGTATAAAAGACACCTGGGAGCCAGAAATCTTTCTGATTGAGAGGGGGTCAAATACTTATTTCCCTCATTAAAATGCAAATCAATTTATAACATTTTTGACATGCGTTTTTCAGGATTTTGTTGTTGTTATTCTGTCTCGCACTGTTCAAATAAATCTACCATTAAAATTATAGACGGATCATTTCTTTCTCAGTGGGCAAACGTACAAAAATCAGCAGGGGATCAAATACTTTTTTCCCTCACTGTACGTATACTGTAGCTAAGAAAGTAATACTAAGTGTATGTTGTGTAGTAAGATGTTAGTAGCCCATGCGCCTCACCCTAATAATTTGGTCTATTTACCCCTCTTAATTTCACCTACAGTTCGGACTTGGTGGTGCACATGTAGCCTTTAACCTGTTTTAGAGAAATGTCATCATTGAATATTGTAAGAGCTTTCATTGTCTGCTTATATGCCCCCTTTATTTATCGTACGGTTCTGACTTGGTGTACAGGGAGAATACTGTAAAAATTGCCCATGTTCTGAATTGTCGCTGTATATTTAAAAAGTGCTAAACAAATAGCTATTGACTATGTCCGTCCTAGCTCGCTCATTAATGTCTTAATCGAAATTACGGACTGCCTCTTATCCGCTTGTCGTCCCCTTATGCCATAGTTTGTACATCTCAATTGTCAGTAGAAACCACATTTTAAGCAACTCAGCCATATCAGCTATGTTTTTTGTTTTTTTAAGTAAGTAAATGAGGCTGAATGAACTGTTTCACTGCCAGACAAGGCTCCGCTGACAGCCAGGTGTAGCAGTGGTAAGATGTTGGGACAGCTTTATGTAGGCCCTAACAGTTTGTGGGCATGGTTTATCACCGTTATTGTGCAATTAATGTATTGTTTAGTGTTGTGGCTTTGCTGGCATGCATCACTTTTTTTGTTTGGTTTTGCCCCACCAAGATTTACATGCTAAAATCACCACTGACAATGACTAAGAATTGATTACCTGCTGCATTCAAACAGCGCTAGACTAAACTTCACTTTCGTCATCCTTGAGTTATTGAGAGAAACATGGTAATGCTTTCACTGATTGCACATAAAGGAAGATAGTTCCTACAGGATAGTGCTTGCTTTATCCAGTTAATCTTGTCCTTTCTGTCATCCTGTGAACCCCGTTTATTGCTGCTCACAGCTATATTCCTTATGATTGTTTTCTTGTGCACACACCAAGGCAAAGGGTAACAAAGGCAATATTATGCCAAGAATCTGGCAACAATCAACAGCCTATTTCAGTAGTATTCATTAAGAGCTCAGCTGATATGACTGGCGACAAACGTTGATGATTTCATTAAAACATAGCCTTCATAGAAGAACAATGTGACACTTATGTAACAGTCCCAGCGAGATTGGAAACATTGTAGCGACCGAAGTTCTTATTTAAAAAAAAACATGGTCTCGTGCTATTCAAGCAGACCACAGCCATGTTTGATGAGTAAACTTAAGCGCGGGCCAAGGTTACAGCAGCACAATGGAAACCCTAATACAAACAAGTTATAGTTTAAGATACTGATGTGGGTCTTAGACATGTTACATTCTATATAATTTAGTCTGCCATATCTGTTCCATTGTTACATAGCCTAACAGGCGTTTATTATCACCCATATCCAATCTTTCTTGAGTGATATTTGTTGTAGCCTGTGTTGGTATATTTTCATGCACTCACCTGATTGATGAAGCGAAGCAACTCCACAAATTGCCCGGAGCTGTCGAACAACCCATGGACTATGACCACTGGTTTGTACCCGATGACCGCAGCAACAAGGCAGGCACCAAACAGTGTCCACAACAACCTTGTCGCCCCGCTCTTCCTCCGGCTAAAGACAGCAGAAGAGGGCCCTTTCATAGTTATTCTAACAAAACATTAAATCGCGGTAAAAACCAACGAATACTAAAATATCGTACTGTACACAATCCGCCCAACACCGAATCAGGTTAAAATCTTGTTGCTTTTTGACAATGTTAGAAATAAATAGGTCCTACATACAATTGCCATCTCATCTGCTACTCGTTACTCTCGTTCCCTTTCATAAACCCTTTTAAATTAAATCAACACCCTTGCAGAATGTCTGCATGCACATTCTGCATATGACTGGTGTTTAGACAACACCACTTGATATTTGCTTGGGGTTTTGTTTGTTCCGGTTCTTGATCAAAACGTAAGACCACACATTAAGTCATTTCCGGTTTCGATAGCATCTCAAAGGAGCCGCATGCCCCAACCGTGGCCCCAACTATCCTAGACAGAAAAATACCACCTACACAGACAAATACAGCATGCACCTTTTCCCAAAATAACACACTTAGGACGTCAACATACAATAAATCCATTGTAAACAAGTTTGTAGCTCAGTCAGGACATACTCAAATGATAATTCAAGTCAAGATCTGCTGAATTGTTCCGGATGTCGCCAAGGCCTGGTCATCATACCAAAATACAACTATTGAATGTGTCGCTCAGTTACTATTTTGCTCACCCACAAAATCACATTCTCACACAGTATTTCCATTTAAAATGTCCTATACTGTAGTGGGGTAATAATGATCATTTATGTATATTTTATTTAACCCACATGCGACTCATAAGACTAAGCAAAATAGCCCACTAAATGAATTATGACTAGCAATATGCAAGAACACTATAGTTGAGTTACAGTGATAGTCAATCAAGAAATGTCTGAGAATGGAATTCTAAATACAAGTGTATTTAATTACTTTGTAAAATGAATGAATTCACATACAAGGCATAAAGCTTAAGTTACAAGGCAATACTGACATTAACAAAGCATATTTTTTTATATACTGAACAGAAATATAAACGCAACAATTAACGATTTAACTGAGTTACAGTTCATATAAGGAAATCAATCAATTGGATTAATTAATTAGGCCCTAATCTATGGATATCACATGACTGGGCAGGAGTGCACCCATGGGTGGTCCTGGGAGGGCGTAGGCCCACCCACTTGGGAGCCAGGACCTGCCAATCAGAATGAGTTTTTCCCCCACAAAAGGGATTTATTACAGACAGAAATACAAGTTTCATCAGCAGTCTGGGTGGCTGGTCTCAGACGATCCTGCAGGTGAAGAAGCCGGATGTGGACGTCCTGGGCTGGCGAGGTTACGCGTAGTTTGCGGTTGTGAGGCCGGTTGGACGCACTGCCAAAACGACGTTTGAGGCGGCTTATGGTAGAGAAATTAACATTACATTCTCTGGCAACAGCTCTGATGGACAGTCCTGCAGTCAGCATACCAATTGCATGCTCCCTCAAAACTTGAGACATCTGTGGCATTGTGTTGTGTGACAAAACTGCACGTTAGTGGCCTTTTATTGGTCTCCAGCACAAGGTGCACCTGTGTAATGATCATGTTGTTTAATCAGCTTCTTGATAGGCCACACCTGTCAGGTGGATGGATTATCTTGGCAAAGGAGAAATGCTCACTAATAATAATAATAATAATATGCCATTTAGCAGACACTTTTATCCAAAGCGACTTACAGTCATGCGTGCATACATTTTTGTGTATGGGTGGTCCCGGGGATCGAACCCACTACCTTGGCGTTACAAGCGCCATGCTCTACCAGCTGAGCTACAGAGGACCACAATAGGGATGTAATCAAATTTGTGCCAACAATTTGAGAGAAATAAGCTTTTTGTGCATATGGAAAATGTCTGTGATCTTTTATTTCAGCTCATGGGACGAACACTTTACATGTTGCATTTATATTTTTGTTCAGTATAGATAGTATCAGTTATCCTCAGTGAACAAGTTTCAAATAGAATAATACTATAGTATCCATGTTTGGTATCTATCACACATTCAATAGTCAGTCCTCTGAACACTGCAACAGAGATTTACCTTTTGTCCCCTCAGAGGGGGAAGGGCTGACTAGTCCTTGGTTATTGTCCTTTGTGCTTTCCTTGTGTCCCTGGACAATTTGCCATGCAGCGCCAGGTGACAGAGAGCACATAAATTAGGGCCGAGTTTACTAACAAAACTGGAAAAGCTGGGGCATAAAGAATAGAGCTCTGCTGAACAAAATAACAGAATTACATTAATTTCAAAGTTAATAAAAGGAATTGCATTACAAAAGCACAGGGAGAAACATAGAACTGATGTGCATCCAGTGGTGCAAGCAGGGGGAGCTCAACAACAATACTCAGAGTGCCAGCTAAAGTTTACGCTTCATGCAGATAGGCATGGTTTGTTAACATTTAGTCCTTTTTCAAGAATCTGCCCACGAAATGAAAAAGTAATGGACAGATTGGACGGTTGACTGACACTCATTGACTGCCAAAGCACTGCAGCAAACAAAATGCCAAATTGCATATAAAACACAGATGATATTAGATAACATACAGTAAAATCAATCTCCTGGCCTGTCAATAAAGCATTACAAACCTCTAGCCAGACAAACTTAGCTTATAAAGTAGTCTGCTATGGCTTTAGATTCCCCTTAAAAAGTAGGGACACAAAACTGTTCTAACAATAGTATTCAATTGCCCTGGAGTACAAACAGTAACTTAAACCTAGCAGCAAATTAAGCTAATGCTAGCACTTTGAACAAAGGCCACATATTCCTTTTATCAAAGCATTAGCACCTCAGACTCTGATGTTTTTCATATCAGTCCTGGATCCTATTCATTAGGGCACACAACTGAAAAAAGTGTTTAGCAACTGAAAACAAACATGAGCATTTCTTATTGGACAAGACCTAGTAATCCCTCCCTGTTTGTAAGTTTTTATATTTGTTGCCTAATGAATACACACACTCCTGGTGTCAGACAGCCCAACATTATTCAGTAGGCTGCAGTAGCTCCTGGAGCTGGCAGAGGGTGCTGTGCAGTGTGGCGGCCAGTGTCTCAGCGTGGGTTTCCTCACAGCAGTTGAAGGCTGTTATGGAGAAGTGGACATGGTCAGACTGGGGGTTGTAGCACACAGCGTATCCGTCGGGAACGAGAGGTCCGAAACACATCACACTGTCCGTGTTTGCAGGCACCTAGTGTAAGGGGTTTAATGTCGTTTCGAAGTTTGGGAGAAGAGAAGGAAGGGTATAAAGTTACTTTCACATAAATGTCGCAAAATAAATGCATTTTTTACAGTTTTACCGATGTGGTTTGCAGATTTACTGATCAAACTATTTACTTTAAATTGGTTTGCACAATCGTTTCCTAAATGTGTGTCTTGCAAATGATCTGAACATGGTAGACCACAAGACGATAGGTGTTAACCAAATATAAAATGTAATTGCCAAACATTAGGAAAGCCTTTAAAATAAACTCAGCAAAAAAAGAAACGTCCTCTCACTGTCGACTGCATTTATTTTCAGCAAACTAAATATGCGTAAATATTTGTATGAACATAACAAGATTCAACAACTGAGACATAAACTGAATAAGTTCCACAGACATGAGACTAACAGAAAGGGAATAATGTGTCCCTGAACAAAGGAGGAGTCAAAATAAAAAGTAACAGTCGGTATCTGGTGTGGTCACCAGCTGCATTAAGTACTGCAGTGCATCTCCTCATAGACTGCACCAGATTTGCCAGTTCTTGCTGTGAGATGTTACCCCACTCTTCCACCAAGGAACCTGCAAGTTCCCGGACATTTCTGGGGGGAATGGCCCTAGCCCCTCAACCTCCGATTCAACAGGTCCCAGACGTGCTCAATGGGATTGAGATCCGGGCACGTCGCTGGCCATGGCAGAACACGGATATTCCTGTCTTGCAGGTGTAACTCGGGCAGTTGTTGTTGCCATCCTGTACCTGTCCCGCAGGTGTGATGTTCGGATGTACCGATCCTGTGCAGGTGCTGTTACACGTGGTCTGCCGCTGCGAGGACGATCAGCTGTCCGTCCTGTCTCCCTGTAGCGCTGTCTTAGGCGTCTCACAGTACGGACATTGCAATTTATTGCCCTGGATATATCTGCAGTCCTCATGCCTCCTTGCAGCACGCCTAAGGCACGTTCACGCAGATGAGCAGGGACCCTGGGCATCTTTCTTTTGGTGTTTTTCAGAGTCAGTAGAAAGGCCTCTTTAGTGTCCTAAGTTTTCTGTGACCTTAATTGCCTACCGTCTGTAAGCTGTTAGTGTCTTAACGACAGTTCCACAGGTGCATGTTCATTAATTGTTTATGGTGATTAAAACCTTTACAATGAAGATATGTGAAGTTATTTGGATTTTTACTAATTATCTTTTTTGCTGAGTGTATAAATAAATAAATAAATAAATAAATATATATTTTTTGCAGATCTGGAATTTTGCAAGCAAAATGTTTAGCAGCTTTATAACTCAGCCCTACTCCAGCACTGTGGACACTATTATGGTACAAGGGCTCAATCATAAAGCTAAGACTGCTTCCATCTATTCCATTACTTGCACTATGCATTCTGCACCCATTGTGAAAATCAAAACACAATGGGAACAAGACCTTGATTGTACATGGTCAGATGAGGAATGGCGGCAAATTCTGTCAAGAATACACTATCAATATCTGTGCAAGACAATCTCATTCAATTGAAACTAGTAGATCGTATGGACTGGACCAAGTATAGACTTAGATGTACCCTGCTTGGACCCCACCTGTTATTGCTGCTAGGGCGGAACAGCCACTTTACTGCACATGTTCTGGTCGTGTCCCATGATCAAACCATACTGGTTACATATATTTCATACACTGTCAGATGTTTCTGGGATGATTATCGACCCTGCCCCCTAGTGGCCCTCTTTGGCTTAATTCCATCCTTGACAAGGTTAAGCAAAGCAAAGTCTGTTGTTGCATTTGTCACCCTGCTGGCCAGATGGTTAATTTGACTGTAGAACTGTCGTGCTCCATCACACACTACATGGATACAAAATATAATGTACTTCATTAAACTAGAAAAGAAAATCAAGCACACACTAAAAGGGAAAAAAATACCTATTTTACACTAATTGGGAGCCCTTCTTGTCATACTTAGAAAGGACTGAACCAGTATCTCCTTTGTGAGGAAACATCATTTGCATCATGATGCTTTGTAACATAGAACCAGGTGTCGATATATCTCTATACAGTGGGGAAAAAAAGTATTTAGTCAGCCACCAATTGTGCAAGTTCTCCCACTTAAAAAGATGAGAGGCCTGTAATTTTCATCATAGGTACATGTCAACTATGACAGACAAAATGAGAAAAAAAATTCCAGAAAATCACATTGTAGGATTTTTAATGAATTTATTTGCAAATTATGGTGGAAAATAAGTATTTGGTCAATAACAAAAGTTTCTCAATACTTTGTTATATACAACTTTGTTGGCAATGACACAGGTCAAACGTTTTCTGTAAGTCTTCACAAGGTTTTCACACACTGTTGCTGGTATTTTGGCCCATTCCTCCATGCAGATCTCCTCTAGAGCAGTGATGTTTTGGGGCTGTCGCTGGGCAACACGGACTTTCAACTCCCTCCAAAGATTTTCTATGGGGTTGAGATCTGGAGACTGGCTAGGCCACTCCAGGACCTTGAAATGCTTCTTACGAAGCCACTCCTTCGTTGCCCGGGCGGTGTGTTTGGGATCATTGTCATGCTGAAAGACCCAGCCACGTTTCATCTTCAATGCCCTTGCTGATGGAAGGAGGTTTTCACTCAAAATCTCACGATACATGGCCCCATTCATTCTTTCCTTTACACGGATCAGTCGTCCTGGTCCCTTTGCAGAAAAACAGCCCCAAAGCATGATGTTTCCACCCCCATACTTCACAGTAGGTATGGTGTTCTTTGGATGCAACTCAGCATTCTTTGTCCTCCAAACACGACGAGTTGAGTTTTTACCAAAAAGTTCTATTTTGGTTTCATCTGACCATATGACATTCTCCCAATCCTCTTCTGGATCATCCAAATGCACTCTAGCAAACTTCAGACGGGCCTGGACATGTACTGGCTTAAGCAGGGGGACACGTCTTGCACTGCAGGATTTGAGTCCCTGGCGGCGTAGTGTGTTACTGATGGTAGGCTTTGTTACTTTGGTCCCAGCTCTCTGCAGGTCATTCACTAGGTCCCCCCGTGTGGTTCTGAGATTTTTGCTCACCGCTCTTGTGATCATTTTGACCCCACGGGGTGAGATCTTGCGTGGAGCCCCAGATCGAGGGAGATTATCAGTGGTCTTGTATGTCTTCCATTTCCTAATAATTGCTCCCACAGTTGATTTCTTCAAACCAAGCTGCTTACCTATTGCAGATTCAGTCTTCCCAGCCTGGTGCAGGTCTACAATTTTGTTTCTGGTGTCCTTTGACAGCTCTTTGGTCTTGGCCATAGTGGAGTTTGGAGTGTGACTGTTTGAGGTTGTGGACAGGTGTCTTTTATACTGATAACAAGTTCAAACAGGTGCCATTAATACAGGTAACGAGTGGAGTACAGAGGAGCCTCTTAAAGAAGAAGTTACAGGTCTGTGAGAGACAGAAATCTTGCTTGTTTGTAGGTGACCAAATACTTATTTTCCACCATAATTTGCAAATAAATTCATAAAAAAATCCTACAATGTGATTTTCTGGGTTTTTTTTCTCAATTTGTCTGTCATAGTTGATGTGTACCTATGATGAAAATTACAGGCCTCTCTCATCTTTTTAAGTGGGAGAACTTGCACAATTGGTGGCTGACTAAATACTTTTTTTCCCCACTGTATATATTACACACACACACAGTATATACATACAGTACCAGTAAAACGTTTGGTCACAACTACTCATTCCAGGGTTTTTCTTTATTTTTACTATTTTCTACATTGTATAATAGTAGTGAAGACATCAAAACTATGAAATAACATGTGGAATCATGTAGTAACCAATTTTTTTTTTTTTAAATCAAAATATATTTTATATTTGAGATTCTTCAAATAGCCACCCTTTGCCTTGATGACAGCTTTGCACACTCTTGGCATTCTCTCAACCAGCTTCATGAGGTAGTCACCTGGAATGCATTTCAATTAACAGGTGTGCCTTGTTAAAAGTTAATTTGTGGAATTTCTTTCCTTCTTAATGCGTTTGAGCCAATCAGTTGTGTTGTGACAAGGTAGGGGGGTATACAGAAGATAGCCCAATTTGGTAAAAGACCAAGTCCATATTATAGCAAGAACAGCTCAAATAAGCAAAGAGAAACGACAGTCCATCATTACTTTAAGACATGAAGGTCAGTAAATCTGGAACATTTCAAGAACTTTTAAAGTTTCTTCAAGTGCAGTCACAGAAACCATCAAGCGCTATGCTGAAACTGGCTCTCATGAGGACCACCACAGGAAAGGAAGATCCAGAGTTACCTCTGCTGCAGAGGATAAGTTCATTGGAGTTAACTGCACCTCAGATTGCAGCCCAAATAAATGATTCACAGAGTTCAAGTAACAGACAACTCAACAGCAACTGTTCAGAGGAGACTCCGTGAATCAGGCCTTCCAGGTTGATTTTCTGCAAAGAAACCACTACTAAAGGACACCAATAAGAAGAAGAGACTTGACTGAGCCAAGAAACACGAGCAATGGACATTAGACTAGTGGAAATCTATCCTTTGGTCTGATGAGTCCAAATGTGAGATTTTTGGTTCCAACTGCTGTTTCTTTGTGAGACGCAGAGTAGGTGAACGGATGATCTCCGCATGTGTGGTTTCCACCGTGAAGCATGGACAAGTTGGTGTGGGGGTGCTTTGTTGGTGACACTGTCTGTGATATATTTAGAATTCAAGGCACACTTAACCAGCATGGCTACCACAGCATTATGCAGCGATACGCCATCCCATCTGGTTTGCGCTTAGTGGGACTATCATTTGTTTTTCAACAGGACAATGACCCAAAACGTGGTGGCAGCATCATGCTGTGGGATTGTTCTTCAGCGGCAGGGACTGGGAGACTAGTCAGGATCGAGGGAAAGATGAACTGAGCAAAGTACAGAGAGATCCTTGATGAAAACCTACTCCAGTGCGGTCAGGACCCCAGACTGGGGCGAAGGTTCACCTTCCAACAGGACAACGACCCTAAGCACAGCTTAGACAACGCACGAGTGGCTTCGGGACAAGTATCTGAATGTCCTTGAGTGGTCCAGCCAGAGCCCGGACTTGAACCCGATCTAAAATCTCTGGAGAGACCTGAAAATAGCTGTGCAGCAACGCTCCACATCCAACCTGACAGAGCTTGAGAGGATCTGCAGAGAAGAATGGGAGAAACTCCCCAAATACAGGTGTGCCAAGCTCGTAGCATCAACTTGAGGCTGTAATCGCTGCCAAAGTTGCTTCAACAAAGTACTGAGTAAAGGGTCTAAATAACTATGTAAATGTGATATGTTTTTTGTATTTTTTAATAAATTAGCAAACATTTCAAAAAACCTGTTTTTGCTATAAGGCTATAACCTAACTAATTGTGGAAAACGTCAAGGTGTCTGAATACTTTCCGAAGGCACTGTATTACATTACTGACTTATCTGGCTATATCGATGGCACTGTGTTGACTTTGATAAGTTACAATTGAGCACAAAAATATCATACTAAACTAAATAGAGGGTCACAGACCCAATACAATATTGCATTATCTGACACTCACCTTTAGATTACATAATTATTTCCTGTCATTGGAATGAATGTTGCAATACTGTCAACTTCCACTGGAGTTGTACTTTACCTGTCCTGTCCTGAGTTTCCAGTGGGTGGCCAGCCCATAAGCAGTGTCCATGAACAGTCTGGGCACGCTCAGTCCCTCTTCGATGGCCTGAAGCTTCAAGCCCAGCAGGTGGCGGTCGATGGCTTGTCCTTTGAGCGCCTGATTTAGAAAGGTCACACAGGTAGTTAGATGACAGAAAAGTGACACATTTCTGAGGGGATGGCAGCAGAAGCATTGGGTGTAGTTACCTGATCAGTAAGAGCGACGTAGGTCTCTATGGCCTCTCTGAGTAATTCCAGCTTTACTTCTCTCTGCAACACACAAATAGAGCATCAAGACGCATCAATAATGTCAACTTATAAAGCTGCCATGTATTGTTGGCTTTGTTAATAACTGCAAGTAGTTGTTTTTCTCAGCCACTCACAAAACAAGAGATTGTGTTGTGCCTTCGGCTTATCAAGCACCCACTAAAGCTAGAATCCTTAAGAATTTGTGAAACTGCCGTGTCCATTTGGGATATTACAACAAAGTTACTTCAAACAAACACTTTTTTCCAATCACCTGCGGTCGCGAGATGCGCTTTTGAGATCATTGTCAGTACACATTTGTTGATATTCTTTGCTAGTTTGTGAGTTATTTACCCAGTTATAGCTAATTTATGGTCAGCAAACAAGGTTTGTACAGTCATGAAAATCCTGGAAAAGCCATGGTTTGGTCGCCTGCGTATGCCAGTGCGAGTGGGCCCGAGGAGAGAGACATAGCAGCATAATAATGGTAGATAACAGGCTAACTAGATAGCCAATTCAAAAATATTGTGTTGCCTGGATAGTTCTCAGTAGCTACCTTTTCAGCTATTAGCATGTATTGTCATGTCCTAAAAAAATCTTTCACCGGCACGCAATTGATGAACGGGTGCGTTAATAAACCAATAATCCTGTTGTAAAACTATCTCTCAAGCGCTCAATATTGGGACTTGAGAAATAAACCTGACACTGTTGAAAAGCTGTGATTCCCCTCTAATCAACACTGTGACAACGTTAAAAATATTCTTCATATAGCCAAAATGACAAATAACTCACATGCTGTCAATAAATCTTTGGAATATTTTAGCCTTACAAGGTTATAGATAAACATGTCTTAGTTCGTTAACTTGCTTTGAAGTAACCTACCTTAGTCATTTGATCCCTAATTCATTGAATGAGGGAATTATTTTATAAAGACAAAGTATTTGGTTGTAATTATGTTGCAATATTTTACAGGCTACTAACGGTGGCCAACCATCCTCCAGGGGAGCCTTAAAGGGTTAGTGTTGTATTTTGAGACAGGCTTGACAATGCAAAGAAGCCAATAGACAGAGGGTAGGCTACACTTTTGTCTGATTCTCTATGGTAATAATAATGTATTTTATTTTGTAAAGTGGTTCCTTGCATCATATAATGTTGGAAAAAATGTTGACGACAAGTGACTTGAGCTTTCGGACAAGTAAAAGACCAGTCCTACTTGTCTGAAGGACAAGTGGCTAAAAAGGTTAATGTCAAGCCCTAAGTATGATTCTCACCGAGATAGAGGGGTCATCAAAGGTAAGCACAAACTTGAGCATTTGATTGGTGGGAGAGCGGATGTAGTCTGTGCGCCCCCCTCGAAACATCCTCTGGGAGGCAATGTCACAGCAGGCACAGACCTCATTGTGAACTCTGATGGAGAGAAGGAGAAAAGGGGTGCGTTCAGTTTGCTTTAACATTTGCTGTTTTGCGTGACGTTTTGAACTGAACGACACGTTTCCCCAAAACAGTGTGCACCGTTCATCAATAACCTTTAAAGTATGCTTGCTCCCGTTTGGTGGGTTTGGCCTTATCAACATGGGTGTGACCATCTGAAATCACAAAACTCGTGCAGCACACCATTTGTATGGTAACTGCCCTCTGGGCCACCATAATCACAATGTTTTTCAACTGGTCGTTCAGTACAGTACCGTTTCAGTTTAATTCAACGTTGCAAACCATTCTGTTGTACTGAACGCAACCCAGGTATTGAATTTGGACACAGTGATTGTTGTTAATCACAACTCATTTATAGAAAAGTCTTGATTTGATTCCACAATTTTGGCTGCCAAGAACATTTATCGTCTCATTTATTAACCATGAGAATATAATGCTTCTTGTGTGAAAATTTACTAGCATGTCTATGAAAATCAGTACCAGTGTGAAAACAACATCAACTGCACACATAATTTCCTTATTATTGTATACGGTATCCTAGTTTGAGGCTGAATGCCCTTTGTAAGTGATTCCTATGAGCTCACTTGTAGTAGGCCAGCTGCAGTGCCACCTGGATGAAGGAGTTGGGACTCAGGTTGTGCTGTTTGGGAAACTCCTTCCCAAACCTCTGGAAGTTGAAGCAGCGGATATCCAGGTCATTGATCAGTCTGGAGGGAAAGTATGACAAAATTCGAATGACAAATTCATACTCCATTAATAAGGCATCAGAGTAGGAGTGCTGATCTAGGATCAGTTTTTGCCTTGTAGATTATAATGAATGGAACTGATCCAAGATCAACTCTCTTGCTCTGAGACACTTTATGAATACGGGCCCAGGTTAGTTGTTGAATTAAAATGATAAAGATGACTCTTCACTCCATTGGGATAGAAATGTATCGACAGTTGTCCGTTTAGCCACAGGATGGCAGCACATGTTCTGAATCCAGGATAACACAGCCAGCTCAGATCACAAACAATTACTTAAAATAGAATGAGGAGGTCAGGAGGCACCAAAGCCTTCTTATGCTGCTGACCGTGTTCTGTCATGGTTACATCAACACTGAGGGCAGCTAATCGTGTTTACACTCCTCCATTTGCTTTGGTCCATGTCACTTTCATTTAAGCTCAGAGCCGTGTTGAAGTTCTTTGCAAAGCAAACATCGACTACACAGAGGCTGAGTGTTTCCTTATCATTGTAGTATCACCAACTACACTTATGCACTCACAGTGTTAGTACTGCTGTCTGTGGTGTTGAACCAGTCAGTATGCGGACCATGTTAAAATCCCTAAGAGTTTGACGCACCTGTGCATTAATCTCATAAACATAAAAAAAATCCCCATCAAAATATGTCTGTTTTAGCTATAGATAAAAAAAATATGTTTGCATGCGCTGCGTCCCACTATGTCGCCCTTACGCATCTGCGGTGGAAAGTGGCAGAGCTACTGAGCTGTTTCTCAGACCAGGAGACATCCCGAAAATCGGTCTTCACGAAAACGGTTTGGCCTACTAACTAATATGTAAAGATGAGACTCACAAACACGAAGGTGTTCTCCGTTTGCTCTACGAACCCCACAAGTGTCTCAGGACTCGTCAGAAGGTAATTAGGGACTGGTTTGAAAAAAATGAACGGAAGTATGGAGGTCGTTTTGTGCCAACAAAAAAAAGGGGTTAAATATGTCCAAAAATATATATTTCCTGAGCTTTCTTATATCTCCTAGATATAGGACAGACACTTCAAAACCTTATTCATTAGGATTTATTTTTTGACTGTCTGTATATAGCCATATATGAATGTGTTATTCAATGCGTTTTTATGGCTAAATTAAATATTTTATCAAATAATTTGTAAATATATATTTTTTATACCTACAGGGGTCCTAAAATTCTAAACAAAATAGCTAAATGATCCATGGTATGACCATCTTAAAACAATTCCATATGTTAGCTTAGTATAACACCCCCTTAGGCTTAGACTTTTAGAGGTTAATAAACAATCACATATGTAAACGACCGTCTCAATCCTATGTTGCAAAATTTGAATTTTATATTTGATAAAAGTAGAGACTCAGCGCTAGAAAATGGTATATCCTACACTACAGTTGGGGAACAATGGGAAAGTAATTCTGCTTTGAAAGTTGATAAACTTGTAACCCCACTTGAATGTTTTGGTACATCTACTGGAGAGCTCTTCTTTGTCTACACCCATTCAGCATCGTTCACACCCTGTTAAGCCTTAGCCCCATCTCTAAGGATTCATGTGAGGCCATGTGCTAAACAGAGTGAGTATGGCAGTGTACTAAACAACCAAAGATTTCAAGACTAAAGGCTGGTTTATACTACGTCTATCGCCATGTCTGTAGACAGTTGTCGCAGTGACATCATGAACATTCTATTGTCGTCCGGCATCAAACTTGTTGTCGTTATGAAAAAGTACAACCACAAAAATGACTGCAGCCTGGTGGTCCAAAATAGCATAACTGGTGTATTTTAAACCCAATAAACCCATCCGTTTAAAAATGAATTTAGTATATGTAAATCTAGCAAGCCAGGCAACTATAAGCAACTTTCTAAACAATGTTTAGATTAGTTTCTAACTCATTAGCTAGCTAGCTAACGTTAAGTTAGCTGGCTAGCCAGTTCAAATAATGACTATCATATAGCTGACAACGTCTTAACTTTAGCTAATTTGTGAGTTTATTTTCCTGTAATAATGAATACAACAAGATCATTATTTACAAGTTAATGGCGAGCTCATTACAAAAAATAGAGGATTTTAGACACTGTCTCGTTATATCCTAATTTGACTTTGGGGCCAGGTCATGTTCTTCACATGGTAAAATGAAAGTTTATTTGTCACATGCACAGGATACAGAAGGTGTAAACGGTATAGTGAAATGGTTACTTGCATAGTGGAGTCTTTTGTTTAAACATGTAGCTAGCTAGCTAAACAATGAACCATAATCCCAATTCATAACGTTACTACCTTGCATGAATCTGCAGGTAGCTAAAGCTAACCAAGTAGGTTCAATGCTAGCTAGCTAACATTAGGCTATAACTAGCAATGCAAATGGCTCTGATACAAATAGTATTACTACACAGATCATACACGTAATGTTAGCTAGCTAGCGAGCCAGCCAGCTAACGTCAGCTAGCTAGCTAACAGTACACTTTAAAACGACTGACTAAATTAGAAACGTATAATATCTGAAAATGTAGCTAGCTAGACTCTCTTACCCATATACATGGATGAACGCTCTCCCTCTCTGTCACGGATGCCCTTAGTTTGAAGATGTAATCCGGAGACATGTGTGTTATACAACAGCCTTCTGCGTGTTCTCTTTTTGACTCCTTCCGCATATTTGCAATCAAAAGCCAGAATTTTCTCAGTCTCCTTAGCTCTGCTTCCACTGGACATTTAACCGGATTTCAAAACACGGTCCTCCAGAAAGTGGAGAGCATTAGCAAAACTTTTGCAGTTCTTCCGTGATATCTTTCAAAAAAGCTGCATTAGAAAGGATTACCTACACATACTGAGCAGCTCACGTTATAGACAGAAGCGTGCTACATGGCAGACCAATCCAAACTAATCTCTCGGCATGTCCAGCCCATCCATTACCTCAGCCAATCATTGCTAGCTGGAAGGTTCCTGTCTTTTTCTGTGGCTAAACCAACTAGGCTCGTAATTTAACAATTTTATTCGTATTTAAAGATGGCATACAAGTTTGTTACTAAGGCACATGAAAGTTCACACGTTCCAGAAGGCATTTCTGCCCCCCCAAAAATCATTTAGATAAAAAACAAAAATGTTACGTTCAAATGCCTCTCCTGTGAAGTAGTGACGCGCGACATATGCCTAGTTTCCTGAAATGAGTCACCTATTTACATCAAATAAAGCCTATATGATATGTAATAACACAGGAGTGATGAAATAATGCATAATAATACATGCATATGGTATGCAAACTCACATATCAAGGTTTTGCTTGGCATGCTCGATATCTCTCTTAATCTCACGGTCAATGTTGAAGTAAAGCTTCTTGGGCATCCGAAGTGGGATCAAAGGGGTTTTCTTTGGGTCCGGTTTCTTACTGCAGAGAGAAGAGCGAGGGTAAATGTTAATTGGCATTGTGTGTTTTTTATTGTCTGACTCATTGTTTTAATTCCAATAAACCTCAACTACAAGTATTTTGCAATCTTGACAAACTGAGATGAATACTGTATTCATACTGTATGTAATTGAGCAAGTAATGCAGCAAAAGTAGATAAGACCCTCCCATGTCTTATCTCACCAGTATTGTAGAATGTGATCCAGAAGAGTAGCTATTGGTGGACCTTCAGCCGTGGCCTGCTCATACAGAAGCCCCCATGAGCCATCCTCACCCACCACAAACTACGAGAGAGGAAGGAATAGTGCAAGAGAAAGGTAACTAATTAGTTTACCAACAACTGTTGCTCAGTCCATTATCTTTTTTGTTTATTTATTTATTTTATTTCAGTGTTATACAGCATTTGGTGCCCAGCCCATATGGGCTTACAAGACACTTTTCATCAAGTACATGTGTGAAACGTGATCTATGATTGGTTGGGTCATTTGGTTAATTCTACTGCCTCCACTCACCTGCAGTGTTTTGTCAAACCAACGATTGCCGCTGTTCGAGTGTGTCCCGCCCCCGTGCAGGATTTGAGCTGCCATGCGACTGGAGTACCTGTCAGTCAAAGTAACACAGAATTTCATGACTAATTCATCTAATAATCCAAAACACATCAGTCAGCAGCATTCAATTAAGTGCTCAAGTCCCTGGTGTGTCAAATATAACTGAGCAAAAAGTATTCATACTGTACAGCAACTTGCATTACATTTTTAAAATAGTAACATACAGGATGACAGAAAAAATATAATGGCTCATACTTATCATCTGACACCCTCATGACTGGAGAGTCCAGACACAAGGTGAAAAGTCCCTTCTCAATCGCTTGCACTGACTCCTTGTTCAATTTATCTGGGTAAGGAAAAGAGGGAAAGGTTAAGAGGCGAAGCACTCCTTACTGAAGGTAACAATAAAAATACATTCAGACTTTAAAAACAAATAGGCACTGAGCAAATTTCAGGTCTGCTGAGCGCAAACTTGAGTGTTGTGAAACATTACTTTGAACACAGGCTGTACCCACTTTTAGTTACAGTTTTAACAGTGGCAAAGTCAGCTACTGTGGCTATTTGATCATAATGTAGGCCTAGCAGAGTGCCCTACCATCAAAAACAATGGAGAAAATGCATCCCATAACATTTTAACATGGAAATAGCTGTTCTATCATTCAGCCTACAGTATCAGACAATGTGTGGTGTTCAATGTAGGCTTACATTCCATGAGACTTTTGAAAAAACATGCAGGGTTTGACATTAACCTGTTCATCCACTTGTCCTTCAGACAAGGTGACTGAAAATGCTGTTGTGTTGTTTGATGCAAGAAACCACTTTACAAAATACAATTTATTATTATTCCCATACCATTATTACAGAGAATCAGACAAATTATGCTACCCTCTGCCTATTGGCTACTAAGCTTATTCACTGCCCCTTTAAGACAAAAAAAAGCTCTTTACCTGACCCGCTTTTCGAAGATTTCTAAAACTTTACACGTTTTGTGCTCTTGTAGGAAGCAATCACCCCCCTATTGCTGACTACAAATGATCTAGAACTGGGCTAATAACTCACTAACTAGCAAAGGATATGAACAAAATGTGCACACGTGGCTACATGCAGCTCTTGCTTTGATCTCAAAACAAGCGCATCTACTCACGAACACAGCTGTAAACAAACAGTCCAGTTCAAAGTAAATGGCACAAATCCATATATGGCAATTGTCTATTTGCATATAGGCCTACTGCAACTCTGATTGGTTATGGCCACCGGTCTCTGTAGAGTAAGGACTGAGTTGTGCGCAATATAATCCTACTCCGAAGAGTTCTGCATACAGCAAAATATCTTGCATAGTTCGTTTTGTTTTCGGTATATTGCATTGAAAGTAGCTAATATTGTGTTGATTCGATCACAATAGCCACAGTAAAGGGAAACGTTGATAGTGTTAACTAACAGGGAAAACTCTAGAAAGTTGAGTGAAGTTCAATCTCGTGCTTCTCTCCGTGGGCTGATATTTCTTCTGTGCTCTGCGCGGCAGTTACAGGGAGCTGCACGGCAGTCTCAGGGCTACTGCACACCTGTGCACGCACGCAGCTTAGAGGGAACATTGCTAGCAACATGCATTTGAAAACAGTGTCGTCCTCTGCATCACACACCCTGGACGTCTCATACTCTGGGTATGTATAGTATAATGCTGTGTCTATCATGTCTACCTTTGAGCAGGCGGCTGTAGGCCTGGCCCCAGGTCTGGCGGTGCTCGCTGGTCAGGATGCCCATGGGCTCCTTGTCCGTCTTCCACGACTCAGCCCTGATTCGCAGGAGCTGGGCGTGGATCTGGCTCTCTGTCATCCGAGAGCCATCACTGTTGTACACGTCCATCTGAAAGAACTGGGTGGGACAGAATAGAGAAATGAATAGTGAATTGAATTGTGATACGGAAAAGCTAATCCATGCTTTTGTCACTTAAAGATTAGATTACTGCAATGCCCTACTTTCCGGCTAACCCGGATATGGCACTAGGCCTAAATAAACTTCAGTTAGTGCAGAATACAGCTGCTAGAATCTTGACGAGAACCAAATAATTCCATCACATTATTTCTTGGGCTCGTGCAGTGGGGGAGATCTTCGTGGACTATACTCAGCCTTTGACTTCAGGGTAGTAAGTGAGTGGTCTGTTGATATTCCTTAAGTGGTGTGGGGGCTGTGCTTTGGCAAAGTGGGTGGGATCATATCCTGCCTGGTTTGCCCCGTCCAGGGGTAACTTTGGATAGGGTCACAGTGTCTCCCGACCCACCCCCCAGCCAAAATCTGACCATAGAAACATGGAGGCTATTATTTTATAAAGACTTCCACATGCCATTTAAAACAGTAGCCCATTTCTGTCATGTTCTATTGATTTTCAAATCAACTTTCTTTCATTGTCCAATGGCCAAAGGAAAAATAGTCATATTAGCAAACCATGCTAGTTGTTGCATCTTTAGATCTCCCTTTCTAAATGTCTAACGGACATTTTCATCTATGTCACATGAAACCTGCTTGCATGTGCGGTACACTTTTGACAACAGTGTTTTCCCGCTAATTGCATTATGGAACAAACATTCACGCTTAGCCTACTACCATGTGCGCATTGCTACACTTATAATGTGAAGAAATAATAGTTGATGAACATTTTAAGATAAACGTTCTGATCTGTCGCATCAGCCTCATTGCTTTTTAAAGTTTTTGTTGATGTACTGGTTGTATGAATTTGAGATCTATCTTCCCAAAACTGTCTCATCAAGTCTGTTTAGAATAGGCTATTTCTTTCTCACACACAACGACAAGCTGACCAATAGAATAGGTAAAATGTTCTACTACAGGGGATAGTAGATTGACAGGCTAGTGATTTTGCTGTTCATTACTCGTCTGAATTACCATAATATAAATATGATTTCTCATTCTGAGCACCAGGTTACGCACCCAATGCATATGGGTCCGGTCAATTTCTTAAATGTCCAGTAAATTAAAATGCTGCCGGTCAAATGTCCAGTGCCACATTTTCCTAACGGAAAATCTGTCTTAGGCATGCTCTCACTAATTCCCCTCTCTCGATGTCTCCCCTCCCGGAGGACCTGAGCCCTAGGGCCATGACTCAGGACTACCTGGCTTGACGATTCCTAGCAGTCCCAATTACTATATATTTTTAGTTTGGACTTCGGCTGCCCCAAAAAACCCTTAGGGCTTTTTCCATGCAGAAAAAGCTCTGCCCTGCTGGTCATTTATGAATGTTTCAACGTCTTGAATTACCTTCAAATGTTAATGTACTCTTAAATCTCCACCCAGCACAGCCAAAGAGGACTGGCCACCCCTTGGAGCCTGGTTCCTCTTTAGGTTTCTTCCTAGGTTCCTGCCTTCTAGGGAGTTTTTCCTAGCCATTTTGCTTGTGTGCTTGCATTGTTTGCTCTTTGGGGTTTGAGGCTGGGTATCTGTAATGCACTTTGACAACTGCTGTTGTAAAAAGGGCTTTATAAAATATATTTGATTGGGTATCATTAATGTTGGGTATCATTGCAAGGTTCATTAGTCTAGTCTGTAATATGGGATTCATTGGCGCTGTCCCCTTTGTTCGGTGTAGTCGCTCTCACCTTGACGAAAACACATTAAATCCTCTTCTGACAACAGCCATATAGTCAGTGATGCATACTGTGGGTCAAGCTCACCTGGTAGTTTCTCACCACTGTGATGTGGCGGGCACGGCTGTGATGGGTGATAGTGTCGTGTTTGCGGCCTGGGATCCGACAGGATGAGAAGAGGAGGGGAAAGAGCTCCATACAGAGTGGCTGGCCCCGCATGTACTCCACTGGCAGACGGCCACTGAGTGAGTGAGAGAGAGAGTGAGAGAGAGAGAATACCGTTACTGACAGTATGCCGTAATAAATTTAGACTGGGTATATAAACCAAAGCACACAGGCCAACACAGAGGTAAAAGGTTAAAGCCCTAAAATAGCTGAGAGAGGGAGTGTCTACAACATAGGATACAAATATTGATATGGTTCACCTTTTAGCTAATATTACTGCTTCAGGGCTAAGATGGCATATATGTACAGTACAACCTTGAAATGGCACTTACTTGTCTACTACATTTTTGAAATCGAGTGCTGCAGCAATCAGCTTGGACGCAAACCTGGGTCGACACAAAATATGTTAGAGAATGGCCCAGTCAGAGTACTGCTTGTTCAATGCAAATCAAACTTTACATTGTAACATACTACTTTGTGCATTATCATAAAATGGGGTGGAACTGTTCAAAGTTCCTCACATTTCCTACAGCTATAGATAGGATACAGATCTATGAAATAACATCCAGTGCATTCGGAAAGTATTCAGACCCGTTGACTTTTTCCACATTTTGTTACTTTACAGCCTTATTCTAAAATGTATTAAATTGTTTTTTCCACTCATCAATCTACACACAATACCACATAATTACAAAGCAAAAATGGTCAGAGTCCTTTAGGTGCCTTTTGGCAAACTCCAAGCTGACTGTCATGTGCCTTTTACTGAGGAGTAGTTTCCGTCTGGCCACTCTACCATAAAGGCCTGATTGGAAGAGTGCTGCAGAGATGGTTGTCCTTCTGGATGGTTCTCCCATCTCCACAGAGGAACTCTGGAGCTCTGTCAGAGTGACCATCAGGTTCTTGGTCACCTCCCTGACCAAGGCCCTTATTTAATCCATTTTAGAATAAGGCTGTAACGTAACAAAATGTGGAAAAAGTAAAGGGGTCTGAATACTTTCCAAATGCACTGTATACCCGAGCCGACAAGGTGAAAAATCTGTCGATGTGCCCTTGAGCAAGGCACTTAACCATAATTTGCTCCAGGGGTGCCGTACTACTATGGCTGACCCTGTAAAAGGCTGACCCTGTAAAACAACACTGCACCTATTCGGTGTGTGGGACAATAAAACAAAAATATATTTTAAAAAAAACATCTGTCGGTAGTTGGAACAGACTAGGTTTTTCTGACTCTACTCAGCAAATCCACAGGTGCAAATGCTCTGTGTGTGTACAACATCATCCATATCATGTCAACACTGGTGACTGTCTGTATACAGTCAGCAAACCAGCCTGCTCCTCTCTAGTATCTCACAGGCACAGTGCCTACAGCTATGCCAGTATGCTGCTGACTGGCACTCACACAAGCTGGCCCCTCCAGTCTGAGAAGTCCCGCTTGGGCAGGGAGATGGCCGGGTTAGAATGCACGGGCAGGGGCTGTCTGCTCTCCAGGTATGCCCACTGCACCCACCAGTCAGATAACTACAGTAGAGGACAGGGGAAAGGACAACAGCAAAACTACTATCAATCATGCAGTACAGTCCAGAAAGGAGAGCAGCTGTGGAAAGACACTTTGAGCCATTAAGAGTGAACCTCAAATTAGCACCATGCATTGTCTGTGTGTAATATAAGGTGTCATCCAAAATCCAACACCCCAATGATATTTTTTTTATCTCAGTCTATTTACGATGGTTACAAATTGTGCACAATTTCCCACATTGTTTGCATACCCAATTGTTTGAGTGTCTAGCTCGTCTCTCCAGTCCCTCTTGAAGTTGCGGACCGAGTCCCCCCTCTCCGCAAAACTTTTGGATATTCTTGCGGGTGTGGACCAGCTCTTCTTCAGGTATCAAGGGCTCCAGGGCTCGGAGGTACCCCTGCAGAGTCTGGGCCAGCGGGGGCACCGGCTGGGCGGGCACCGAGGAGGAGAAGCATCGCTCCTGGCTGGATGCAGACACAACCTACATGTATGTCCAGATAAACAATGTTGAGATATATCGTATATCTTTGAAATCGTGACACTACGTCCTTTCGAGGGAAATAGGCAGGTTTCTCGACTAATGCCGCATTCACAAGTCACAATATCTCGTAATTACCAGCATACGACTGAAATATCCACTTGAACGCTCCTCCAACTGGTAATTACTAGAGGGAAACTCGTCCATCATCCCTGTGCTCCAAGTTATATATATTTTTTTATATATACTCAGAGCTCCATTTTTAGCTTGTTTTAACTACTCCTATAGAAATTGTCATCTGTCAGGTACTCAGCACGAAGGTCTGATTTCACTATTATTAAAACGAGAATCTGGAGGCCACTTACACTTCAATGTTGTAATGCAAAAATACTAGCAATGCATAGCACTCAGAATTAAAAAAGGTTTTACTAGGTATTGTTCATCCTGATCAGACAGGTTTTTTACTTGGACGATACATTGGAGATAATATACGACAACTACTAGAAATAATAGAACATGAAACATCTAAGAAGCCAGGCCTGGTATTCATATCAGATTTTGAAAAGGCCTTTGATAAAGTAAGACTGGTTTTCATATATAAAATGCCTGGATTTTTTCTATTTCTAAAACCTAATTACAGTAAGTGTACCATATTATGCATTGGATCTTTAAAACATTTTTTTTTACAAACTTTTACATTACCCTGCAGTTTACCTATAAAATGGGCTGACGGGGAAGTAGACATATTTGGTATTCATATCACACATATATATATATATATATATGAGCTCTCCACAATGAATTTCAATAGAAAACTAGTAAAAATAGACAAGATCCTGCAACCATGGAGAGATGAATACCTGTCTATTTATGGAAAATTACATTGATTAACTCCTTAGTCATATCTCAGTTTACTCACTTATGGCGCTACCTACTTCTAATGATTTGTTTTTTCAAATCATATGAACAAAAAATATTTCGCTTTATCTGGGATGCTAAACCAGACAAGATAAAGCGTGCCTACAGTGGGGGAAAAAAGTATTTAGTCAGCCACCAATTGTGCAAGTTCTCCCACTTAAAAAGATGAGAGAGGCCTGTAATTTTCATCATAGGTACACGTCAACTATGACAGACAAATTGAGAAGAAAAAAAATCCAGAAAATCACATTGTAGGATTTATTATGAATTTATTTGCAAATTATGGTGGAAAATAAGTATTTGGTCACCTACAAACAAGCAAGATTTCTGGCTCTCACAGACCTGTAACTTCTTCTTTAAGAGGCTCCTCTGTCCTCCACTCGTTACCTGTATTAATGGCACCTGTTTGAACTTGTTATCAGTATAAAAGACACCTGTCCACAACCTCAAACAGTCACACTCCAAACTCCACTATGGCCAAGACCAAAGAGCTGTCAAAGGACACCAGAAACAAAATTGTAGACCTGCACCAGGCTGGGAAGACTGAATCTGCAATAGGTAAGCAGCTTGGTTTGAAGAAATCAACTGTGGGAGCAATTATTAGGAAATGGAAGACATACAAGACCACTGATAATCTCCCTCGATCTGGGGCTCCACGCAAGATCTCACCCCGTGGGGTCAAAATGATCACAAGAACGGTGAGCAAAAATCCCAGAACCACACGGGGGACCTAGTGAATGACCTGCAGAGAGCTGGGACCAAAGTAACAAAGCCTACCATCAGTAACACACTACGCCGTCAGGCACTCAAATCCTGCAGTGCGAGACGTGTCCCCCTGCTTAAGCCAGTACATGTCCAGGCCCATCTGAAGTTTGCTAGAGTGCATTTGGATGATCCAGAAGAGGATTGGGAGAATGTCATATGGTCAGATGAAACCAAAACAGAACTTTTTGGTAAAAACTCAACTCGTCGTGTTTGGAGGACAAAGAATGCTGAGTTGCATCCAAAGAACACCATACCTACTGTGAAGCATGGGGGTGGAAACATCATGCTTTGGGGCTGTTTTTCTGCAAAGGGACCAGGACGACTGATCCGTGTAAAGGAAAGAATGAATGGGGCCATGTATCGTGAGCTTTTGAGTGAAAACCTCCTTCCATCAGCAAGGGCATTGAAGATGAAACGTGGCTGGGTCTTTCAGCATGACAATGAACACACCGCCCGGGCAACGAAGGAGTGGCTTCGTAAGAAGCATTTCAAGGTCCTGGAGTGGCCTAGCCAGTCTCCAGATCTCAACCCCATAGAAAATCTTTGGAGGGAGTTGAAAGTCCATGTTGCCCAGCGACAGCCCCAAAACATCACTGCTCTAGAGGAGATCTGCATGGAGGAATGGGCCAAAATACCAGCAACAGTGTGTGAAAACCTTGTGAAGACTTACAGAAAACGTTTGACCTGTGTCATTGCCAACAAAGGGTATATAACAAAGTATTGAGAAACTTTTGTTATTGACAAAATACTTATTTTCCACCATAATTTGCAAATAAATTCATAAAAAATCCTACAATGTGATTTTCTGGAGAATTTTTTAAATCATTTTGTCTGTTATAGTTGACGTGTACCTATGATAAATTATAGGCCTCTCTCATCTTTTTAAGTGGGAGAACTTGCACAATTGGTGGCTGACTAAATACTTTTTCCCCCCACTGTATCTGTATAATAAATATGAACTGGGTGGGTTGAGATTATTAAATATAAAAGCACTATACCCCTCTCTAAAAGCTTCACTTATACAAAAGTTTTACTTTAACCCAAAATGGTTCTCAAGTAGATTACTAAGAAAAGCTCATCCATTGTTTAAAAATGTCATTTTTGCCTTTGTGCAGATTGCCATGTCTCATTTTCGATTAATTGAAAATGAAATCTTGTTCAAAGTATTTCTCTTTTTCAAACAAGCATTGCAGAGCTGGTTACAATTTCATCCCCCAGAAAAGATAGAACAAATATTATGGTTGAACTCAAATGTGCTGGTTGATAAAAAACCTGTATTTATGGAAAATGTGTTTGAAAGGGGTATTTTGTTTTTAAATTATATTGTAAATTGGAATGGTACAGTTGTCTTTCATGGAGCTATTGGAATTGTATGGGAAGGTCCGCTCAATCCAAGATTACAACCAATTGATTACAGCATCACCCCAAAAATGGAGGCAGCAGGTGGCAGGGAACTAGTCTGTCTGCCCAATATAAAGGATCAAAACTGGCGGAGGAACAAAAATAGCATAAATAGGAAAGTATAGCAGTTTCATTTGAGGACCAGGATGTTGACAGCTGTGCCATACAGATTGCAAAATAGCTGGGAAGAGATTTTTGATGTAGCGACTCCATGGCACAGCTGAGTAAAACGACGCAAGAATTTGTGCTTTTCAGCTAAACTCATTGTACAGAATTCTTGCCACCAACAAAATGTTGAATATTTGGGGCATACAACCATCGCAGCTCTGCAGATTTTGTTGTGAGGATACAGAATCAATAGACCATTTGTTCTGTTATTGCCCTCAGGTAGCCTGTTTATGGTCTCAGGTTCAGGAATGGCTGAAAACGCATAACATTAATCTAAAATTGACCCTAGAAATAGCATTGTTGGGAGATCTGGAGAGACATGGTCAGTCAATTACTAGTACTCTTAGTAAAAGTATTTATCTTCAACTCGCAATCTGTGGATTCTATTCGATTAGATAGACACTAACAATCTATTTGAATCTATCAATTCCCCATTACATATATCACCAGTAGTACATTTACCGTTAATTCCTATAAATGTCTAATCTACAATGTTTGTTTGGTTACGGTAATGTCTGTTAATGCATTCAATATATTATTATTCCAGTCTTTTACCGTTCTCATTGAAGGAGTAGACACGTTGTTTGCAGAGCGCACAACCTATGCTACACTTGTGAGAAACAGATTTAGGTTTATTTAATTCTATTTACGAGTTGTCAATTTAGTCAGTCATTTTTTGCCTTCTCCGTTTCACGCGCAAAAGGGTAGGCCTATATGGGAAACGGGCGCGAGAGAAAAAAGGAAAATAACTTTTGTTAAGGTTGTTCAAGCGTCCAAGAAACAATGTCAAACTTAGCACATAGCTAGAAAGAGAACAAGGTATTTACTGTCTTTCAATATTGGTCTTGTTTCAGAAATCTTTCTAATTATTTTGAACGTGTACTGAACGGATATTTGTATTGTAATTGATGTTCTGAAGTCTGCTAGCAATATGACGTTGTTAGCTATAGCCTAGTTCCACTGTTTGTGCTGGCTAATATTAGTTCATCTTGCGCCACATTAGCAAGCTGTTAGCATGTAATCAACTATTTGGGTAGAAATTCCCATGCATATTGATGCATTTGATGTATGAAGCACGCAAATGTAAAGTTCTGTAAAAGTGTATTTGTTTGTGGACTGTATTGTTCATATTGTAAGAGCATTTTTGGTTTGTTTCGCCATCAGCTCTTACGGTGTGTTTATGGAAATGGTACCACAAACTTTCATGAACCATTAGTTTGAGAGTTGACCATCATTCAGCTGGGGATGCTACATGGAGCGCTCCTGTCATTGTCTTTCCAGCTCTCTCCCTTTCGATAACTACTCAGCGTGAAAGGGAAAAATGTCATGCTCTGATCCAGTGGAAACGCTATAAAATAGGCCTACCTGATTACTTCTTATCCCTTGAGCAAATAGCCTATAGCTGTCTTTCCCAAGCTCACTGGCGCAGGAAACGCAGGGCCCAGAATATTTTATACAATGTTGCAAGTTTGCTAGCACCAGCTTCTGGCCATACCCAAGTTAATAGTTGATACAATGTTTCAAGTTCGTTGCAGACAGGCCATGCGTAGCCAAAGTGATTTATAGGATATTTATTTTTAAATCAGGATATTTTCTACCTGCAGGCTGCAAAATTTGTATATAGTTGGCAATGGAAGTTACTTTTTAGGTTTGTATCATTTTCATTTGGATAGAATTTTGATTAACCACAAGACAATGAGTTTGAGATACGAAGACATTATTATAAATGAAATGAAACTGTTCCATGAAAATGTGCATATGAAAACCATAACTGGCATGCAGATCGGTAGAAATTGTAAGATAAATTGGCATTCCACATGAGAAAGTTTGCCGACTCCTTGTGTAGTCTATTACCGGCAACTTCAGCAGAGTAACATTAAGGTTTTTTTCTTCTGGTTATCTTGATCTCTGCCTCCCTCTTGAGTCATTTGTGTCTTTCATCAGACTGTGTGATTAAAGCACCAGACAAGCTCAATGCATATATAGTTGAATTTATTAAAACACATAGGGTGTGTCTATATGGAAAAATACACGTTTTAAAATTTCGAATATTTTAGGTCGACCAAGATTTGTCGGGGACAGCCCTACTCTTATTTTCGATATTGATTATTGTACAGCAATGTTGAGGGAGCTAGCACACAAGTATTTCACTGCACCTTTCTTTTTTACCTGCTGTAAACTGTATGTAACAAATACATTTGATTTGAAAACACAAAAGTCCTACTCATTACTTTACATGCTTAACCTACGTCAGCCAGAACGGGGCACTCGACTCACGCCCAGGAGGCAGCCTGTGCAAAGTCTGCCCATCTTGGTCACCTGGACAGTTTCATGGAATCCCCTCATTGTTTTTCCCATCTCCTCATTTCTTAAAGTAATTGAGTGTCTAGTCAGTGAAAATCATATTCTGCTAACTTATACCCAAATAACACCTACCCAAATAATGTTATTGACTCATTCTATACTCATATCAGTGGCCAAAGTATAAATTGGAGGAAGAAAAAAAACGCTTCAAAAACCCCACCTCAAAAATGCTTGCCATTTCCTCATAGAGGATGATGTCATCAGTGGTCTAATATTTTTTATGACTGGTATAGGCCCACACCATTCCAACACAGAAAAGCTGTTTTTTAAAATACCTATGCTGCATTCATAAGCAAGTGTAAAGTGGTAAATACCAGTTGGATGCATTCACATGATTTGAACTAGTTGAGAAACTAAAAGTACAGCTATCATGCTTGTAAACAAATTAGGGTTGCTTTTTATAAATAATGTTTTGTTGCTTTTAACTGCCGAAAAGTAATTTCCTTGGTAGATGACGTCAGACGTCAGCATGTGGGAGAAGAGCGTTCATGTGGACTTTTCCCAGTCGTATGTGGTAAATACCACCTTCCCACTTGGTTATGAACACAGCATAAATTAATTTTGGGGGGAAGGAAAACTATTTCACTCATTTTGTAATTAATTATAGGTCGTATTCCATGGACATCTGGACAGTTTAAAGTATTTCTGGTAGGATGCAGGAAAATAGGGGCGTTGGAGTGATGTGCCAATCAAAACGTGACCAGCCAGAACATACCTAAATAGGAAGTTTGTAAGTATGTATGGGGGAGGTTCCCCATACCAAAACAACTTTGAAATGCAACAGTATTACAATTTAAAATGGTTTAGCTATTCAGATAGCTTACCACTCACCCGAGACAGCCAAGTTCTGCATGATCTCGCAGTTATTTTTCTCAAAATCATCTCAACTCACGAGCCACTCCTTTACCGGATCAAAGGCGCGAACTTTCTTGAACAAATGACCGAGGAAGTGTTTGGGGAAAAAATAGCTAGTTTAAACTAGTAGATAACCTGCTAAAATGTAGCCAGCCAGCTAGCTATCTAACTTGCTAACGACAAATGCCAGGTGAGTTTTCTTCGAGCCCTTGCATTAGTTTTTGAGTGTCAAAGACTTTGTTATTGTCCAACTGGAAAAAAGTTATCGTTCCAGGTTTGGAAACTTTGACGGGCTTTGACATGGCAGAAAACAGCAAACGCTAGTCGTCACGGTCCCTATAGAGCAGTGGTGAGCAATCTTAGGACTTTCGCAAAGAGTTCAGATGAATCTCTGTAGCAAAGGCAACACAGCTAAATCGACACGTGTCCAACGTTTCCGTAACCCTAAGAGCTCCCACAGATAGAACCATGATACAGATATTTCACTGGATGTATAAATGTGAAGCATCCGCTTGGCGTTTCCACTCACTACCAAATGTGGTAGTGAGAGGAAGCCCGATGGCGGGCAGTGGGAGAAGATGGAACGAGATGGATTTTAGCCGACATTCTGCAAACTTTCTCATCGATGAAACATTTGATTTCAATACAGTTTTCTGTTCCCAAAACCAAAATCTGTTATGAAAAGAGTGGACTAAGATTAGTAGACTTTACCCTTTTTTTATCGCGTTGTTTAGAAGGTGCACAAATGCGAATTTAGTTATTGCACGCGCACACTTCAGAGTAGGCGTTCCCTTACGGACAAATATATGCTAGAACACGCCAAAAGGATCTCGCTAGCTCGTACTTGGCTCTGCCCACCTCCAGCTTGTTCTGCCCACTATCACTCATTTGTTCCCATTCGAAACGATAGGTAGTGGTCTATCTTGGTTTACTTACAATATCTTTGGAGCTCCTCACGTCTCACTTCTTCTTCTTCTTCTTCGGTGGGGTTTTAGGGCAGACTACATCCAACTACGGTGTATTGCCGCCCCCAGCTGGATGGGGTGAAAACTATGATTTAACATTAATAGTAAGTTTACCCTGGCGTGACGTTTTGATAACTGTGTAAATCTCTAGGACAAGGTGACTTATCAATATATTTGCCTGTATTTACCCCCCAAAATGAAATGCTAACTGCTAATGTGGCTATCATAAATAACTACAAATGTCATGGTGAACTGAACGAGACTGCCGAATCGAGGCAAAGGTAAGAATCTCTGGATTAACTAATGTTAGCTAAATGAATGAATAAACTGGCAACATTTCTTTAAATTGACAATTCTGTGAATTGTCTTGTGCAAGTTTTAAATTGACACAATACCTATTAGCAAAGGTGTCAGCTAGAGATTACATGCAGGAGCTTGCAGGGATTTGTAGTCTTGCATGATGTCTACTTTGATGCTAAATGCTAAGCATTTTCAAATCTGAGAGTAAATAGAGCCGAATATATTGATAAAAGTCACCTTGACTGAGAGAGATTTGCATGGTTATCAAAATGTCACGCCAGGGTAAGCCTACACGAAACACAGCCCTTATTTTAAGGGTTTCTAAAATTCCCTATGGGAAAGATTAATGGTGGAAAAACTATTTCCCTGTTTGACTGCTAGGTTTTATGGGTATTATGACACCTACACTATGGGGCTCTATATGACTGACTGATGACTTCAAAGCCTCTCATTGGCCAATACATAGCATCAGTAATCATGGGTTTATATACATAATTGGTCTGGACAGCAACACTTTAACCTCTGCTCTGTAACTGAAAATTATTGCAGCAGTGCAGCCAGGTTTGTCCACAAGGTGTCACACCATGACATATAATAATATCTCATACTCACTAAATATCATTGAAACATAAATGTATAAATAGTAAGATCTACACAACCCATCATGACACTTTTAATTTCAAATAATTTATTAGATGTTTTTCTCTCATGAAGCCAGCTTCTTCAACCACAATAGAAAACAGAAAGAGTAAAACAAAGTATCAAAATTGGGAGCATAAATCAGATATTTCATATATATGATATTCTTCATATAGATTCTTTCACATAAAAAATAGCACCTAAAGTTGGGATTACAGCATCCCATGGAGCCATGATAACATTTGTGCCCTTATTTGGGATGTGGGTGATACCTCATGAAACTAGGACAAAAATATACCATGATTTTGGGGATTTTCACAACATTTAATCCATAGAATGGTCCTTTAGAGGAAGTGTTGTTGACATATGTTTGACATTTGTATCTAAAAGCATAACTGAGAAGTAATTAATCAAAGTTGGCATATTTATTACATTTTGGACTTACCCAGGCCTCCTTTAAGACTCCATAATGTTTCATATGTAGGTGGCATAAAGCAAAAATGGGTGTAATATTAAACTTTACCGCTTGCTCTGAAACATGAGTTGCATTTTGATTTCAATAACAATTTTCTTACATTAATTTATGAATATTGAAATATACAATTTTAATTTAGCAAATTATTTAATATATTGTACATCCTGCAAATCACCAGCAGAGGGGGACCATTTTGAATAAATCTTCACATTCACTCAGTTGTTAATGCTTACAAATTGGATCATAACTCTAAAAGTAGCAGAGATCCCACTCTGGAACTTTGATATGTTCATAGAGTATATTAAACATTTAGCTAAATCTAATTTTGTATATTTTCTTAAATATTCAAAAATATTGTTATTGGAAACAATACTACTCATATTACAAAGCAAGCTGTAAAGCTTCATATGACACCAATGTTCTCTTTGTAGCACCTACAGATAAAACATTATGGAGTCTTAAAGGAGACCTGGGTAAGGCCAAAATGTCATAAACATGCCAACGTTGATCAATTATGCTTTTATATACAAATGTCAAATATATGTCAACAATCCATACTCCAAAGGACCATTCTATGGATACATTTTTTTTTTTTTTACCCACATTACCCATGTGCTGTAGTCTCACATAATAACACCAGAGACACAAACATAATACCTTTTACATTATAAACTATGCAGTCAAAGTACTATAGATACAGTACATAGACTACTCTTTTTCATCCTACCACATTAATTCCACTAGTGGGAAAAAATAAAAACTTGTATTGGTGATCATTCCATAATGTATCGTCAGGGTTTTCAATAATATGCAATAAGGCTAGCTTAAATCCATTTGTGGTTCAAACAGAAACAGTAATTTAACAAAAGTGAATTGTCATGATGTTACATATAGCCATGGTTTGCCAGAAACTACTGTGCCTTCAGAAAGTATTCACACCCATTGACTTTTTCCACATTTTGTTGTGTTACAACCTGAATTTAAAATAGATTAAATTGAGATATTGTGTCACTGGCCTATACAAAATACCCCATAATGTCAAATTGGAATATGTTTGTAGACATTTTTACAATTTAATTAAAAATGAAAAGCTGAAATGTCTTGAGTCAATACGTATTCAACCCCTTTGTTATGACAAGCCTAAATAAGTTCAGGAGTAAAAATTTGCTTAACAAGTCACATGTACTCACTCTGTGTGCAATAATAGTGTTTAACATGATTTTTGAATGACTACCTCTTCTCTGTACCCCACACATACAATTATCTGTAAGAACACTCAGTCGAGCAGTGAATTTCAAACTCAGATTCAACCACAAAGAACAGGGAGCTTTTCCAATGCCTCCCAAAGAAGAGCACCTATTGGTAGATCGGTAAAAAAAAAAAAAGCTGACATTGAATATCCCTTTGAGCATGGTGAAATTATTATTTACACTTTGGATGGTGTATCAATACACCCAGTCACTACAAAGATACAGGTGTCCTTCCTAACTCAGGCGTCCTTCCTTCCGGAGAGAAAGGAAACCTCTCAAGAATTTCACCATGAGACCAATGGTGACTTTAAAACAGTTACAGAGTTGAATGTCTGTGATAGGATAAAACTGAGGATGGATCAACAACATTGTAGTTACTCCACAATGCTAACCTAAATGACAGAGTGAAAAGAAGGAAGCCTATAGAGAATAAAGATATCCCAAAACATCCTGTTTGCAATAAGGCACAACACATCACTGAGTACCACTCTTCATATTTTCAAGCATGGTGGTGGTGGCATCATGTTATGGGTATGCTTGTCATTGGCAAGGACTAAGGAGTTTTTTTTAGGATAAAAATAAACAGAATAGAGCTAAGCACAGGCAAAATCAGGAAAATCTGGTTCATTCTGCTTTCCAACAGACACTGGGAGACAAATTAACCTTTCAGCAGGAGAATAAGGGAAAGGGGATACCTAGTCAGTTGTACCCAACCCCTCTAAATCAATAACCTAAAACACAAGGCCAAATATACACTGGAGTTGCTTACCAAGATGACAGTGAATGTTCCTGAGTGGCCGAGTTACAGTTTTGACTTAAATAGGGTTAAATCTATGGCAGGACTTGAAAATGGCTTTCTAGCAATGATTAACAACCAACTTGACAGAGCTGGATGTATTGACTCAGGGGTGTGAATACTTATGTAAATGAGATTTAAAATAATATTTAAAAAATGTTTTCACTTTGTTATTATGGGGTATTGTGTGTAGATGGGTGAGAAATACAATCTGTTTAATCAATTTTGAATTCAGGCTTTAGCACAACAAAATGTGGAATAAGTCAAGGTGTATGAATACTTTCTGAAGGCACTTGAGGGATGTTCACAAGATTCAAAATAAATCTTGGAGTTGTAGATGACCTGATATTTATATAATCTGTATGAGAAAATCCAGCAGGCACAGAGACCAGATAATATAAGCATCACTGAGGAGGTGTCCAAAATGACATCCTAATCCCTTTAGAGTGCACTACTTTTGACCAGGGCCCATAGCACTCTGGTCAAAAGTAGTGCACTAGAGGGAATGCAGCCTGAATCGTTACAGTGCTGTTGCAAAGTTTATTGTTCACTTTTACCTTGAAATCGAGAAGTAAAAATACATAAAAAATGCCAGTCATGCTCCGCTACAGGCGCCACCATTCAACTCATAAACTCCATAAAACCATTATTTTTTATTCTAAACCAAAAGTCCTTGACCCTATTTAAAATAAAACATTGAACATCAAAAAAGATTACCAACATTAATTCTATAATTTTAAAGAAACAAAATACAGGAAAACAAAAATCATATTGCTATATAAAATCAAATATTAAACACATCACTTGTGCAATTTGGCGAGCTGACGTCTACCGATGGCAAGACTCATCTGTAAAATAGAGAGAGAAAGAAGAGTTATGAGACACAATTCAGACACAGGTATGGATTGGACAACCACATTTCATGACTAACTGAGGGGTGTATTCACTAGGAACCAAACGGATGCAAATGGACGAAAACAGAGAGGGACTAACCTGAACTTGTCCAATAAGAAACGCTTGGTTTTTTGCAAAACGTTTTCCATTGTAGAATGTTTTTGCCACGGATTGCACTAATGAATACACCCTGTGTATGCAGGTATTCAGCTAGTTGGAAGGGAGTGACATATACTGACCTACTCTCAGCTCCCTCAGGCCAGCCGCTGCTCCCACGTTCCTGCTGCTCCCAGACCCAAACACTCCTCGCTCCTCCTCCTCTTCCTCCTGCACCTCGTCCTCCTTCCCTTTCTCCTGACCAGGTATGGGGTAGGGGGTAAAGGCCAGCATGGAGGTCTCTGATGGGTATTCACACACCTGCTCCAGCTGGGTCTCGTCGAAACACACCTTCACCTGGAGGGGGTGGAAAAAGACCGACACAGGAGAGAGGCTTAGTACAGCCCACCCAATAGAGACTCACCCTTACAGACAGCCTGACCACATTGCAGTGTTACTTAATCAGGATGGACATGTTTCAAGAACAATTAATAACTAAAAATAACCTGTACTTTCCCAGTGTTGCCCTTATTTCGTATGAAAGGGAGGCACCCATTAAAACGGCATGATTAGGTTGTACTGAGTCAGACCCTTCCTGACAAAAATGTGTGTAACCTACAGTTAGTTTACTTAGCACAGATTTGATTTTGGTGTAAACAACATTTCTGCCTGCACCCAATAGTAGGAAAACCTGGCCCCAGGGAAGTCTGTGTCGTACATTATATTAAAAGTCGTTATAGTACATTATATTACAGGTCAGTGTAGTACATCTACTGTTGTACAATTTATATTCACCACAGACTGACTGACCACACACTCCTGATAATAACCTAGTGTGAGAGAGGTTGGACGAATCAAGCTCAGGCCCAGGAGGTTAATCCCTGACTGAACTGATTAACCCAGGCTAACACAGCAGGGGAGAACATGGAGGAGAGAGAGAACCAGAGAGAGAGAGAGAGAGGAAGAAAGGAGGTGCACTGTGTCAATCGCTAATCACCACAGTCACATCGGAACATTTACAAATACTCGTAAAAATGTCTTACACAGGATGTGGGGCAGCCACTGTATGAGAATGGTACCTTGGTCTAGTTTGAGAGGAAGAGATACTGTATGACAACGGAGCCTAGGGATTGAGGAGGGGGGAGACAGAAGATCTGAACAAGGATGACGAGGAGAGCGTAAATCACCCCCCTCTGTGAGATGATGCAGCTGCTCGGTGGAGCTGATGTCCAACAGTCTCAGCAACGTGAGCAACAGGTGGCCAGGAAGCACCAATAGGATACGAAAGGGTTACAGCAGGACAACTATAGTAAAGGAGAGCTGTGCTTAACGGCTAGGAGTACATTACACGATTTGGTCCCGAACTGACACAAAGCAAACGATTCTTGGGGGTTTTCTCATTACTCAATTAGTGTAGACTGAGTGGGTGAGATTAATTTAGGTGAATAATGCATCCAATTAGGTTTGGATGTATTTGGAAGATCGGTCGGAGTATCTGTCCATTCAGTTGCAGCACTGATTATCATGAAATGTAGTCTTGACGAGGCACATAATCTTCCTATTCTCGTTTATAGTCCTGCAAAAGAATGGACAAAAATTCCCTTATTGACCTATTGTGTGCATAAAACAGAGAATGATACTATGTCATAATCCACATCCTACATCATAGTCGTTTAATAAACAACACTGCATCATATATTCATTCAAAACCAAAATGTCTTTAGGGGAGAGTGGGGTATGTTGAGCCATTTTTTGCATTCAGCATCACTACATCAAGGGAAATATAATAATCTTTATAAAAAAATATATCTACATATATTTCAGGATGTTGTGTATCCCTGGAAATAATCAGGATTCATGTAAACATAACAGTTTTGAAAACATAGCTTGTCCAAAGAAAGTGGTCTCTTGGCACAATTTATGGGGTAAATTGAGCCTGAGTCAGGGTAAGTTGAGCAGCCTTGGGGTAAGTGGGTGATGGTGCTGGTAGGTCAAAGTTTAATTCATGGAATTGGGGTGTGGTATATTGTATATCAGATATAGATCTTTCTGTTCAATATCACTTACCCTTCCATTTCTTGACCAGTTGTCTGGGACAATGTACCTCTTCAGTGTCATTCAGTCTAATTTTTCTTCCCTTGCTGCTGGTCGAATGGACTTCTTCCCTTCTCTCACTTCCTTTGCTGCTCTCTCAAGAACCTCAAGGGGTGCTACACATTTACATTTACATCATTTAGCAGACGCTCTTATCCAGAGCGACTTACAAATTGGACCCCTGCTTGTTTTACGTTTGTATACATGGGGCATGATGATGTCTGCTCTGTCACAATAAACATATTGAGTTCATATGCATACAATGCAAAAAACGGACAAAATGTAATCATCATTTGTATGGGGTATGGTGGCCACTGGCTCAACCTATCCCAAGGCAAGCATTTTGACTACTGTATATTAGCCCACCCAGCTAGGATGCACTTTCATGCTAGGTTTAGGACCTCATTTTGTAGCTTATAGAGACCCCAACTGACGTATAAAACAATCTTAAAACTATCAATTTTGGTTTAGATACAAGCATCATGAAACTTAGAACATAAATTCATTTGACTTTGTGAAAATCAGTTTTTTTGAATTTGCTTATCACTTTTTCCATGTTGATTCTTCCTTCACTGACTCCATGAAATTATGACCTCTTGCTAAATATTTGGTCCAGGGCAAAAAAAAAATGTTTTGGTCCACCAGCCACTGTGGCAGGTAGATTAAAAAATCTACCAGCCACTCAGATTTTTTACCAAACAAAATATTTTTTCCCTGCTAAAATTACACCAAAAAAATACAAATAAACAGATGAGCATGCTTAGTTATGTTTCTAAAACAAATGTATTACTAGTAAGAAGTAATGTGGTATATTGTTTAATTAATTATTTTGTGACCTGATTCTTTTAACCAAAATATCACAGATGAGACAAAAATGTTCACCTGCCCCTTCAAGGGCAAGAGGTTATCGTGGTAACACGACTCGAGTCATGTTTGTTCTCGTGTTGTATTGTCTTCCGTAGCAGTTGAAACTCAAACATAGAAAAACAACCTAGCTTGTGAACAAAACAATGTAAATAGCCAAGAAACAAGGACAAAGTCGCACTTCAGTTTCAAGTAAATTAGACCAACTTTTATGCCTGTGCGCAGCGCTTCTAAAAATGAATATTTCACTCAGCCAGGCAGTGCTGCAGCGCGAGATGGAATAGGCTATATAGGATTCGTTGTTCTTTGACTTTGTGTGATTAATTTACCAGCTATGAAACAAAACGGTAGAAATATACTGAACAAAAATATAAATGCAACATGCAACAATTTAATTGATTTTACTAAGTTACAGTTCATATGAGGAAATCAGTCAATTGAAATAAATAAATTAGGCCCTAATCTATGGATTTCACATGACTGGGAATACAGATATGAATCTGTTGGTCACAGATTCCTTTAAAAAATGGGCCTCACCATGGGCCTCAGGATCTCCTCATGGTATGTTTGTGCATTCAAATTGCAGTCGATAAATTGCAATTGTGTTCGTTGTCTGTAGTTTATGCCTGCCCATACCATAACGCACAGCCACCATGGGGCACTCTGTTCACAACGTTGGACATAAGCAAACTGCTCGCCAACACAACGCCATACACGTGGTCTGCGGTTGTGATTCCGGTTGTATGTCCTGCCAAATTCTCTAAAATGACGTTGGAAGAGGCTTATGGTAGAGAAATTAACATTAAATTCTCTGGCAACAGCTCTGCTTCTACATCTGCATTGCTTGCTGTTTGGGGTTTTAGGCTGGGTTTCTGTATAGCACTTTGTGACATCTGCTGATGTAAAAAGGCCTTTATAAATAAAAATTGATTGATTGATTGATGGACATTCCTGCAGTCAGCATGCCAATGGCACGCTTCCTCAAAGCTTGAGACATCTATGGCATTGTGTTGAGTGACAACTGCACATTTTAGAGTGGCCTTTTATTGTCCCCAGCACAAGGTGAACCTGTGTAGTGATCATGCTGTTTAATCAGCTTGTTGATATGCTACATTCGTCAGGTGGATGGATTATCTTGGCAAAGGATCATTGCCCACTAACAGGGATGAAAACAAATTTGTGCACAACATTTTAGAGAAATATGCTTTTTGTGCGTATGGAAAGTGTCTTGGATCTTTCATTTCAGCTCATGAAACGTGGGACCAACACTTTACATGTTGCGTTTATATTTTTGTTCAGTGTACTTTGAAAACAGCTACTGCAGCATTTAGTATTACTATATCCAGTGATGCGTCCAAAATGTCACCCTTTTCTCTGTATAGTGCACTACTTTTGACCAGGGCCCATATGGCTCTGGTCACTAAGTAGGGAATAGGATGCCATTTGGGACTCGAACATGCAGTGTCTCAGCTAGGGAGTGACAAGGTTGTTGAGTGTCTCCTCATTCCACTTCTCTTTAATCCCACCCTCTTGTTTCACTGACAAATGAGAGACTGTTCCTCCTCAGTCGCACCAAATTTGGGCCTGATGACCCCATTTGCAAAATTATAAATTGGAAATGAGGTTACAGTAGGACAGTATCAATAGTCAATGTTGTGAAAACTATACAATAAACATGGCGAGAGCTTCCTCAACTATAGTGCCATGGCTAAATTAACAGGTCTATCATTAATTTCTTAGCCTAGATTTCCAAGTTTGGATAAGACTTGGAAGGATGACATTGGCAAATGTTGCTGTCATATGCCAAGAGGTCAACGTGGTCAAAAGTGTTTGCCAAAAATCCAATGCAGCAAAACAAACTTAGCAGAAACAGGAAAATACAAAGGAAGACTTGTTGGAAAGGCAACAAGGGCAGACTCATTGAAAGACAGGATCTGTCAGAGGAAGTAACCTGCAATGCAATGGTGTGACCTGTGTAGCATCATGGACATTTACATTTTTGTCATTTAGCAGACACTCTTATCCAGAGCAACTTACAGTTAGTGAGTGCATACATTATACTTTTGCACTCCGGCCATTGTGCGCTGCCCCATGGGTCTCCCGGTCGTGGCCGGCTGCGACAGAGCCTGGATTTGAACCAGGATCTCTAGTGGCACAGCGATGCAGTGCCTTAGACCACTGCGCCACTCGGGAGTGGACAGAAAACAAGAGGAACAAATATGCTGATAGGCTAAATGCCTATACAATAGCAAAGTGCTTTATATTAAAAGTCATGCTGTCTGAGTAAAGTACAGTACATTAACCATAAAGGTTTATGTATTTAACAATAGATATACACTGACTATACCAAACATTAGGAACCACCCCTTTTGCCCTCAGAACAGCCTTCATTTGTCAGGGGCATGGACTCTACAAGGTGTCGAAAGCATTCCACAGGGATAATAATATGCCATTTAGCAGACGCTTTTATCCAAAGCGACTTACAGTCATGTGTGCATACATTTTTACGTATGGGTGATCCCGGGGATCGAACCCACTACCCTGGCGTTACAAGCGCCATGCTCTACCAATTGAGCTACAGAGGCCCATATTGAATCCAATGCAGTTGTGTCAAGTTGGCTGGAAGTCCTTTGGGCGTGAAAAACCCAGCAGTGTTGCAGTTCTTGACACAAACCGGTGCGCCCAGCACTTACTACCATACCCTGTTCAAAGGCACTTAACTATGTTGTCTTTCCCATTCCCTAAATGGCACACATACACAATCCATGTCTCAATTGTCTCAAGGCTTAAAAATCCTTCTTTAACCTGTCTCCTACCCTTCATTTACACTGATTTGAAGTGGATTTAACAAGTGATATCAATAAAGGATCATAGCTTTCACCTGGATTCACCTGGTCAGTCTATGTCATGGAAAGAACAGGTGTTCTTAATGTTTTGTATACTCTGTGTATACTGTATACCGTAATTGCTCTAAATATGCATATTCTAGTCTACCTCACTATATAAACAGATTACACCAGACTCATCCCATTCTAACACTCCATTCGTGTGGGGAGACTGCCAGCCTGGTCTTTAGTTCTGCTCTGATGAGCCACTTTGTTATGGAGGTGTCCTAATTACAGTACTCCAAAAGACTGCCTGTGTCTGAAATGGTACCCTATCCCCTATGTAGTGCACTACTTTTGGCCAGGGCCCATAGGGCTCTGCTCAAAAGTAGTGCACCTTGTAGGGGATAGGGTGCCATTTCGGAAGCAACCTCTAACAGGCTATGGCTCCAACTGGGGGGGGTAACAATTAATCTATTGTGGGATAACTTGTCTTTCTATATGAAACAGAAAGAAGTGACGATTGATTCACAACCCACATAGCTCCTCTCTGTAAAAACTCCAGTCAGACAGACAGAAAGAGATAGGGAGGAGGAGGGGTGGCTCTGGCTGACTGGCTCTGTCATTGTGGTTTCCTCTCCACTCCTCCTGGCCTCAAGTGTTACATGAAGGCTCATTTGTAATTGACTGGTAATGCTATACATTACGGTTACCCTAACAAATGATTTATAAAGGGTTTATAATTAGTTTATTAATAAACGACACCACACAGCCAACGCTACTAGTAGGCTACTTTACACCTGAGAATCATGTCGTGCTTGATAAGGCTTTAACAGGCTTAGCTCAGTTTATGTGTTCATACTCAGTGCAATCAAACAGGATGTTCTAATGCTAGCGATGGGCGGGCATTCTGGGGACTGGAGGTGATAAAAAGGTTCAAATGGAGGCAGGCGGGGAAGAGTTGAAGTTTTCTGATAGTCACAGTACGAGTGTGAATACTCAAAACACTATCATCGATCTTATCCCATAACATACTGATAGTCTATTGAAGCAGTTTTCTGTGATTTGTGTTTTGGTTTGTTTTACCAATTGGGTCTTTATTAAACCCAACCTTAGGGGAAGGGATCCATTATCCTCACTACAAGATGTGATACATTATCAATACAATTCGCAGTGCATAGGCTGCAATATGCCAACAGGCATATCACCCCACTACACTCACCCCTTTGGGAGTCCCTTTGGGAGTCTTGACCAGGCAGGACTTGTCTAGGTTCTGATACCCGCCGATCACTTCGATCTCCTCTGTAGTGGGGTACCTCTTCTTGCCTCTCTCTACTACCTCGGTTAGGACAGGCATCTGGGCCTGGGCAGACATCTTGGCCGGGGGTCCTGAGGATACTGAAACCGATTCCACGGCTGCCCCTCCAACAGGCTTCCTGGGGGTGATGGTGATGGTGGTGCCCCTCTTGACCTGCTGGCCTCCAGAGGAGCTTCTGATGGTGCGATGGGTCAGAGAAGGGGATGAGGAGGGAGAGACAGAGGGGGACTGGGATGGGGAAGGTGATGGGGTGGGTGGGACTCCCTGGTCTGGGTGTAATGAGTTCTCAGGAGAGGGGGTCAGGAGAGATCTGGAGTTGATGGTAATGGATCGGGGCTGATTGGGTTGAGGAGGCCTTTCAGAGTGCAGTTGCGGATTAGACTGAGTTTTTCTGGGACTTAGGGGTGTTTGCTGATCCTTCTGCCTCGGATGCATCTGCTGAGGTTCCTTATTAGGCTGGTTGTGTGATATCCTGGGGCTTTGCTGAGCTTTAGACTCTTTATCTTTCAAAATCGTTTTTTTACTAAAAGACGACTGTGCTGCGTTGTTGTCGTGTGATAGTCTCTGTACTTCCTGTTGATCTCGCAACTGAAGCTGTTCCACCTGATGCTGTACAGTTTGAAGTCTGGACTTCTCATCACTTGAAGAGGCCTTATTCCCAGATGCCCCACCACCACCCCACAGCTGCTTCTGTGTCAGCCTCCCAACTGATCTCTCTGGACTGCTTGGCTCCTGTTGTTCTGCTGATATGTGTGACTGTACCTTGGGTGTGTGTGATGGTATAGGCCTATCCACGGTCCTCTCACTCATGCACATCGTCGTCCTGGACCCCACTGTTTTCAAGTTATAGATCCGGCTCATCTCAGCAAGAGCAGGGGAGAGAGAGTCTGAGGGCGAGGGAGAGTGTGAAGGAGGCAGATAAAGCAGCCTGTCCTCTTCCTCCGAGAGTTTATCCTCGCCTTCTTCTCCTCCTCTGCCTCTGGTGTCCTGTTTTCTCTGCTGACCCCTGTCACACCGTAACTCATCTACTACATGTTTTGTTGGATCTTCCTCTCTCTCGATCGTGTGAGAGCTGAACGAGGTTACTTCGGAGGCTGCGATGGAGATCCCCCTGGTTTCTTCCTCTCCTTTGACAGATTGCAAGAACGAGAGAGGAACAGGAAGCTCAGGGTCGGCTTTCGACACGCTCACTTCCTGTGTGACGTCAAACTGAGTGGATGTTGTCTGTGGTGCAGAGCCTTCCTGTCTCTGTCTCTCTCGCTCCATTTCGTTCCCCCTCTCTGCTTCCTCACACCTATCTGAACTTGAAGCTCTTCTAACCCTTCTAGTCCCAGCCTTGTTCATTCCCTCAGTCGTATCTCCATCATCCCCCGTTGCTGCCGCTCCCTCCATGTTCCTCAGCCTCTCCTTCTCTCTCTGGCGGATTTTCTCTCGCAGGGATTCGATGCGAGACAAAGGCTTGCCGATCCTCCAACTATCCCTCCTCTCAACACCTTTCCCTCCCTCTCCTTCGCAGCTCTGGTTGTCTTCGCTTTGGAGGCTTGGCCTTTTCTTCTCTAATGCCACCCCCACACCGTAGAACACTGTCCTGGGTATGTGTATCTCAAGTGGTGTTGGAGGGATTTCAACTGAGGCAACGTGCTTTGGAGACTTAGGAGACTTAGGGGTTACTTCTTGAACTGACTTTCCGGGGTAAACATGACCGTGCACGTGTGCGCCAGGTGGGTGTGTGCTCTCCTTGCTTACCTCACCTGGCACCCTATAAGCTTTGCTCCCTCTCACAGTCTCTCTGTCCTCCCTCATCACGCCTTTGCTATCCTGAGTCAATGTTTGGGTCCCTTTGTGATTGTCAAGTTCATTTGCTGTCTCTCCGACTCTCCCTATCTTATTGATAAGGTCCCCTGTGTGCTGTGACAGTGCTGACTGGGTTGAATGGGGCCCCGGCGCTCCTTGACCACCATGCCAATCTGTTCCTCTATGCCCCACAGTGTTGAGCAAGGTGGTTGAGCACTCTGTAAATGCTGACACATGTCTGTGATGGCTATCGACAGACTGAGGAGGACTGGCTCTGTCTACAGAGAGGGTGATCACACAGTTTTGTTGAGTTGTTTCAACTGAAATTGTGCAGTCCCTTATTTCTGACATCCTCTTTACGTCCCTTGCGTCTGATCCTCTTCTAAAGTCTGACCCCCATCTCTCCCTCACTTGAGGTTTTGCCTGTCTTCCACCCACCACCTCTCTCTCTGTGCTCCTCGCCCTCTCCATCCCTCTCTCGCTTTCTTCTCTCATTCGCTTTACCTCTCTTTCCACTGCTCTCTCTCGCCCATCATGTTTGATGGGCACTCTTCGCGCAAATGAGGCCTCTGTGTTTTTAACTGAGGCCATTGTAAACCCTGCCTCCCCATACATATTCTTTGTTAGTTCCTCTGTCCCCTTGTTACTATATTCTAATTCTATCTCGACCCCATGGTCAGTCTCTTTCCCTGTGTTACTTTCCAAAGCAGGCTGTCTCTCAGGCTGCCCCTCTACCTCCCTGTCTGCTTTTATGCATCCCTCTCTATGCTTCCCCACCCGCTCTTTATCTGAAAGCCGGGTCCAGCCCCCCTGCTTGCCTCCCCTCTCTGACCATTCCCCCTCCACTACATCTCCCCTAGGTGCCACCCTCCTATCTGAATATGTCCTCTCCACCTTCTTCCTATCATTGTTCCCCTCATCCTGCATGCCATTCTCCTTGGTGCATATCACCTGGTCAGAGAAGCTGAATGACCGCTTGGGCACACCCCTGAATCCTGCATGTTTCTCCTCCCCTCTCCAGTCTCCATCATCGTCCTCGTCCAGACCAAACTTTTCTCTGTCCCTGCCAGGCCGGCTGAAACAATCTGAGCTTTTAGACCGGGACGGGGGCTTTGGATGTTCCCTGAATTTCTTTGTATGTTCCCCAAATTTACTCAGCAGCTCACTCACCCTAACTCTTCTCTCATTGTGGATACTGTCATCTGTGTCACCACATCTCCTATCCTCTTTTTCTGAAGCTGCTTGTGTCAGTGGTCGGTATTTCTCCCTCAAGTTCTCCCTCTCTTTATCTTTCATCATCTGCCACGCCACCTCTCTCTCCAGCCCCCTCTCACAGTCCTTTCTTCCATCTTTATTGCACTTTGCTTCTCTCCTTCTTTCGCCATCTCCTTCCCTGCCTGTCCCCTTTAGACCTCCACTTCTGCAGTCCTCAGTGCCAGCTAAGGGTTTAATGATCAATACTTCTGATGCTCGGATCTCCGTGACACTCCCTCCACCAGATAGAAACTCCTTGAGGTCCATCTTTACATCTCTCTTTTCCTGCTCCTCTTCCATCACCTCCCTCTGCCACTCTCTCCTTCTACCCCTCCTTTCATCACTTCCCTTTCTGTCCTGTTCAATAATGATGATGTTGTCTGCTCTGATGGTGCGAAGGCCTGGGACTAGTGGATGGGGGAACTTGGGGCTTGGAGTATCTGAGTCTACCTCCTCCCTCTCCTCCTCCTTTCTCCCTCTCGGGCATTCCCTTTCCCTGTCTCTCACAGTATCCCGGCTCGTCTCTCTCCCGGCACTTCTATCCCTTTCTCTGCCCCCACTCCTGTCCCTGTATCGCTCTATTTTTAATTCTGTATCTCTTCCCCTCCCAGACTCCCCGTCATGACCTTTGATGTGGCCTCTTTCTTTCTCCTTTTCCCTCCCTCTCCCTACTTCTATTTCCTGCTCATTCCCTTTCTCATGGCCCATCTCCCCAGCCCTCTCTGCTTCTCTTCCCCTTCTCCATCCGCCATGTGTGCGAATGAATGGGTTTTGTTGGACAGGGGTGATGGTCTCTCTTAACACCTGACTCTGCGGTTTAGCCTCTTCATCCAACGGCCCTGCAATGTCTGGGCTGAGTGGTGGTTCACCTTCCAGCTGCACCAGTGTAGCGCTGTCTGGGTCACTCACAGTATCAGAAGGGGACCTGCCCTCCTTGACTTGGAGGGGGCTCTCTCTCTCCTTGTCCCCGAAACTCTCCTGTTTCATTCTCCTCCTCTGGATGATCCCTCGCTTCCAGGCAGGCATGCTGGCGAGTTTGGCCTCCTCCTCTTTTTCTCCCTTCTCTCGCTCCTCCTCCTCCCTCCTCTTTCGCTCCAGCAGGAGTTGTTTCCATTCCGGTAAAGAGGAGACAGACATAACAGAGAAGAGCTTTTGCTTTTGGCAAGATTCCTAATCTTGCTCTCGTTTGATGCTCTGGCAACAGGTCTGTCAAAAAGGACACAGCAAGATGTTCCTAAAAATATAATAAACATATGTTGTGATTTTAATTTGTATAGCATATTCCTTGTGACTCACTTTGCTTTCAAATCCGAATATTTATTTATTTATTGAAATGTAGCCTACTAATTGGCCTACTTTGTACATTTCTATGACATCATGTATAGAGGCTATGTAACTCAACCACATAGCCTATTTACTGGATTACATTTTACACAGGCTTCGTCCTCCCCTGATGGTTACTTTCCCTAATCATAAAAAGTTAACATACCATTGACGGATAGTTTTATGGAGCGATTTCAGTGCCAACAGAAATTGTATTTGAATTCCATAATTTTGCACAAATTGAATCGTTGAATTAAATAGGGAATGGAACGGCTGTCCTTAGAAGGGCTATGACAGGGCTATTCAACTATATTCTTATGTGGGCCAATTTTTAATTTTTTTGTGACACTCCCTTCTAACATGGCCTGTGATCATCATAGAGGGAAACAGAAGGCACATCCATGTTCCAGAGAGTCTTAGCTTTCAGGAATGGGGTTAAAATGCTAGAGCCAAATTCATAGGAAGAAAATAAATTAAACATGCCACATTGGCTTCAGAAACCGCCAGAAGCTTCTGTTGACCACAGTGAGTGTTTGATTCTCTGTTCTCCTCTACCTTTCCTGGCTGGCAAAGTACCAGTATGTTGTCTCTGGTATTGAATCTGAATTTAGAGAACTGAATTTGAAAACTGAATATGGATGCATCTGAGAAGTTGAATATATGAAAATTTTATCAACTTGAAATGATAGTTTGTAGACTTGATACACAGACAATGAATGCAATATCTACCATATTGAAACTGAATATATAAATATTCATTTTAATTGAATTTGAATTTGAAAACTGAACGCAATATTCACTCAATTCAGTTTCAAATCATGAAATATGCCTACAAGTTTAATTTATGAATTAAATTATTCAATTTGTGCATTACAAATTCAAAAATATTTAATTCAATATCCTAATTATACTAATTCAAAATTATGTAATTCAAACACAATTTCTGTTGACACTGAAATTGATCCATATTGTTTTGTGTTGTCATTTAGATTAACATGCACAGTGTGCCTCTGCACATTGCTATACGTTTGCACTCTAAACGTTCCCCACAATTTCGCACTCCTTGTTTTAAGCCTGCATTCAAAGGATGTTCAAAAATCGTTTTCCAAACCTACCAAATCCTTGGTATTCCGCAGTAATGCTTTATATCCCCCTCTGTGTCGGTTTGAGAGTTGTCGTCTTCTGAATGAAAGGCGACTGTGCGCCTCCGGTCTTGCGTAATGCGCTCGAGCCACCAACTCGAATATCGTTCTCTATCTAAAGCTTTCGGATGTAATTGATTAATCGATGTCAAAAAGTCAGGATTAATAATGTTATATAGCTCCGTTATTTAACGATGACCTCGCAGTGAATCACAGCATGTAAACTTAAAACACCTCCATTGGTAGTAACTATTCCCCTGCTGCAGTACTGTCCGACAACTGTAATCCGCTAATTACATTAAATTCTGTCAGGGGAGTTAGTGGCACACACCATATTGGCCGACCTAAGAAAAGGCGTTTAAAGAAGACTCCCGTCTGCCGGTCACCCAGAGCTCATCCCTCCGTCCCGCTAATTGGAAGAGAGAGAGGAAAGGAGAGAAGGGGGTCACCGCAGCCAGAACTTGATGCTGAGGTGATGCGAGTTACCCGTGGTGATGTGAAAAGCTTCAACCCGTCGTCCCCGGTGGAATTAATCGTAAAGGATAACGTCCAAGTGGCCTACACTAGGATACATGCTCAGGACAATCAATCAGTATGTTATGCAACCTAGTCTGCAGGCTCACCTACAGTAGCTAGCCCAGATCAGACAGTTTAGGAATTATGCATAAGAGAATAGCCTAGGCTACATCAATGATAAGTCTAAAAAACTCTAAAAAAATAAATGACCAAAAATGACAATAGAAAAAAATGCATTACTGCTTGCATTTATTGACATGTTGTTGACATGTTGTTGTAGTTGCTTATCATTTGTTCCAGTGTAACAATTAACTTCTGTTGTGGTACCAAACTAATTGAAATATGGCATCACATGCAGTTTGCTCCAAGGTAGTATCGCCTATATAAGATCTTAAATTACCCATGATAAGCAAACGTTTTTTTTTCTAAAATACTGTAATTAGACCAATATAAAATAATGAAACAATGAATACCTTATAAAAAACATTCTAAGTAATCACACTCACAAATACATTGATGTTAAAAGCTATGCCTAAATGCTTGGTGGCATATTTACAGATGTTCTGAATCTGATCATTTTCTAAAATCAACACAGTGTTACCCCTACCAAGTGAAGTTAACAAACAACTGCAGCGTCTACTTTTGTCAATTGCTGTATGCAGCCACACAAACTTCCCATCCAATCCCATTCATGTGTGTGTAGTAATAGAGCTCCCCAGCTTGTAGTCCTAAAAACCGGACATGAGTTACCTCTGGTTCATTCAGCCATTCCTATGGGGGAAATTAATTGGGAAATAATGGTTTTTTGGGATAAATGCCGAAAATAGGGTCAGGTTAACACAGGCCTAGGAGATCTTATACATTTTGTTTTATGAGATAATCAGGGTTGAAGTCAATTCCATTGAAATTCCAGTCAATTCAGGGAGTACAATGAAATTCCAACTCTCTTCCAATGCTTTTCAATGAGGAGAATTTGGAATTGTAATTTGGCCTTCATGTGCTTTATATGCTTGTTTTGATTACATAAATGCTTCAAAAATTCACAAAAAGTGATATTAGCTGATGAAAATGATCTCCTAGTACAAAACATATTTACATTTTAGCAGACGCTCTTATCCAGAGCGACTTACAGTTAGTGAGTGCATACATTTTTCATACTGGCCCCCCGTGGGAATCGAACCCACAACCCTGGCGTTGCAAGCGCCATGCTCTACCAACTGAGCCACAGGAGGCCATATAAGATCTCCTAAGCTTGTGTTTACCACATAACTTATTTTCGACGTTTAGACAAAAACCACATTGATTTCCCCATTGGCTTTGACCGACGAGCCATGACTTCAACTCCCTCTAACATCTATGACTTCAATTCACTCTTGCTTGTGGTTGTTATTGTCCTGAGCCGCGCCCCCCTGTGGCAGAGAGAAGAGACGCAGTTTGCTGTGCAGCTGGACACTGAGGTAGGCACAGTCCTGCGTATCTAAGGAGTGAGCCAGGGACAGGTAGGCCGACAGACTCCCCGCCAGCAGCAGCCTGTCCAAGGGCAGGGCAGGGAGGAACCACAGCCAGCTCCACACACACGGGGTGATGCAGGTGGGCGAAGAGACGCTGAGCCCGGGGGGACTTGAGAGCCAGAGGGTCTCTCAAACCAAGGCACTCATAATAAACCTGAGAGAGATGGAGGGATGGAAGAGAGAGGATGGCGGGAGACCGGGAGAAAGGACTTATAGCAGATATTAAACAGTTATATTTCATCAGAAGGATATTCTCAATCATTCTATTGCTGACGAATGAATCATTTAATCAGGGTAATTCCAGCTTTGGCATTACATTTACATTTTAGTCATTTAGCAGACACTCTTATCCAGAGCGACTTACAGTTAGTGAGTGCATACATTTTCATACTGGCCCCCCGTGGGAAACGAACCCACAACCCTGGCGTTGCAAGCGCTATGCTCTACCAACTGAGCTACACGGGCCCCATCAAAGAGAAAGAATTCATGTAGATGATTAAATTGTAGGCCTAATACAGTAGTATTTTGAATTTTACAAGAGCGTGGGAAAGGGTAAAATGTGATGTATGAAAATTATTTGATGTAACCAGTGTTGGTTTGGGCTCCAGAGTGGCGCAGCGGTCTAAGACACTGCATCTCAGTGCTTGAGGCGTCACTACAGACCCCCTGGTTCGCTTCCAGGCTGTATCACAACCGGCCGTGATTGGGAGTCCCATAGGGCGGCGCACAATTGGCCCAGCGTCGTCCGGGTTTGGCCGGTGTAGGCCGTCATTGTAAATAAGAATTTGTTCTTAAATGACTTGCCTAGTTAAATAAAGGTTAAATAAAATGTAAATGTAAAAGTGTCATTGTGAACAGTATCACTGTCCCTGTCCCCTTACTGGCCTCAAACTAGTGGTCCTCTGATAATTACCTAGTCATAGACTGTTCTCTCTGCTACCGCACGGCAAGCAATACTGGAGAGCCAAGTCTAGGTCCAAAAGGCTTCTTAACAGCTTCTACCCACAAGCCATAAGACTCCTGAACAGCTAATCAAATGGCTACCCAGACTATTTGCATTGTCCCCACCCCCTCTTTTTACGCTGCTGCTACTCTGTTTATTATCTATGCATAGTCACTTTACCTCTACCCACATGTACATATTACCTAAATTACCTTGACTAACCTGTGACCCCTGTATATAGCCTCGCTACTGTTATTTTACTGCTGCTCTTTAATTATTTGTTATTTTTCTATATTTCTTATTTTTCTATTTTTTACTTAACACTTATTTTTTTTAAACTGCATTGTTGGTTAAGAGCTTGTAAGTAAGCATTTCTCTGTAAGGTCTACACCTGTTTTATTCAGCGCATGTGACAAATACTATTTTATTTTATTTTATTTGATCGCAAACACATGTTACATCTGCATGGGTTTTCTTTACCTGTTTGATGCCCAGTAGTTCAGGATAGTCAAAGATCAGCTGTATACTGCAGATGATGGACCAGCAGAGGAAGTGCAGGGTGAAACAGAGCAGGGTGAACCAGGTATTCCATGGGTCATTATGTACTGACCACAGACAGGGAGCCTCCGTCACAGGCTGACAGTAATGCATCAATATCTAGAACAGGGACAACACAAGACAGTGACGTAAGACAGCGAAAGAGGTGTTCAAATGTAAAATTGTCTCTCATAATTGCCAATTTTTTAAGACCATAAGATTGTATAAGTGTGTGTGTCTGTGTTACCTGGAGAGCCAGAGAAGTAGTGGAGCAGTACATGGCCCGGTTCAGTACCCCCAGGACAGACCGGCAGGCCTGCTTGACAGTAGCCCAGGCCAATACGCTATGCTGGACAGTAAAAAGAGCCAGAAGCCCCAGATCCACAACCACAGACTTGAGAACAGAGCTGTCCCGCAAGGCTCCAGACCATGGTACAGAATCTACATTCAGAAAGTATTCAGACCCCTTCCCTTTTTCCACATTTTGTTACGTTAAGTACAGAGAGAGATCCTTGATAACCTGCACCAGAGTGCTCAGGACCTCAGACTGGGGCGAAGGTTCACCTTCCAACAGGACAACGACCCTAAGCACACAGCCAAGACAACGCAGGAGTGGCTTCGGGACAAGTCTCTGAATGTCCTTGAGTGGCCCAGCCAGAGCCCGGACTTGAACCCAAACGAACATCTCTGGAGAGACCTGAAAATAGCTGTGCAGCGACGCGCCCAATCCAACCTGACAGAGCTTGAGAGGATCTGAAGAGAAGAATGGGAGAAATCCCCCAAATACAAGTGTGCCAAGCTTGTAGCGTTATACCCAAGAAGACTCGAGGCTGTAATCGCTGCCAAAGGTGCTTCAACAAAGTACTGAGTAAAGGGTATTGTGTGTAGATTGTTGAGGGGGAAAAAACAATTTAATCCATTTTAGAATAAGGCTGTAACGTAACAAAATGTGGAAAAAGTCAAGGGGTCTGAATACTTTCCGAATGCACTGTATGTGCACTACCAGTCAAAAGTTTGGAAACACCTACTCATTCAAGGGTTTTTCTTTATTTTTACTATTTTCTACATTGTAGAATAATAGTGAAGACATTGTAAGAATATTTGAAGATACATATACACAACAAAGAGAACTAGAGGTCAAGAGGACTAGTGGTCAAGAGGACTAGGGGTCAAGAGGACTAGTGGTCAAGAGGGATTTAACAATCAATGAAAATAGTTGTTTTTCAGTTCAACATCTGTTTAGAATAGATACATTGAGCCTGAAACAGGATACTTGGGGGTTTGGCCAGTGGCCCAATTTTATTGTAAGGAATTATAATTGGTCAGCCACATGCTAGGCTTGAGGCTATAAACTGCATCCTGTCTCTTTGTTCAGTGGAGAAACATTGAGAACAGGGAAGAATTAACGTCTACCATCTACTTCCCAGCATAACAATTATGATTTGTTCTCTTTGAATAAATATATAAGAAAAACCCTTGAATGAGTAGGTGTGTCTAAACTTTTGACTGGTACTGTAAAGTATAGAAATATGGAGAGAGGGATATGATAAGGACATGGCATGGTAGGTTAGGTGTTGATTATCAGTGCAAGAAAACAGCAAAGTCTTGGAGCAAAGTATAATGATGAATTCCCATTGTTGAAGTGATATTGTTAGCCTGGGTACCAGTCTGGGCCCGTTTCCCAAAATAATCTTCAGGCTAAGTTCATCACAACTACGATGGTTTTGGGAAACTGGGCCTTGTTCAACTAGATTTGTTTAGGTCTATATTATAATTTTTAAATCAGTCTTTGTAAGTGGAAAGTTAAACTGTATTTGATCGAAAAAATGTAGCATGCATCGTGGGGCTCGAACCAACGACCCTGAGATGAAGTCTCATGCTCTATCGACTGCGCCATTCAGCTAAGGGCTTTTGTGCTCAGTGAATTAAGAGGAAGGGGAGAATACTGTTGAGTATGATGCTGTATATACAGTTAAATAAACACCACAGGGGGACAAACAATTGAACACAAATAATTACAATTATATATAATTAACTGAAAATGGAGAGCAACTGGTCGCTGGCTCCATCAGAATGCCCAGCCCATAAGGAGCAGAGGACGGCGCTGACTGAGGGACAGCTGAGCATAGGTGTGGAGATCATGGAGATCATGAACAGAGGCCCAGCCGGGCACAGGTGCCGGGCATGGGTGTCGAGAGCACGGACAGAGGCCCAGCCGGGCACGGGTGTCTAGGGCACGGACAGAGGTCCAGCCGGGCACAGGAGTCAAGGCCACGGACTGAGGCCCAGCTGATGGTGGAGTAGCCCGTACAGGAGCGGAGGACTGATGCGGGTATAGGTGTGGACTGGATGCTGGGGTGGGACCTCCAGGTACTCCTTGAAAGTCATCTGATGGGCAGCATGTTTTTTTTGCGTCACTCTTCATTGATGCCACCAAATACCCAGCATACCACAGAGCCTTTTCAACCACCCACTTGAAAGTCTGCTTCCTGTAAAGGCTGAACTGCATCTTGTGTTGACCCAACAAGTGTGCATTGTTGCTGGGTTGCCACCTCGGAACAGTATTACATTACATTTTACATTTTAGTCATTTAGCAGACGCTCTTATCCAGAGCGACTTACAGGAGCAATTAGGGTTAAGTGCCTTGCTCAAGGGCACATCGACAGATTTTTCACCTAGTCGGCTCGGGGATTAGAACCAGAGACCTTTCGGTTACTGGCACAACGCTCTTAACCACTAAGCTACCTGCCGCCCAGTACAGCCCTCCTGGCCCAATTTATCCGGAGATATAGCCCTGGTGTACTCTCTTTTAGAACTATGACTCTTGAAATGGCAAGCCTCCTTACTGTCACAAATCGAATCAGATTCAATCAAATCACATTTTATTTGTCATATACACGGGATACAGCGGGGTGTAAACAGTGCAATGAAATGCATATTTGCAAGCTACCTCTCAACATAGCCCGTATGTGTCCCCCACCCCCCCAAAAAAAAAAAAAAAAAGATAACTTCCCCTGTTATTGTAATGGTGAGAGGTTAGCATGTCTTGGGGGTATGATATTTGTGTGTCTAACTTTCTCACTCATCATTATTCACAATTCATCAGGACTATCCGTCATGCTGGTAGCATCCACATTAATTTATAAGTGTTTAGAAACATATTCTATTCTTATTTACAACAAGTGACTCCAAAATGACAAATACATTATTTAGTCATTTCTATTGGGCACAAAATAATCTGAAACACAACCAAAACAAACAGCAAATGCATCCAACAAATTTGTAGAGTCACAAGCTTGATTCAATCATTGCATGCTAGGAATTTGGGACCAAATACTAAACTTTTGACTACTTTAATACACATAAGTTAATTTGTCCCAATACTTTTGGTCCTATAAAATGGGGGGACTATGTACAAAAAGTACTGTAATTTCTAAACGGTTCGCCCGATATGTATGAAAATACCCTCAAATTAAAGCTGACAGTCTGCACTTTAACCTCATAGTCATTGTATCATTTCAAATCCAGTACAGAGCCAAAGCAACAACCAAACATTTCACTATCCCAATACTTTTGGAGCTCACTGTATATTTAGTTTGTATTACAACTCTTTGCTTCTCCTGAGATAGCCGTTGATCGTGACTCTCAGTTCCATTACGTTACACATAAGAGTCATTGGACGAAGGCGTCTTCTTACTTCTTGGTTGCACTGGCGTCTCGGATTGGTCGGCGAGTGCAATTCTTGGTTACTTCTTGGTTGCAGACGGTGATATGATTCGTTGTCGTAACCAGAAATGTCCTCGACTCACGGTTGTCAGAGGCTCTGAACAGTGTTGGCTTTCAATCTTCTTTGTATTCGCACTGCAAAGACCTTGCTTGGAAGTCGTCAGCCACTCAGCCTTGTTAAAATACTCTAAACCTGAAGGTGGCAGTAGCGTTGTTTGGCCATGCTTATCCGTGCGTATTGCTTATGGTCTAGATTCCAAGCCATTTGCACTAATGTTGCTGTTTTGTAGAAAACCCTTGTTGATACCACAACCAGATGGAACAATGAGCAAGATATTTCACCGGATGTATATAAGTGAAGCATCCGGTTGGCGTTTCCACTCACTACCAAATATGGTGACGAGAGAAAGCCCAGTGGCCGGCAGTGGGAGAAGATGGAGCGAGATGGATTTTGGCCGATATTCTGCACATTTTCTCATCGACGAAACATTTGATCTAAATACAGTTTTATGTTTCCAAAACTAGAATATGTTACGAACAGAGAGACTAAGTTTTGTAGACTTTACCCTTTGCCAAAGTTTCTAAAAATTGCGTTCTTTAGAAGGAGTGCAAGGGCTAATTGAGTTAATGCACCCTCGCACTTCACATAGGCGTTCCCTAACGGAAATATGCAAATACATGCTAGAACACGCCAATAAGATCTTGCTAGCTCGTGCTTGGCTCTGCCCACTATGATTCATTTGATCCCATTGGAAATGACAGCCTCTGGTCTATCTTGAGTTAGTTATACAAATCTTTGTTGAAACTAGCCAGATGGCCACAGCTACATAACTACCTAGCAAGATGAAGAAGCAACACTTTAATTCAGTCTCCATAATCCCACCAGTGTCAGCCCATAGCCAAATGTTTAGCTAGCTAGCTAATGTTAGCATATTCGCTAGCTAGCACAACATAAGGACACTGCACTAACTCGGCAGCTAACACAGGCAGCTGTTTCATGGAAACTAGCTAATCCATTGTGATTTAATTACAATGACAATACTAGCTACACAGTGGATAGCTAGCTTGGAGGAAGTAATTAGTGTTGTGTGCATTGCGTCTGTGCACTTAGCTATCTACCATCCCATATCCTATATTGCATATGAAGTGTGACTGGCTCATCCGTTGATGCATTCTTCTTTGGTAATATGGCAGTCCGCAAACAAATGTTATAGGTGCATGCCGCAACCTACTGTATTGGCTGTGTATCAGCCTACTATTCTGTAGTATGGGGAAACATTTCCCTACTAACTAACCCTACACCCATTAAAACCTCATCACTATTCCACTACTTTGGCCCTATCAGATCCTACACCAGGCCAGCAGCCTGGGAGGAGAGAACACTATCGTTCAAAACACTTTGTAACTCTTCTGCAGTAAAATCTCGTACACCCAAGTACTTCTCTGCAGCTACCACCACAACATCTATCCTCTGTGATTTACATTCCATTCCTGCGGTACAGTTGACAACCATGGCCATGAACACCAAAAAAAAAAAAACTGAACTGAAGCACGTTATTCCTATCACTCTCTATTGACCTCAGCCTACTCACAGGGATCGTCTTAGGATCCTTCACCCTGGACCCATCTTCCTCTACTACTCTCTTCACTGTCTCAGCATACGACACCTTCTGCACTACTCTGATGCCTTTCTCTCACCGGACACCTCTGATCTCCAGCACCATGGGCACCCCTACAGTTAACACACACAACTTTTTCCACCGATACTACACATTCCTTGGTCTCATGTCCTCCTGCACACTTCTCACATATAGGAATCTCCCTCCTACACACTGCTGCCACATGACCATAAGCTTGACACCTAAAACAGGGCGGCAGGTAGCTTAGTGGGTAAGAGCGTTGTGCCAGTAACCGAAAGGTCGCTGGTTCTAATCCCCGAGCCGACTAGGTGAAAAAATCTGTCGATGTGCCCTTGAGCAAGGCACTTAACCCTAATTGCTCCTGTAAGTCGCTCTGGATAAGAGCGTCTGCTAAATGACCAAAAATAAAAATAAAATAAAAAAAATAAAACACCGTAATGGGTTCAGGACAAAAGCTCTCACAGGATAACTGACACATCCTAACTTGACTTTATCTGGTAAAAACGCTGCATCAAAACTCAGTAGTACAGACAGTGTCTTCTCTGTTTCACCACGTTCTCCACCGGGTCTGTGTCGCACCAAACGACGGGTGTCACACAACTTCAGTTGGCCGTCCTCAACACGTAACGCCACTCCAGTTATCACTCCTTTCAACGGCGCCCTGCTCCGGAGAGTAAAGCTAGTCACAGTTCTTGTCCCCAATCGGTAGGTTCATCGCTACCGGGTCGGCACTCCGCACGCAGCAGGTACCGCTTTTGTTCTAGCAAGAGAAGGAACAGCCTCCCACTGTGATAAGTACCTATCGGCAGTCTATCGGGAGTGAGATTCTTGGTGTGTTTCATGCTTTAATAAATGTGAAGTATTGATAGCCTTCTCATTTAAAGTAACTTTTCAGTGAAAATCTCACTTTTAAAAGTTAATATTCTGTTAACTCATACCCAAACAGTGTTGTTGACTCGACCTATACTTGTATTTGTGGCCAAAGCATACATTTGAGAAAAAAACTTGACCTCAAACTTGATCTCAAACAGAACAATAAAAAAATGCTTGCTATTTCCTCATAGAGTATGATGTAATAATGATGATCTGGCCAATCAGCAGTCTAGAGGAAGATGAGCTGGCCAAACAGCAGTCTACTCGCGTTAATATTTTTAATGACCGGTATACGCACACACCATTCCAACACAGAAAAGCTGCTTTTTAACATTCTTAATTACACTTTTTTGGAAGGAAAACGATTTCACTCATATTGTAAGTAATTATAGGTCATATTTAATATAAATCTGGAAACACTGGGCAGTTACTTTAATCAGTGACCATTAGTTGTGTGTTGCTGCCCTCATGTGGTCTTCCTAGGGTTCCTATCTTCTCATTATTACCGTAATGCTCCAGAATATCATTTAAACTGACACAGCCACACAAACTTACTAGAGTAAGATAATACAGTAGTAACATTTTGTGATGATAGGAGCAAAGCTTTGCAATGCTGTCTCTGATAACTTCCACCATACATGGTTTAGAACTTCTACTTCCTCAGTAGGGAAATCCTTCGTTTTTATCTTCTGACACAGGCATTCTCTAAAAACATAAACAACATGAAAACAACCACGCTACCTGCTGTCAAACTGGTTTCACCAAAGCTTGAATGTCGTATGTCAACCAGTGTGTACCTAGTGGGTGCACTCTGCAATAAATCAACACAACACACAAGGAGGGATGCACAATGGTTGCCCAAATAATGCTGCACTCTTATAAAATGCAGTCTTGTCACAATTAAGGAAATATTCTAATTAATGTAGGGCATCAATAAAGCCGAAACAGAGAGAGGGGTGTCACGTCAGATAAGATTTGACGTATCAGCTCAAGGCTTCAACAACAACCTGGATTTACATAGTAAACTAAATTCTGGAACACTCAAATTATACTGAACAAAAATATAAACACAACATGCAATAATTTCAAATTAGGCTCTAATCTATGGATTTTTCACATGACTGAGAATATAGATCATTTTTTTAAAAGGTAGGGGCGTGGATCAGAAAACCAGTCAGTATCTGGTGTGACCACCATTTGACACATGCAACGTGACACATCCCCTTCGCATAGAGTTGATCAGTCTGGTGATTGTGGCCTGTGGAACGTTGCCTACTCCTCTTCAATGGCTGTGTGAAGTTATTGGATATTTGCAGGAACTGGAACACGCTGTCGTACACGTCGATCCAGAGCATCCCAAACATGCTCAATGGGTGACATGTCTGGTGAGTATGCAGGCCATGAAAGAACTGGGACATTTTCAGCTTCCAGGAATTGTGTACACAGATCCTTGCGACATGGGTCCTTGCATTATAATGCTGAAACATGAGGTGATGGTGGCGGATGAACGACACGACAATGGGCCTCAGGATCTCATCACGGTATCTCTGTGCATTCAAATTGCCATCGATAAAATGGAATTGTGTTCATTGTCCGTAGCTTATGCCTGCCCATACCATAACCCCACCGACACCACGGGGCGCTCTGTTCACAATGTTGACATCAGCAAACCGCTCGCCCACACGACACCATACACGTGGTCTGCGGTTGTAAAGCTGGATGTACTGCCAAATTCTCTAAAATAACGTGGGAAGCGGCTTATGGTCGAGAAATTAACATTACATTTTCTGGCAACAGTTCTGATGGACATTCCTGCAGTCAGCATGTCAATTGCATGCTCCCTCAAAACTTGAGACATCTGTGGCATTGTGTTGTGTGACAAAACTGCACATTTTAGAGTGGTCTTTTATTGTCCCCAGCACAAGGCGCACCTGTATAAACACCATGCTGTTTAATCAGCTTCTTGATATGCCACACCTGTCAGGTGGATGGATTATCTTGGCAAAGGAGAAATGCTCACCAACAGGAATGTAAACAAATGTGTGCACAAAATTTGAGAGAAATAAGCTTTTTGTGCAAATGGAAAATGTAGGGATCTTTTATTTCAGCTCATGAAACATGGGACCAACACTTTACATGTTGCGTTTATATTTTTGTTCAGTGTAGTACGATATGTTATGTTTGGTATTGTATGTATTAATTTGTGGATGTCCATCATCCATTTCGTATGATATGTTACGAATGACAATTTGTACAATATGTTACAAATTTGCAATATGTATAATATGTTATGAATTCCAATTTGTTGTGGCTAACGTTAGCTAGGTGTTGAACGTTAGCTAGACTAGGGGTTAAGGTTAGGGTCAGGTTAAAGGGTTAGGGTTACGGGAAGGGTTAACTAACATAATAATATAATAATATGCCATTTAGCAGACGCTTTTATCCAAAGCGACTTACAGTCATGCGTGCATACATTTTTGTGTATGCACATGCTAAGTATTTGCAAATACAGGAGGTTGGTGGCATCTTAATTGGGGAGAACGGGCTGTGGTAATTGCTGGAGTTGAATACGTGGAATGGTATCAAATACATCAAACACATGGTTTGATGCCCTTCCATTATTATGAGCCGTCCTCCCCTCAGCAGCCTCCACTGGTTGAAAAGTAGCTTAACATTATTAAGTAGATGCAGAGTTGCTAATTAGCTAAAATGCTAATGTTGTCCATGATGAGCTTGGAACACACATGGGGGGACCAGTACGGGAAAAAAGTATGAAAATGTATGCACTCACTACTATAAGTCGCTTTGGATAAGAGTGTCTGCTAAATGACTAAAATGTAAATGTCAAAATGTTGCTATGTGTTCACGTTATACACCTGACCAACCACCCTGCTTTCGTTTTGGCTTAAGTAACCTTCTGTTTTATGTAACCATACCAAACTCAACATACTGTGTCATACTAATTTGTGTGTCCTGGATTTTCGTTTACTATGTTACGTCTAGTCTATGAGACCAGCCTGTCAACCACAATCTTCCGTCAAGTTTCAACAGGTTACCGGTTAATGGGAGCGTACACGCCCTCTGCGTGAAACAGGTAGTGTAAATCAGGAAGTTACTGCTCTGTCACCGCCATCGAAAATGTTTTAACCTCGGATTTTACTTAATGCAAATATCGGTGTTTTGATAACATTTATCGGAAACATTTAGGCACATATTTTTGTTTTATTAGGGGACATGCTGCTCCTGGGAATTGTGACTCTGCTCCTCAACATGTCGGGTGAGAGAACATTCAAAACAACCTTTCAAATTTAGCAAATTAACTATCAGTTGCAAATTATGTACTGAGTGTGGCCTTTCCATATTCTCAATGTTGCAAAATATGTCGATAAACTGAATAATTATATACTAAAGTGGTTACTAGTTTTTAGTTTGATATATTTGCTAAAAAAGTGAGAAATGATTGACATTATTTCATGTAATCTGTAACAGCATTCTGCATATTCTTGATCCACTGCAATTGGAAATAGTTTACAAATGGGTTAGCCAGCAGAACCGACCTGCTTGCTTACAGCTGCACTATGGTCAGACAGGCTTGTATGACATTTTGCCCACATTACATTTAGACAGGTAGGACAGATGGAAAACTGAGAAGTGAAAAGCTGAAAACAGCCTGCTTATACTGAAGTTAATTTCAATAGAACACAAAGAAGGCTCAATTTGTACTGAAATAGTCAGACATCTTTCTCCAACTTGTGTCAGATCTCATGTTGATTGAGTTGACACTGTGAAATGAGGCCTAAAATAACCAACATGCTCAGCAACAAACCTTGCTACAGTTTGTATGCCAGATAATGTGATATAACCAAAGATTTTTGGTGTCGATTACTGGACATTACAGGTTTGCCTATACAAAATGTCGGCATAGATTTTTCAACTAACCTGGTATTGGCGATACTCTCTTCATTCTCGATCCTTGAAAACTGTTGTCTTATAGATGTCTGTGTCCAGTTGCAGGTGGTTCTACAAACACCAGAGAAAATTCAGAAAGATAGTAAATCCATGTTTTGTACCGCGCTAGGAGGTTCCTTGCCGTTTTAGCTGCCGCACATCTAGCATTTCCTAGCATCTTTGCAGGAACTAGTTGTTTCTATGCGACTCGGCCACGCATAGAAGTAGATGACACCGTGTCACACAGTGCGACCAAAACAAAGATCCACACACATACAAGAGGTAGGGCTTGGAATTGCCAGGGACCTCACGATATGATTCCGATACTTAGGTGCCAATACGATATTTATTGCGGTTCTCATGATTCTATATGTATTGCGATTCAATACTGTGATTTCTTTTGTGATTCCATGTTCCAAACATATTACTCACCATATGGCTGCTGCAAAGGGACAATAGAGAGCCATGAGAAAACAAGTTTTGATCAGACATGGAAATAAAAGTGCTGAAAACAAATTGGCTCCCTATTAAAAAGAAGATGGAGAACAAGCTATGAAGGAAAAATACTTGAGTTTTGATCCTGCTACAGCAAACTAGCGCAAAAATAATATTGCGATATTGTCAATACGATATATCGTTAAAAATAAATCCTGCTATGTAACTGTATCGATACAAAACATGGATTTAATATCTTTCTGAGTTTTCACTGTTGTTTTTAACTGTACTCAGACATAAGGTAACTGTTTTCCAGAATCGAGAACGAAGAGAGTATCGTCAATACCAGGTTAGTTGAAGAATCTATGGTGGCAGTTTGTATGGGCAAACCTGTAACGTCCAGTAATGGACACCAAAAATCTTTGGTTATATCACATTATCTGGAGTACAAACGGTAGCAACAACATACCCTCAGCTGAGTATAACCCTGGCCTCTGTCTGCCATGTCTTTTACCCTCTATGTTTAGTTTTAAAATACATGTTTATGGCGGTTTAGGAGGCACAAAATATCAAATTAAATAATGTCTTTGCTTCATTAATGATTAACAACAATCTGTTCCAAAAGGAAATTCTAGGGCATATCAGCCTAAGTAAGATTTTCAGTAACCATGCCTAATCATTATGAGGAACATGTTTTACCATTGAGCAGGGGTCCATGGATTTTGGAGTGTAGGGTGGACTGTTTTAGCCATAGGTTAACAATACAGCATCCTATTTTTTAAATGACACCCTTTCACTGAAGTAGCTGCATTGATAATGAGTTTCACACATTTTATTAGGGCAAGTAAACATCACAAACTTTGTCATTATTATAGCTTTGACTGAAGTTGTGTTCCAAATGGCACCCTATTTACATTGTAGTGCACTGCTTTTGACCAGGGCCCATAAGGCTCTGGTCAAAAGTAGTGCACTATATAGGGAATAGGGTGCCATTTAGGATGCACACTGAGAGTCATTGTTCCTGACACACCTCTTATTTACAGTCATGTTCTCACAGTCTGAGGCCATTGTGAGCTGAGCCTACACAGTACATATGGGTGATTCCTCATGAAACTAGAACAAAAAAAGACCATGATTTTGGGGATTTTCACAACATTTAATCCATAGAATGGTCCTTTGGTGGAAGGATTGTTGACATATATTTGACATCTGTATCTTAAAGCATAATTGAGAAATAATTAATAAATAAGTTGGAACATTTGTGACATTTAGCCTCACCCAGGCCTCCTTTAAGACTCCATAATGTTTCATCTGTAGGTGGACAGAATAACGCAGAGACTCAGATTTTCACCTTAAAATGTATGCCAAACAAAAAGCATTGATTGCAAAGTTAAGGAAACCATACAACTCTATGCACAAGGACTACAGTTTAAACAATTTCGACTGAACATTTTACAAAAACACATTTACTTGAAGAACAGTGCAGATGTAAAGTTTCATAACAGAATGACGATAAAATCTCCCTCAGTTTTTTTTTATGTGACCAACTCTTCAATCTACTCTGAATTAACATAAAAAGATGTCGGCAGAAAGAATGGGGTGTCAGCTATATTACACACTGAGTTAAAAAAATAAATATCTTGGTTATTGAACTACAGTAAGTGAAGTGGATTAACACCTGATAACAGAATGACATAATGGGTCCCTGATCTGTACTATACAGAATTGCATAATTATGGATACAGGGTTCTACACTACCTTTTTCCACTGGTGGCACTGGTGCTACTAACTTTTTCAGTTAGTGGCACCAGCACATGACCTGGCCTGTGTCTCATAATGTACCTGCATTCCATACAGAACCAGGCTAATAATGACTAGCCATCTTTTAAATTAGCATGTCCTTGTGTTCTTACATACCAAAACGATACCACTGCAAAATAAAAATAAAAACGGGCCAGGAGGACTGCGATTTCCCCCAGTTATTTTCAGGTTTTCGCTCTCAAAATCACACTTTTTAATGATAGAACATCCAATTTTGTTGTTTGTCTAACTCCACAACAACGCTTAAACAACATCAGGGGACCATTTATGAGGTCTGGGTAAAATCTGATTATTTTATTTGTTAGTGTAGTTACCCTTTAATTCAGATGTGTACCAGCCAAAATGTTGTTTGGCTAGAGGTGTTTCTGTAGCACACTTGTGATGGAGTATTCAAAACAAATGGCCACTGATGCAAATAATCATGATTCTGCCAGGTAGATTTGCCTTTCCATCTACCCAAAAACGGTTAGGGTATCATAGGCATCGCTAACGTCTACACAAAGTGGTAGACATAGGCCCTACAGCAGGGCTCAACATTCAGGTAAATTTGCCAGTGGCACACCGGGCCAGTGCCAACTGAACTACTGCCCCGAATAAATAAATATAAAACTGGCCTGGGTCAAGATCTGACAGGAAAGCATAATTTCAATAGCGGGTGATTTTATCTTTCATTTGCGGGCTGAGCAAGTAACCTATACAGGGTTCATGCAGACATTTGCAAGTCAAATTCAAGGACTTTTTCAAGCACTTAATTATAATTTTCAAGGACTTACATTTTACATTGAATTGTTGTAATAGCCTATAGAAAGAAAACTGCCCCAAAAATGTATGCCAAAAAAGTATGCATTACCACTAAGAATAATTATATTTTTTTATAGGCCTACCCAATCACATTATGCATTGACATCCTACAATATGTCAGAATAATGTGAGCATTGCCTGACTAAATAGACAGAATGCTTCCGACTCAAGCACACTAATGAAGTCTGTTCATGTGGTAGATTGTCAGTCTCGCCATTTGAGATGTTGAAGGGTTATTGGGGGGTTACTGTACCATGTTTTAAAACGAAAAAGCAACCAAAAACTGGGTTCCCTTTGTAATGGAACACTTTGTTTTATGAAAACCAAGTTGAAGCCAACATTCGATGTTGTCTTGCTCATAATAACCGCACATAGTTTTACTGCAACAAGCGCAACAGACTAGCGCAACACCCTTCATTTGAAACGGCAGGAAACAAACGAAAGCACGCCTACCTTATAATAATAATAATAATTATTATTATTATTATTATTAAACCTTTTATTTTGACTGGAAAGTCATACTGAGACTAGGGTCTCTTTTTCAGATGAGCCCTGCATAAATACATCAAACATACTGACTGTACAAAACATTAAGGACACCTTCCTAATATTGAGTTGCACCCCAGCCTCAATTTGTCGGGGCATTGACTCTACAAGGTGTCGAAAGCATTCCACAGGGATGCTGGCCCATATTCACTCCAATGCTTCCCACAGCTGTGTTAAGTTGGCTGGATGTCCTTTTGGGTGGTGGACCATTCTTGATACACAAACTGTTGACCGTGAAAAAGCCGGCAGCATTCCAGTTCTTGGCACAAACTGGTGTGCCTGACACCTACTACCATACCCCGTTCAAAGGCACTTAAATATTTTGTCTTGTTAAATCCATTTCAATCAGTGTAGATGAAGGGGAGGAGACAGGTTAAAGAAGGATTTTTAAGCCTTGACACAATTGAGACATGGCTTGTGTATGTGTGCCATTCAGAGGGTGACTCTTGCCGTTTCAAAAATACCTATCCAGGCATTGAAGATGAAGTCGTTTTTTTGGTTATCTGGACTTTACTTTACTATTTATATTTTTGACAACTTTTACTTTTACTTCACTACCTTCCTAAATAAAATTATGTACTTTTTACTCCATACATTTTCCCTGACACCCAAAAGTACTTGTTACATTTTGAATGCTTAGCAGGACATGAGAATTGTCTAATTCACACACTTATCAAGAGAACATCCCTGGTCATCCCTACTGCCTCTGATCTGGCGGACTCACTAAACACATGCTTCATTTATAAATGATGTCTGAGTGTTGGAGCGTGCCCCTGGCTATCAGTAAATTAAAAAAACAAAGACAATGGTGCCATATGGTTTGCTTAATATAAAGAGTTTGAAATTATTTATACTTTTACTTCTACTTTTGATACTTAATTATATTTTAGCAATTACATTTACTTTTGATACTTAAGTATATTTAAAACCAAATACTTTTAGACTTTTACTCAAGTAGGAATGTACTGGGCGACTTTCACTTTTACTTGAGTCCTTTTCTATTAAGGTGTCTTTACCTTTACTCAAGTATGACACATGGGCACTTTTTTCCACCACTGTCTAAAATAGACATAAGTGGCCTGGACAAAAATATTACCGCTTGCTCTGTAATATGAGTAGTATTTTGATTTCAATAACAATTTTCTTACATTTAATTTATGAATATTGAAAAATATAAACATTAAAATATTTTTTTATTTGGTTACTTTTCAATATATTGTTTAACATGTATAGTTTTAAAGTTTTGGCCCATTTTATACAGAGAAATTGGCATAGTAGGCAATGTAACCAATCACAGCCCTCTGTTTACTTGTATCATTGCACATCCTGTAAATCACCAGCAGAGGGCGAACATTTTGAATCCATTTTCACATTCACTCTGTTGGTAGCCTCGGCTTCCAGGCCTGCATTCAGTATGAAAAAACGTAGTGGAACGTTCAATTAAACGGAAACGGCACTGTACTGAAAGACCAGTTGGAAAAATGGAGAGGGGTTGGGTTGTGGGTCTAAATGCACCGCTGCCCTTTAAATACGTCACTCATTGCTTCAAGGCACACCCACAGAACTGAGCAAACGTACCTTTGTCTGTTCAAGAGCGTACAATAACGTTTTGGGGTAACGTGTTCAGTATAAACCATTCCGCAAACGTTCAAGCGAACTGAATGCACCCCATGTCTCGCTCACATTGTTCTCGAGAGCCTGGGAAAGTTCATATTGGGAAAAGTAGGTATGAGTGGAGCGCTGATTGCCAGTTGCTAAATGTTTTCTTAAACAACCACCCCTTCCATCCCTTCTCAGAAGCGCAAATTATCCAGAGTAAGCTAATTTACAGTGCTAGCATTGCTAGCATGCTATATTTTAGAAAATTGATATTTAGGATTTAAAAAAATATTATAATAATTTTGTTGAAATGACTACTCCACATGGGCACCAGTGAAAATTATTGGCTTTTGGTTTCGTATCTCTGCCTCTGTTTGAACATGCCCATTCCAATTTTTGGGAGGCGCAAATGGCTTAGACACACCAAGGATGGTGGATACATTTAAGATGATTGACTCAAGCCGTTTACCATTGGTCGCGTTCCCCTGCTCAGATGTTGCATGCATCAACCAATGGTTGCGTGCCTACGTCATCGACTGTGTCATGCAACGTCTTGATGCATGCAACGTCTGAGTATAGCGGGGGAACGCGACCAATATCTGGCATGCTCACGTGAGAGAGGGAACAGCTGGCTCTGTCCTACTTATTGGTCTCGTTCCCCTGCTCAGATGTTGTGTCATCGACTGACAGATTGCTATAACATATGATGTGGTTAGCTGATACGTAAAATACCTATCCAGGCACTCTTTCTATCTCTGCCTCTCTCTCTCGCTCTCAATGTCCCCTCTCCCGGCTCTTACTGGCACCTACCCATGAGCCCCCTCTCTTTGCATTTACTGTAACCAGCATCCTCAACCACTGAGCACCGAACATCCATGGATGTTGAAAAGTAGTTGACATTTGGTCAGTCCCTTCCTGGCCTTGATGTTAACATCCACAGATGGACCGGACTGGACCAAATCTGAACCTATCATAGACGTATATTTCACAAGTTAATGTGGAATTGCCCAGAACCTCCATTCATATTTTCCTATGAAGGAACATGTAGCGTAGTGTTCTGTAAGGATGTGTATTTGTGCAATAACCGGTGCAGCCTCGAGTCCAGACATGCAAATAGGTTCTAGCCTGCTCCCAACGTTCAGTGAAACTTAACTGCTATGTCACTGTTTTATAATCTTTTTGTCTCATAATATATTTTTGTTACCTTCAGCTCAAAACTCTTAGCCTGTTCATTGACTCAAACAACATTTTTACTCCTCAATACAATGACATAGTAGTGAACTAGCCTTTTCAGTTTGGACTCTTTGCAAAATATTAAAAATAACCATTTCTTTGTTATTTTCACCAGAATGTCTGCGCATGACCGTCCGCCCTGACAAAGATGCTACGGTGACTGTGTCATCCTCACTGTTCCTTCCATTGGAACAGTGTTCCGTGTGCACGGTCAGTGGCGCTGAGAATGACACCCAGACGGCCTGTCACTCATCTCTTACCCTGGTCCCCGATGAGGACGTCACCTTGCTCTTCAACTGCACTGAACCACCACAAAGTGCTTTCGTCATCCTGATCCACAGGAAAATTGGTGATTCTAGAGAAACTTTGTAGTGTTGGGTTTCCTTTTAGACTGCCAGCTCAATTCGATCAAACCAGTATTGCCGTATTTACACAGTCAAAAATACGTTCAGAATTTGGCATGCTGGGGTGGTAGTTGTGTCAACAAAGATACTGCATAAAAACAGCTAAGGCCACCTTTCAGATCTGGCCCTAAGGGTGAACCGTTAAGCAGGTTTTGTTTAGGTTTCTTCTCGTCTTACCTGTTATGTGATTTTTATTTTACCCAGAATGCACCAATGACACCTGCAGCCCTGCCGCAGGTGCAGCTCAGCCTTCCCTCTTCTCAGAGTTCATTAGAACCCTCGTCTGGGGCCTAAGTGTGCCGGAGAAGACCGTTTTGAGTTTGGACTTCCCTGGTGACAGGCTGAAGGAGATGACTGAATCAGAGTTGTGTCAAGATGGCTACCAGTACACTGTAACCAGGACCAGCACTGAAGGAGAGGTCAAAACTCAGACATACTGCAGGAATGGCCTCGTGGCTCACCTACATATACCGAGCCAAGCCACGGTGTCTTTGCAAGTTCAAAAAGGCAGAGAGGTGGATTCCTCTGTATTCACGGCCACTGCCAAACCAATAAAGAAACGTAAGCCCTTTAAACTCTTCTGTTCATGGCTCAAACTAATGTGAGCAGTGTATGTACAGTGAATTATATTTTGTTGAAATCAGAACTATAAATTAGAGTGCTTACGTTTCTAATTGTCTTCAGAGAGCCGGATGATCTCCGTGACCCCAGAGCCAGACACTATCGTCACCATCAGCAGAGACACCAAGGCCAAAGAGTGCAGTGTGTGTGTTGGGGAGGGGCCTACCTGCAACCCCAAAGAACTTGTCCTGAGAACCGCCCGCAACACCTCTGTGAAGTTCACTTGCCCACAGCCACAAGATGTCTTCAGTGTGCAGATCAACAGGGAGATTGGTAAGACGCCTCAGACCCATTTTCCTGGCCTCAACAGGGCCCTGACCTGACCTGTTTTCTAGTGGCATTTGAGCTTGCCTGGCGCAATGGACCCAATGACAGAGTCTCGAAAGTGCAAAAGCTGCTTATTAGTTAGCTTCACTAATACAATGTTTTTCCTCCTCCAGATTGCACAGAGATCGCCTGCACCGGGAACATCGTCCAGGCGGAGTCCTCCCTATTCCCAGACTTCAACAGATCCTTCACCTGGGACCTGAAGGTTCCACCTGGCCTGGCCTTCCAGCTGGACTTCCCATCGCCAGGAATGAGACAGATCCCACCCTCTGAAACCTGTCCTGACGAGCATACCTACACCATCATCACATACCAGCGCACCGGGCCCACCACCATCGGCATTTTTTGCCCAGATGGCACCATCACCACGGTCCAAGTGTTGTACAAGGGCCGGGTGTCCCTGCAGGTCCCTGGGGACAGGAAGCTGGAGCCACTGGACTTCAAGGTCACCGTCGGACCGGAGATTAAAAGTGAGTGTCTGGCAGCTGTTGGAGGAGCCATAAAAAATGAATGCCTGTTGAGGTCACTGAGTTCGTCTCTATTAGCTTATATGTATTCAGTAGCTCTCCCTTGACATAATTACTCATGTCATTATACCTAATTTAACCCCTTTCCTTCCAGTGCTGGCTGTGGTAAAAGCCAACCTACCTCGAGGGGTGTCAGATACAGACTTCTTCTCAGCCAACTACCCTAGAGGTTTCCCTGATGACGACCTGATGAGGTGGGACTTCACAGTGCCCGGCATGCATAACTACACGGTTAACTTCCTGAATCACACAGAGTCTTTTTGCCGGAAGAAGGAAGTGATGGTGATGTACCACAAGGCGCACGGAAAGGTGGGCATTCAGAAGACCCTGGTGGACACCCAGCCAACACACAGGCAGGGCAGCTTCACCATGACCCTGTTTAACTGTGAGACAGATAGGACCAAACCGGGCCTGTCCCTCAACTTTAGGGTCTCTGTGATGAGGAGCGGCCATCCAGGTACAAAGACTATTGGCAATCATAAATTGTTATATGACATGATTTGTGTTGTATTAATCACAAGTAAGATCCAAAGATGCTTCTTTATTCTTTGCATGCAATCTGTTAAACCAACCTTAGACTTTTCCAAACCAATATAATACTAATATTTCCATTATAAACTTTGAAGAAACTAAAATTTGCCTGATCATTCATGCAATCAAATGAATTGAGTGGTGATCGGTTACCTACTTCTCAGAAGATGATGGTGCCTGTCTGTCTTGTATTCCCTGATCAGTTGTCTGCACTGTAAATCCATCAGAGGAGGAAGGGCCAGTCCTCCACATTGAGAAGAGGGGATCTGACCCCTACTGTGAGATGAGGAAGAACTCTGTGATCCAGGAGAAGATCACAGTTCCCTCAGGGACCAAAGCCAGACTTTCTTTCCTGGACTGTCCAAGTGAAGACCTGCGTCTGACAGCCAGAAAAACCATAGGTACTGTAACAATGCATACAGTAGCCTTGCATGTATTGCCTCCGAAACATAGAAACTACTATGACAGTATCTATGCCATTCTAACTTAAGCTTCTTGTTAGAGTATATTTGTGACAAAGCTAGAACAAATGGTGTTTGTGCATTATCCAAATCTAAAGATGTGATGGACTAAGAATATTAATGTATGTAAACCCATTATAATATGTCAAGCCTCTGTGGATCTATTCCAGGATGCCAGAGTTTAGACTCGTGCTCCGTGAGTGGGACTCTCCTCACGGTCCCTAAAATGCCGACGTGCCTCCCTACGCTACTCCAAAGCTTCACCTGGCACCTCATTATCCCAGTATATGGCACCGTGGATTTACTGTCCCCCACAGGAAACCTCAGGCAGTCCCTGCCAGGACAGGAGTGCAATGGCAGTGTCTCCCTTCACGTAGCAGAGGGTGATGGGTCCTCCATTGGCTACTTCTGCTCCGAAGGCAGCATTCGCAAAGTCCAAGTGCACTCCAACGTCTCTGTCACTGCCACAGCCAAGGACCTTAGCCTGATTCAAGGGCCTTTCCTCAATGTGTCCTTCAGTGAAAAAATCTCAGGTATGCTAACTGGCTTTGCATGTTTTAAATCTTTTAAAGTAACTGTCCAGTGAAAATCTCACTTTTAAAAGTTCTGTTAAGTCATACCCAAATAATATTGTTGACTCGTCCTGTACCTCTATTGGTGGCCAAAGCATAAATTCACTTCAAAAACTTGTATCAAACTTGTATCTCAAACAGACAGTTGTAAAAATGCTTTCTATTTCCTCATAAAGTATGATGTCATATGCCTGAGGAGGATGAGCTGACCAATCAGCGGTCTATTTCGAATGAATATTTTTTATGACAGGTATACGCCCACACTATTCTGTTTTTGGGTACGCCCCCACCATTCCAACACAGAAAAGCTGCTTTTTAACATACTTAATGAAACAAAATTGTACGGAAAACTATAACTAATGTTGTAGTTAATTATAGGTCATATTTCATAGCAGTCTGGAAACACTGGACAGTTACTTTAATACTCTCTTCACTTACCTTTTTATGATTTATTGTGAAACATCCACAAGAGGGCATTGACATACAGCAATGGCAAGGGGATTTGTTTTAAAAATGGATTCAATGGAAAATTGCATTCTCACTCTCTTTCAACCTCTCTGTTCAAACTGTATTTAAAATTATTGTTCCTCATCACTTACTTTGTCTCTCAGACAGCATCATATATACAGTCCAGCCCAGAATGGGTTCCCCTGCCCTCCTGGCCACCCCAAACTGGCCCAGCGGCATGAAGCCGTACTCCACCGTGTCCTGGATCATCAATCTGCCGGGCCACCTCCAGGCCGACCTGCTGTTGACCAACATCAGCCAGCCCAAGTGTGGCCAGGGGCACACCTTCATCAAGGTGCAGACCCTGGGCTCTCCAGAGGAGATATTGAGTCGCAGGGAGGATAAGGAGTCAGAGGACAAGCTGATGGTCCCTGAGAGCTTCTATCTCAACATGTCCAACTGTATGCCGGAGGACGGACACTTCAGTGTGCTCAGCAAGGTCACCCTGCAGAAGACTAGCAGTAAGGACCTGTTTGTAATGTTGTTATAGAGTTGACTGAATATGTTTGTGCTAAGATATCTGCATAATTCTCTCTCAAGACCTTTTTGGTTATTTCAATAACTCTTAAGAGATCTTAAATTTGAGGGGAAAAGAAAACAAGAATCGTTTTTTTGTAACTGGATGTCTATAACTTAAATGACATCAATACACTTAGTGCACTTATTAGGGATACATAATCATCAACAGTATTTAGGGATGCTGCCAGCGAAGCTTGACTCAACTCAGAATATATGTTCATCCCTCTACTAAGTGTGAAAAAAGCTCAGCGATATGTCGAGATGGAAGAGAAAATCACAACTTTCGATAAAATGTATATTGCGCTCTCAATCAAACCCTAATAACTCAACTTCTCTTCGTGCCAAAGCAGGTGTTGATATTATATATATCAAATAAATAAATAAAACAAAATTTAAGTGAAACTGCATGCAATTCATTCTTAGCATTTATTACTGTCTAGTACATTTGAGAAAAGCGAAGCAATACGTCAAAGATGAGATAATAATTTATGTCCTAAAAATGATTTACGTCCTCAATTAAACCCTAAGAAATCCACCTCTCTTCGCTCTATCAACTTGAAAATTGTATATAAAGTGTTTTTGAATTGTTACATTGTTACAAGGGAGGGTGTATAATGCTTCTATGCAACTGACTTTCAGCCTGCTCATAAGCCAGCACCTTGTTTCATTGCTACTTGCAGCTATACTGCTAAAAATAAATAAAGGGAACACTTAAACAACACAATGTAACTCCAAGTCAATCACACTTCTGTGAAATCAAACTGTCCACTTAGGAAGCAACACTGATTGACAATACATTTCACATGCTGTTGTGCAAATGGAATAGACAACAGGTGGAAATTATAGGCAATTAGCAAGACACCCCCCCCAATAAAGGACTGGTTTTGCAGGTGGTGACCACAGACCACTTCTCAGTTCCTATGCTTCCTGGCTGATGTTTTGGTCACTTTTGAATGCTGGCAGTGCTTTCACTCTAGTGGTAGCATGAGACGGAGTCTACAACCCACACAAGTGGCTCAGGTAGTGCAGCTCATCCAGGATGGCACATCAATGCGAGCTGTGGCAAGAAGGTTTGCTGTGTCTGTCAGCGTAGTGTCCAGAGCATGGAGGCGCTACCAGGAGACAGGCCAGTACATCAGGAGACGTGGAGGAGGCCGTAGGAGGGCAACAACCCAGCAGCAGGACTGCTACCTCCGCCTTTGTGCAAGGAGGAGCAGGAGGAGCACTGCCAGAGCCCTGAAAAATGACCTCCAGCAGGCCACAAATGTGCATGTGTCTGCTCAAATGGTCAGAAACAGACTCCATGAGGGTGGTATGAGGGCCCGACGTCCACAGGTGGGGGTTGTGCTTACAGCCCAACACCATGCAGGACGTTTGGCATTTGCCAAAGAACACCAAGATTGGCAAATTCGCCACTGGCGCCCTGTGCTCTTCACAGATGAAAGCAGGTTCACACTGAGCACATGTGACAGAGTCTGGAGACGCCGTGGAGAATGTTCTGCTGCCTGCAACATCCTCCAGCATGACCGGTTTGGCAGTGGGTCAGTCATGGTGTGGGGTGGCATTTCTTTGGGGGGCCGCACAGCCCTCCATGTGCTCGCCAGAGGTAGCCTGACTGCCATTAGGTACCGAGATGAAATCCTCAGACCCCTTGTGAGACCATATGCTGGTGCGGTTGGCCCTGGGTTCCTCCTAATGCAAGACAATGCTAGACCTCATGTGGCTGGAGTGTGTCAGCAGTTCCTGCAAGAGGAAGGCGTTGATGCTATGGACTGGCCCGCCCGTTCCCCAGACCTGAATCCAATTGAGCACATCTGGGACATCATGTCTCGCTCCATCCACCAACGCCACGTTGCACCACAGACTGTCCAGGAGTTGGCGGATGCTTTAGTCCAGGTCTGGGAGGAGATCCCTCAGGAGACCATCCGCCACCTCATCAGGAGAATGCCTAGGCGTTGTAGGGAGGTCATACAGGCACGCGGAGGCCACCCACACTACTGAGCCTCATTTTGACTTGTTTTAAGGACATTACATCAAAGTTGGATCAGCCTGTAGTGTGGTTTTCCACTTTAATTTTGAGGGTGACTCCAAATCCAGACCTCCATGGGTTGATAAATTTGATTTCCATTGATAATTTTTGTGTGATTTTGTTGTCAGCACATTCAACTATGTAAAGAAAAAAGTATTTAATAAGATTATTTCATTCATTCAGATCTAGGATGTGTTATTTTAGTGTTCCCTTTATTTTTTTGAGCAGTGTAATATGTCTCATTCTTACCCATTCTAATCACAATTCTCTCCTGCTCGTGTGTGTCTCTGTAGAGCTGCTCATGAGCGGCATCCTGGGGGCTGTGGGAGCAGTGCTGCTCCTTATGATCATTGTGCTGACAGTCGTCTGCTTGGTGCTAAGGTGAACACCTGCCTCACCAAAACAATATATATAGCTTTGATGTTGAGGTCATTGTATGACTTGGCTGTCCCCCCCCCTGTAGTTTGATGTCTGCTTGACTCAAAACCATTTGTATTCCTCTTTCGTGCTTTACAGGAAGAAGAAAAGAAAGATGGTCAATGAGGCTTCCATCTACATAGGGAAAGGGAATATTTTCATCCCAGGCGACAGTGTGTTCCCCAAATCCCGGTCGGACAACGAGTCTCACGTCTACGCCTCCATCGAAGACACCATGGTGTACAGCCACCTGCTGCGCGAGCCCAGCTATGTGGGCACCATCCAGGACCACTTCCAAGGACAGCCGGTCGACACCTACAGGACATTCATGGCACTCCAGGACGGAGTGCCAGAGATCACAGAGACTGCTGCAGACCATGAGCCTGAACTGGTGCCTGAGAAGGACATGTACAGATCTTTCCTGGACCCGTCGGAAACCTTCATCCCATCGAGACCTCGCACGCCCATTGACCGCCAGGACAGCATGGGCTTCATGGACCGCAGGATGGTGGACAATGAGCTGTACACGTTCAAGAGCACTGGGGATATAAATACGATTAGACTGTCGGGTGCCAACCAAATCCTAGATCCAGAGACCATCGACTCGGAGGGGGAGGAATCCATTTAGCCTGAGGCGGTACTGTGAGATGGACTACTGTTACTCATTTCATATAGCTCCAAGTGTTTCAGGTTCACTGCAGTGTAGAAATGGGGCGGAAATGTGCCTTTGCATAACATTCAGGGAGTCTGTATTAGTGGTGTTGTGCCTACTGCACAAGACCATCAGACAAATTACTATTACTACCTTTCATTGGAGCCTCTGTGTCTACGTTTCCTCCAAGCTCCTAGAAAGTCATTTCTGAAACAGCACATGGTGCTGTTCTTTTGTTTTTACAATACTGATCTACTTGGTTTTGTGTATATTTCTTGATAGTATTTTATATTTGTTTTATATGCTAGTATGTATTTAATATATTGAATGTTGCCCTGGACCACTCGTGTGCTATGGGGTTATGAGCAGGGTTGCTTGTTTTGTACCTAATGAGTAACCTTGGGTTACTTTTAGAATTTTTAGAATTGTTTATGCCTTGTGTCAAAGGTTTTTCTCTGTAAATCTGTATTTTTAGACATTACTGAACTTTTACTCTGCCAATTTTTTAAATAAATTCCTTAGACATTTTGAGTGGTCTATGTACAGTGTGATATTGTGAATAATACTGTATCTAGGATAGATAAGGGAATCAATCCAAAACAATATTGCTTCAAAAGGCATCTAAAAAGACTAGCAAAGAAAATACAAATTGTTTCCTCCTTGTTGTGATGGGAAAAGTGACATTCTTTCATCCTTTGGCTAAAACCTGTGACCTTTAAGTCCTGGCTTGTAGTTTGTTGTAACCACAGGAACTTCAACCACGGAAGACAGGATGATTGTTTGGAAGGTTTTGGTGTAGTTACCATGAGGAACTTTTACGGGAAACAACCAAACCTTTAGCAAGACGCCAAGGGTCATCAGATTATGACAATCCTCTTGCGGTAATAAACTTTTGTGTTTACAATTTTGTATCATCTCCTCTGAAGGTTGAAAAATGTTTACTGTATATTAGAATCACATTTCCCGCTACAATATTAAGATTTGATACATATTCAATGAACGTGTATTCCTAAGACGTTTTCTTTGTTCAGTAATGTGTAGTTGTTGGGTTTTCATTGTCTTTACATTTTCTTAGACAAACAACCATTATAATTTCATAACTTTATTGAGATTTATATTTGTTCAGTTAATATCAGGCTAGACATTTTGTGATAAAACAAACAAGTATTCAAAGGCTAGCTCTCTGAAATAATTGTTGTAAATTAGATAGGAAAGCATCAGATTAACTACCATAGCTCTAGATGGTAACGTAAGGATCTCATACTTGTACAAAATAATGTGCAAATTCACATGAAAATGTGTTATTGTCATTGGGACGTTTCGCTGGACACCGATTAATCATAGTCCTAGATAATCCTTAATCTGTGTCCAGGAAACCACCATGTTATACAAAGAATTCTCCAACATTTTTGTCTGGGTATCAGCTCTAGAAAAGTGTCAGTAACTTGTTCCAAAAGGTCAAAAATAGACATTTTCAGGGGTTGAATTTAAAACCAAAGCGTACATTGTAGAAAAGAATGCATGGTAGCGAACATAAAATATAATTAAAGCATGGGAAATGCAGCTAACAAATGGCATGCCTCAGACTATGTTGAACTCGCAGACAGAGGCCTTCTCCTCACGACAGTTCTTGTCCAACCATTTCCCACCAGTGGCCTCTGAGAGGATGGCACAGTTCTTGGAACGATCTGTCTTTGGGGATCTGGATTCAGAATCCCAGTTCTTGTAGAGGATGCTGTTGCCCGCCTGGTCCATCCAGTTGCCCTCAGTCACCATGTCGCTGATGCCCAGCCAGATCTGCTCGTCTGGGCCGATGCTCAGGTGGATGTAGTCGCTGAGTTGGTCGTTCTGGTCCTTGGACAAGGGGGTACTGAGTACACCTCCCAGGGCAATGCAGTCGTCAAAGGCTGTGTGGTAGCTTTTCTTCAGAGGCTCAGCCAGGAAACACTTGCCATGAACCTTGACCCCTTTCAAACAAACTGAGGAGCCAAGAGAAAATTGTAGTGTCAGAGTGCCTTTAGAAGTGTTCGAACAGAAACAGATACTGTTATTTATGTCCAAAGAATCTTACCTGACTGCAAAGCCTGTTGCTCCTTCATAATATTTAGATCCTGAACAATGTCATTGATCTGCTTCTGCAGCTTCTCTATGGCTGCATCTTTGCCTTCATCTGGAGCACCACAGAACAGAAACGGGGGGAAAACAGGATGGACTCAATTAAAGATTACAGAAAGTTTGAGCACTAGGCTCCTGCTCCAGTAAGATGGCAATGCCAGATGTGTTGCTTTAAATTATTGATGTGTATTGCAGGCAATGTTCTGGCAAGACTCATAAAATCACATTTGACTCAAAATACAGTTAATCCTCTGAACAATGAGAGCTGTTTGTAACAAAAATGTAATTTCTCTCAGATTCAAAATGATTGATTAAAAGCAATTTCAACATTGGGCGTAAATAATATATTCTCAACCCACCACCTACCTTTTTTAACTGTTTTCTTCATAGGGAAAGCCTGCTGGAATGAGCAATTCACCAGGAGGAGTATTCCAAAAACCAAACAGGTTCTTCTGAACTCCATGGTTAGATCTGTTGTTGAATGACTGCTTCAATGTGGAGCCTGGCAATTTATCTCCTCTCTCTCTTCCACAAAAGGAAAAAACGGTGTAATCGAAAACTGCTGCCTGGAGCTGGAGCTGTCCAACCTCAGAACCTTATACTCTCCCAGTCCCAGACATCGCATGCACTGTGACATCCTTGTCTGATGTCTGGACTTCCCAGTGGTCCCACCCTGTACTTTAAAAGAGAACAATAGGGTGTAGTGTTTCTAATTTGAGTGAAGTAGTAAACAGACGTGTTTCTTTGGACCTGTCTCCTCTCTGGCAGAGTGGAGCATATGCCCCAGGCCAGGTTCTTAGGCAGTGGAAATGGTCCTGTCTCACATCTGCTCTTTCGGTTGTGCACTTTATGCTCCTCTGTTGACACTGACACGTGGCAAGAACAATAGGACACAGCGACTACTGCCATCAGAGTATCTACTCAATTACAGAAAGGATATTCATAGATATTAAGTTTTAGAGATATACAGTATAAGTACTCTTTGGTATTAACTTCACTTAATGCTGAACCTTGGTGAAATCCTGGCCAACCTGGAAGACAAAAGCAAGAGGCTTAGTTTTTATTGGAGCCATTTGAATAGCAAGAACACACTGCTCAAGTTACACATTTTTGAATTTGGTCATTTTTTGTAACTTCAATAGTGGTAAAAACATGTTTGCCACCTGCCACCTCCACCTTAGTTCAGCATTCAAGTAAACATCATTAACCTTTCATCAAAATACTCATACACGTAATTTCTATTGGTGATTCAGAATTTCCCTGCTTTGAAGTGTAAGGAAGACAGACACATTTAACACTGTTGCATAAACCTAAATGAAGAAATATAAATGTCATACTTCTACAACAGACAAGGAAAAACAGACTGTACAAATAAAAAAAGCTATATTAGAAAAGTAAACATTGACAAAAACAGTGTTGCTAACCAAGAAGGCCCACTTTCTGTCTCTTCTTTCCCAGACTCTCCTCCTTCTGCAGAAGCTCCATGACAGGGGGCGTGGAGGGCTTTCCCTACCCATTTCCCTGTCTATCGAGATATACAACAGAGCATCAAAATATGTGTGTGTGTGTGTGTGTGTGTGTGTGTGTGTGTGTGTGTGTGTGTGTGTAACTATACTTGTGGGGACCAGAAGTCCCCACAAAAATAGCTAACAAACTCAAATTTGACCAACTGGGGACATTTTGTTGGTCCCCACAAGGTCAAATGCTACTTCTAGGGGATTTAGGGTTAAGGGTAGAATTAGTGTTAGGGTTAGAATTAGGTTTAGAGTTAGGAGCTAGGGTTAGTTTTAGGGTTAGGTTTTTGGGTTAAGGTTAGGGTACGGGTTAGGGTTTGGGGTAGGGAAAATAAGATTTTGAATGGGACTGATTTGTTTGTCCCCACAAGGTTAGTTGTACAAGACTGTGTGTGTGTGTGTGTGTGTGTGTGTGTGTGTGTGTGTGTGTGTGTGTGTGGCATTCTCCAGTATACAGCACCTGGATACACATACATTGCAATGCAATGCATTTACATAAACAAAATAAACTGTACATTCTCACACCCTTCATGAATTTCCTCTGCACAAAATTCCCCCAAAGGGTGTAATTGTGTAAACAACTTTGTGATATGCTGATAAGGTTCAACTTTGATACAACTGAATATTTAACGCTAATACATTTGTTGGGGTGAGAGAAGACAGATGGTATGAAGAGGAGCGCAGGCGTCCCATCTCACCTCTGTCATCTCAAAGATGCTCTCTATGTCCAGGCTGCCTCCTCCCACCTTCCTGACGCAGGTGACCGTCCCCTTGTGTGTGACAGAGATTATCAGGCTGGCCACTGAACACGCCTTCTCCTGCAGTGTGGCGTCCACCTGGGGTGAGACAAGGACAAACATATAAATAACTTCAATGTGGACAAAATCATCCAATGACATTTCATTTCAGTCATTTAGCAGACGCTCTTATCCAGAGCGACTTACAGTTAGTGAGTGCATACATTTTTTTTTCATACATAATGACCGAACCCACCTTGCACAAGGTCACGATGCAGGGAATGTTCTCCACATTGAGTCGCATGCAGTCATAGGGGTCATCTGACAGCTCTATCTCCTTCCCTTCTTCCTCATCCTCAGAGATGTGCACTTTAGACATTCTGTTGGGAGAGAGAGAAGGTGAAGAGATTGTTTGACTGACTCAGGAGTGGATGGTCTATTGTTTGAGTTCTGCAGGATAGAGTTTATGAAATCACAGCATCCGTTTTCCCCTGAATAAATTTGCCAGCAACCAGGATGCTGGCTAATCTATTCAATGAAATGTAATTAGCAAAGTGGTAACTGAAGCTTAGCACCTTACTTTGTATTGAATACTTTAATGGCAACAGAGATGGCATCAAACACATTTCCATCACATTGCAAGAGCTGAGAAACAAAACAAAAAGTAATGATGTCACATACACTATATATACAGAAGTATGTGGACACCCTTTCAAATTAGTGGATTCGCTATTTCAGCCACACCCATTGCTGACAGGTGTATAAAATCGAGCACACAGCCATGCAATCTCCATAGACAAACATTGGCAGTAGAATGGCCTTACTTAAGAACTCAGTGACTTTCAACGTGGCACTGTCATAGGATGCCACCTTTCCAACAAGTCAGTTCGTCACATTTCTGCCCTGCTAAAGCTGCCCCGGTCAACTGTAAGTGCTGTTATTGTGAAGTGGAAACGTCTAGGAGCAACAATGGCTCAGCAGCGAAGTGGTGGGCCACACAGAACAGGACCGCTGAATGCTGAAGCAAGTAAAAATCGTCTGTCCTCGATTGCAACACTCACTGCCGAGTTCCAAACTGCCTCTGGAAGCAACGTCAGCACAATAACTGTTCGTCGGGAGCTTCATGAAATGGATTTCCATGGCCGAGCAGCCGCACACATGCCTAAGATCACACACATGCCTAAGATCACCATGCGCAATGCCAAGCATCAGCTGGAGTGGTGTAAAGCTCGCCGCTATTGGACTCTGGAGCAGTGGAAACGCATTCTCTGGAGTGATGAATCACGCTTCACCATCTGGCAGTCCGACGGACGAATCTGGGTTTGGCGGATGCCAGGAGAACACTACCTGCCCGAATGCATAGTGCCAACTGTAACGTTTGGTGGAGGAGGAATAATGGTCTGGGGCTGTTTTTCATGATTTGGACTAGGCCCCTTAGTTTCAGTGAAGGGAAATATTAATGCTACAGCATACAATGACATTCTAGGCGATTCTGTGCTTCCAACTTTTTGGCAACAGTTTGGGGAAGGCGCTTTCCTGTTTCAGCATGACAATGCCCCCGTGCACAAAGCGAGGTCCATACAGAAATGGTTTGTTGATATCGATGTGGAAGAACAGAGTCCTGACCTCAACCCCATCGAACACCTTTGGGATGAATTGGAACGCAGACTGCGAGTCAGGCCTAATCACCCAATATCAATGCCCGACCTCACTAATGCTCTTGTGGCTGAATGGAAGTCCCCGCAGCAATGTTCCAACGTCTAGCGGAAAGCCTTCCCAGAAGAGTGGAGGCTATTATAGCAGCAAAGGGGGGACCAACTCCATATTAATGCCCGTGATTTTGGAATGAGATGTTCGACGAGCATGTACTTTTGGTCATGTAGTGTATATTGCAGCAAGCACAATATTACAGAACTTAATTTGGCCAAAGAAAATGTCTCAACAGAATGAAACAAAACACTTGTTGCATATTTAAAGAACTGGTTTAAACCTTCACAAAAGTTTTGAACAGGCTAGGCCTATATTGCAGCAATTACCAACAAAGGAGAGTTACCATCGTAGGCCTACCCAACAAATGACAACAATAGGCAAATTATATTTAACAGGCCTACTTTTAACTTATCTTAAACTAAATACGGTGCACAAAAAGAAAAATGAGGGCCACCCCGAGTGGTGCAGCGGTCTAAGGCACTGCATCGCAGTGCTAGCTGCGTTACTACAGATCCTGGTTTGATACCGGGCCGTGTCGCAGCCGGCCGCGACCGGGAGACCCATGAGGCGATGCACAATTGGCCCAGCGTCGTCCGGGTTAGGGGAGGGTTTGGCTGGCCGGGTTGTCCTTGTCCCATCGCGCTCTAGCGACTCCTGTGGCGGGCTGGGCGCATGCATGCTGACACGGTCGCCAGGTGTACGGCGTTTCCTCCGACACATTGGTGCGGCTGGCTTCCGGGTTAAGCGTGCATTGTGTGAAGAAGCAGTGCGGCTTGGCGGGGTTGTGTTTCAGAGGACGCACGGCTCTCGATCTTCGCCTCTCCCGAGTCCGTATGGGAGTTGCAGCGATGGGACAAGATTGTAACTACCAATTGGATATGACGAACTTGGGGAGAAAAAAGGGTAAAAAATAATAATAACATAAAAATAAACACATTTAAAAATGAGAGTTTGAACTTAATTTAGCCCACACGTCTCAACAAAATGACAAAACACTGCATATTTAAAGAACTGGTCGACCAACAGCCTAACTACCAAACAATCAACCAGTCGACTAATTGGGGTCAGCCCTAACTGATATACAATAATACTAATAAAAATAAACAAATTGGAATAAATGGCATCATTCCTGAATAGCGAGCTGCACACAGTCCATTTGGCCGTGCCAACGTTCTTCTCATCTTTGTCCACTACAATTTTAAAACTTGTCCCCACGGAGGACATTCCCCTTGTCGGCTTCTTTTCACACGTTCTCCTGTAACTTTCATTTTACTTCAGTGAAAAAGGCGTATACAGTGAGGGAAAAAAGTATTTGATCCCCTGCTGATTTTGTACGTTTGCCCACTGACAAATAAATGTTCAGTCTATAATTTTAATGGTAGGTTTATTTGAACAGTGAGAGACAGAATAACAACAAACAAATCCAGAAAAACCCATGTCAAAAATGTTATAAATTGATTAGCATTTTAATGAGGGAAATAAGTATTTGACCCCCTCTCAATCAGAAAGATTTCTGGATCCCAGGTGTCTTTTATACAGGTAACGAGCTGAGATTAGGAGCACACTCTTAAAGGGAGTGCACCTAATCTCAGCTTGTTACCTGTATAAAAGACACCTGTCCACAGAAGCAATCAATCAATCAGATTCCAAACTCTCCACCA